GAAAAGTGGTTCTGCCCGTTCCCTTCATTTATTGTAAAATATCATGCACAATCTCTGACTCATTCCTGGGATTTGCTTGCTTTATGTTGAGCACGACCTGTGTTAGCTTTGTTCCTTTTAGCTGTACAAATTGGTCATCAGTAGCACTGTGGGAAGTAACTCGTTTATTAGTCATAGCCAGCTCTGTAATATGAATGCCTAAAGCAGAAATGGTCTCTTTTGATCACCCTGGTCTGCAGTGAAATTGCCCCATGGATTAAAATGAAAATGTTTGGATGAGTGTTTTAATTTGTTAAGCATTTCTTAACTGATTGTGTATGTTGCGTTTGGGTCTTCTTGTCTTTGGGAAAGTAGCACGGGAACAATTCCCTTACGCCGGTGATCATATGCCAATGTGTTTCTAGTTGTGATGATTTCCCCCACCTGCTTTATTTGATATAAGCAAGGTTATGTAGATTTTTCAGTCATCCAAGAGCTAAATTTCCAGACGCATTTCAAACTTGTCTTAAAGCCCTATGTACTCCACCATCACTGCTGAGGATTGTTAAGGGTGCTAGGAATTGCAGCTCTGTAAGGAGTAAAGAACAGCTCCCAGGTTTCTTTGGGGGAAATTGTGACCGTTTAATAATAATAATAATAATAATAATAATAATAATAATAATAGTAATTTATTTATATCCCGCCCTCCCCAGCCAAAGCCGGGCTCAGAGCGGCTAACAACAGTAAAAGTAACACAGTTCACATAAAATCACAATCAATTAATTGAAATACATTCTAAAATCAATTCTGAATCAAATTAATGGCAACCATTGGGCTAGAGTTCTAAAGAGTTCTAAAGAGATATAAATGAATTTTAAATGTATGGGATGGATGTGACCTGTATGGCCAAACTAAAAACCGTGTGTTTAACCAAACACAAGTGCATCGGGTTTGGTCCAGTGTGTCTTGAGAGGGCATTTGCCACAGGTTCCACTTCAAGGACAGCAGGTAGTGGTTTTGCCTTTAGAGGTGAACAGAAGACAAAGGGGCGAGTGGCAAATCTTTGCCAATGAGGAAAGGAAGGAGCAGTTCAGATGTGTGTGCCAAATGATGGGTAGTTGCCTCTAAATTATTTGCATGACTGACCTACCTTTCTTCATTCAAAGAATGTGTAATCTTTCCAGACATTCTGGCTTGGCAGCCAAGGCAGTTTTTCAAGGGATTAAAGATGCCATAAGAGCAACCTGAAATATGCCCTAAAAGCATATAAATGTAATTTTATTTGCAATACTTGGTGTTGAGTGTTTGCATGATGATGGGTAATCTAGTAAAAATAAAGTTTAATAAGAAATGTAGTAACACAGAAAAGGAGCTGCTAAGCACACTCCAAGTCAACATAAATGAATTGCTTTCCCCTAGAAAGATATATTTCCATTCAGTTATATTAGATATATATACACACAGCACAGTCAAAGAAACTGGGAGGGAGGGAAGGTTTTGTGCAAATGCAGCAGAGCTGCCATCTAGTGCTTGGTACAAACATTGGCAGGGAGAGAAAAGAATGAGCTGCTGTAAAAACTCAAAAGTTCTTTTTCACAAGTGATATTTAAAACAGTGTTTTTGTTTTTTGAATTTTTGTGTTGCCTTTAAGCTGCCTATGATCCTTAAAGTGTGTATTTATCTTAAAATTATATCTTCCACTTCCTTCCTTGCACTAATGGCATTCATTCAGTGATGAGTCTCAGATCAATAGGTATCAGGCACTGGATCTACACAGATATAAAAAATGTGACGAAACCGCCCCCCCCATATATATATATATATATATATATATATATATATGCGCAATTTGTCATTGAGCTCTACAGCACCATCTGGTGGCACATTTTTATAACACACTTATAACGTTATAATTGCAGCTGTGTAGTTGATTTTACTTTCTTGGGCTCCATGATCACTGAAGATGGTGACAGCAGTCACGAAATTAAAAGACGCCTGATCCTTGGGAGAAAGGCGATGGCAAACCTAGACAGCATCTTAAAAAGCAGAGACATCACCTTGCCAACAAAGGTCCATATAGTTAAAGCCATGGTTTTCCCAGTAGTGATGTATGGAAGTGAGAGCTTGGACCATAAAGAAGGCTGATTGCCAAAGAATTGATGCTTTTGAATTATGGTGCTGGAGGAGACTCTTGAGAGTCCCATGGACTGCAAGAAGATCAAACCTATCCATTCTGAAGGAAATCAGCCCTGAGTGCTCACTGGAAGGACAGATCCTGAAGCTGAGGCTCCAATACTTTGGCCACCTCATGAGAAGAGAAGACTCCCTGGAAAAGACCCTGATGTTGGGAAAGATTGAGGGCACAAGAAGAAGGGGACGACAGAGGACGAGATGGTTGGACAGTGTTCTCGAAGCTACAAACATGAGTATGACCAAACTGCGGGAGGCAGTGGAAGACAGGAGTGCCCGGCGTGCTCCGGTCCATGGGGTCACGAAGAGTCGGACACGACTAAACGACTAAACAACAACATATATATAATAAATATTCATAACTGCATATATAAACCACATGTCTGAAACCCCACAGAAAAAGTCCTGAAACCAATTTGTCCCTCCCAAATAGATCTCAAATATTTCTCTGCAAGGTCGAAGGAAAATGGAAAAGCCTCCCCGTTGGCTTTTCATTCAGGAATCCTGTCTTAAGGGTATGTCTGTGTATGAATAGAGTGAACCTGTGACCTGGCTCAGGAAACTAAGTATTTATCATTACAAAAGACTGACCAGGCTCCCCAGGTAATCCAATCAAGTGACCATTAACAGGTAATCTGCCAGACAGTAGATAAATGCACTCAGATTTCTGTTGTAGGTTTTCTGTGATGTAGGTATGATGTATGGGGGGGGGGCGTCTTGAGCTACACCCCTTCTGTTATGTATGTATGATGTTTGTTTGATGTTTCTAGGGGTGGTCTTGGACTCCAGGGCGGGCGGGCAATTTAAAATGTCTATATAAGGGCGACCACACCTTTGTTCTAGGTCCTCCTCTTTTCCTGTGTGTGAGGGGAGAACCCTGTTGCAACAGTCAATAAAGATCAGGCTTACTAGCTGCTTTGCTTCTCAATATTTTCAATATTTGCTTCTCAATATTCTCTGGTTGGCCTCTGTTATTTTCTCTGACTGATGGAGAACCTACAAAGGACTCTATGAGGGCTCTTGTGTCCCCCATAAGGGAATAAGGGCAGATTTATGTTTATTACAATCCTAAGTACCATGAACAGAAGGCATCTAATCCAAAAAAGTATTTTGCATCCCCCCTCCCTACAAAAAAACAACAACCATATGGAACGTTGGGTGATGATTCTGGTATATAGCATGGAGGCTGCTGGAGGATGGTGTTAGGGTCATAACAAAAGATTGCCTTATTTTGAGTAAGAACAGTGGTCCATCCTGCTCAGAATTGTCTCCACCAGGGGTGGGATACTGGATCTCACAGAAGGGCAGATCCTGACTGGGTTACTTTCCAAGTGCCATTTTGACACGTGCTTCGAAGTTCAAGTTGTGAGAGCAGACAGGAGCTTGTCTCCAATCTTAGCATTGTGGTCCCACAATGTGTATATGTGTTTATGACAGATATGTGTGCCAAGAGCTCAAACGCAGGAGAAGCTTCCTGATGTAGAATAGAATGTCCCTATTTTCAGTAGAGAAGTGTTGGAGGGTATGCAATTTACATGGGGGTTACATTCCAGGGATCACGTCTAAAGCCAAAATCACGTAAAGCAGGGGTCGGCAAGGTTTACCTCGCCTGGGCCGGTTCACTCCCACGGAGATCACTCTGTGGGCTGGATCGCGTCTGCGCAGACGCAATTTCCGGCACCATGGAAGCGAGTCCCCGCTCTGTGCTGCGCCGGTTTAGCGCAGTGCGTGGGGACTCGCCGAGCAGGCAGCTCGGTTCAGGGGTGGCTTGTGGGCCGTTTAAACGACCCCCATGGGCCACTTGTGGTCCATGGGCCGAAGGTTGCCGACCCCTGATGTAAAGTCAAACCCCACTGGGTTCAATGGTGGGTGGGATTGCCAGAGTCCTTTTTCTTGGAACCAAGCCCCCTTTCCCTTCCTTTTTAAATTTGTTCAGGCTGATCTGGTTGCATAATTAAAATAAGGCTGTACCTGGCAGTGGGCTTATATTTTAGAATACAGTGGTACCTTGGGTTAAGTACTTAATTCGTTCCTGAGGTCCGTACTTAACCTGAAACTGTTCTTAACCTGAAGCACCACTTTAGCTAATGGGGCCTCCTGCTGCCGCCGCGCCACTGGAGCACGATTTCTGTTCTCATCCTGAAGCAAAGTTCTTAACCTGAGGTACTATTTCTGGGTTAGCGGAGTCTGTAACCTAAAGCGTATGTAACCTGAAGCATATGTAACCTGAAGCGTATGTAACCCGAGGTACCACTGTAATAGATTTGTAGAGTTGGAATGTACCGTGAGGGTCATCTAGTCCAACCCACTGCAATGCAGGAAACTTTTGCCCAACTTTTGCTCAAACCCATGACCTTGAGATTAAGAGTCTTGCTCCGTTGGGATCCAACAGGGCTTACTTCCAGGTGCATAACATAAGAACAAAGGCTGCGCCAATGGCCCCCCTAGTCCCGCATCCTGTTCTCACAGTGGCCAGCCAGAGGCCTGCGAGAAACCAGCGAGGAGAACCTGAGCACAAGGCAGTTAGAAGCAGCGGAGCCCCCCGCCAAAATAATTATTTCAGAAGGGCACAAATCCCGCTCCGATTCCGCCCTAGAAGATTCGATCAGTTTAAATAATAAGCCCTGCGGCGAGATTGGGTTTTTTGGGTTGACTCTCGCATGCCGAACGCTACTTATTACGCGACTTCCTTTGCACTTCCGCCACTCTCGCCCCGCACATGGAGGATTCCAAGGAATCGCAACTGCGAGTCGGAAGTAACGGTTTCGATCCTCCTCTTGGTTTGTGCTTTCCCCACCCCCGGAGTGGTCATGTGAGCCGGCTTGTTCGTCAGGTCCGGCTTCCCCATCTCGCGAGCGTTCATTTCCGCCGACCGGGCTCTTTGCGTCGTCGCTAGGAAGCAGCAAGAAGGGAGGGGGCGACGTTTGTTGGGGTCGGGGGGGGGCAAATCTCGCGTGGGTGCGCGCGCGCGAGCACAGACGCTTCTCCTGAGGCCTGACGGGACGGAGAGAGGCCCTCGGCGCGCGAGGCCAAGGTGAGAAGCGCGGCCCTTCCCCCACTTCCCTCTCCTCTCGCGGGGCGAAGGCGGGGAGGCCCTTCGCTCTCCTCAGCCCTCGACCTCCCCTCTCCGTACACGGTGCTTGGCTCTCCAGGCTTCCGGCCCCTTCCTCACTCGTTCCGGGGCCTCCGTTAGGCCCTCCCTCAGGCCCAGGCGCGTCTGCCGCCCGGCCGCCTGGTCCCCAGTGATTCCGCCGCCTGAAGTTTTGTCTACGGCCAGCCATTGTCTGCGGACTTCCCGCACGTGGAGGCCCGTTTCGTCGGCTTACAAGATTCGCCTTCTGTGTTCCGAGGATTATACTGTGTTTTTTTCCGGGAGGTCCGTCTCGGCTCTTCCATTCTGTCCCGAAACCTCCGCTCCTTTGTAGCAGGACGGTTGGGTTTTAATGGCACCGCTTTTGCGGGCTTTTTTCGGCGTATGGGCCTTTTAATTGGAGTCAAGTCCTTTTTTGGCGAGTTGTATCCTGTGTAATGTGATTATAAAGAGGGTATTGTCCACAGTATGGTGTTGGTATGCAGAATTTGGTTTCCATACTTTCCAGCCTCAGAAAAATAGTACATCAGGTCACGTGCTATTCCAGCCATTCCTACCAAATTTGGCTTTTGCTAATTCTGTACAGATAGTGTTTTCTAAACTTCACACCTGACGTTGAAAGGACTAGGATAGTTCTTGTGTATTAACAAAGGATCTGTGTTTGGATTGCTTTCAGTTTTTGTATTTCGAAAGTGAGCAAAGTGCTCCATGCCTCACCCACTCTGTGATCTGTACCATCTTGTATCTGTCACCTTGACAAGGACTGAGGAAAGAGGTTTGTCCAAGGCTAGATAACAAAATTGTGGCAGAAGATCCATAAACACAATCCATGTGTTGCTGTGAATTTCCTTATGGGAACTAATGCTAAGAGAGAAGGATTTAGTCAAGGTCAGGCAAGGAGTTTGGTTGTCCAATATGATGCTGAAAATGACTCTTGTGTTGAGAACAGTTGAATAGTCATACTTCTCAAGGACTGTGTTCTGGAAAACTGAATACAAGAGAATCTGTGAATGTGCAGAATGTTTAATCTATTTGTAAGCTACCCTTAAGTAACAGGACCATTGGGGTGGTGTACAGCAACAGATAAATAAAAAAAAAATGTAAACATCTAAAAAGGATTCAAGGTGCAAAGGTCTTCTGCAGTAAAACAGGTTGCACCAGGCACCTGAAATTCAGTAGGGTTGGTGCCTTCTTGTGTGGCGGAGGCATTCCATGGAATTGGGCACACAGCACTGAAGGCACAACTCCTTATTGACATGAGTCATGTTTGGTTCATGAGGAACCACTCTCCTCCCTAAAGGCAGCTCTGATTTGGATTCTGGGCAAATCGCGTGCACATGACAGTATGAACAAGATACACAACATGAAGGAAAGAAGTGGTTTCTAAATATTGTTACACTGTATTTCGTCAGCTAGAAACAAAGATTCTGTGAGTCCCTTGAATTGTGATGGGAGCTTCTATTGCTTCCATGAAACCTGAAAGTATCTGCAAAAAGCATGGGTCTAATATAATTACAGTGGTACCTCTGGTTGTGGACACGATCCGTTCCAGGGTGCTGTTTGCATCCCGAAAAATCCGCAACTAGAGCGGCGCTTCTGCACAAGCGCTGAGTGCAATAGAGCGCATGTACAAAGCGCGCAGAACGCTAAACCCAGAAGTATACACTTCCGGGTTTGCCGCATTCACAAGCCAAAAAGACGCAACATGAACCTAGCGCAACACGAGGTATGACTGTAGTCTGCAGAGGGCTTTCTCAAGTAATTCCTTGAGAGTGAAAAAAAATACAACAACCTCTTATATTTTATTGTTTTTAATATTGGAGTAAGGAGAATTCTATGTAACCTGAAAGCTTTCATGTCATGTTAAGCTTGTTTGGTCCTAATCAAAGTATTTTTGGTATCTAGTTATATTACAGTGTTAGGTTTAGATGAAAAAGGCCTGTGGGTTAAACCACAGAGCCTAGGACTTGCCAATCAGAAGGTTGGCGGTTCAAATCCCTGCAACGGCGTGAGCTCCCGTTGCTCGGTCCCTGCTCCTGCCCACCTAGCAGTTCGAAAGCACGTCAAAGTGCAAGTAGATAAATAGGTACTGCTCAGGCGGGAAGGTAAACAGTGTTTCCGTGCGCTGCTCTGGTTCGCCAGAAGCAGCTTAGTCATGCTGGCCACATGACCCGGAAGCTGTACGCCGGCTCCCTCGGCCAATAAAGCGAGATGAGTGCCGCAACTCCAGAGTCGGCCACGACTGGACCTAATGGTCAGGGGTCCCTTTACCTTTAATGTCAGTGTTGCAGCTCTTCTGGGAAATGTCATATTGTGTGCTTCCAGAGATGGAAAGTTTGGCAGCACCCAGGTATTGCTGTTCTGATTGAATCTATAAATGTAAAAGCAAACTTGCTTTCAGGCTTCTGAAATCAAGGTAACATTCTGTAACCAGCCCCAATTGATCTGATTGAATCCTGAAATACTTCACCCCTTGTGGGCCACTTTGACAGGTAGGTGGGGCTCTCAGTCACCACAGGTGAAAATTTTCATTTGCAGTGCAGTTTGAAATCAAAACATATGGGGTAAGGCAGAAAGCTTTGGAAGTGTTGCCAATTAGTGCTTGCCAGTGCCAGTAATCCCTATTTCATTAACCCATGTGGCTTGAAATCAACTACAGCTTAGTAGTACAGTACTTGCAAATCTTACTTTGGGCAAAAAACAAACATAGTTTACCTGCCTCCCACCATATGTAATATATGACATAAGGTATAGGGCAGGGACATAAGGTGGGCATCTCTTGTAAATTTCCAGGGTGGAAACAGGTGTTTACTTACCCCATACAATTCTGTTATTGTAACATTAACACAGCAGTAAGGGAACAAACCATACAAAAGAGACTACCTTATAACTTGATTACTGCCAAGGTAATCTGCCATTATTTGGGAAGCCTGCTGTGGACCAGCTGGAGTTTCCAACCAAGGCAAGTTACATAAATATTCTGTTATTGATAAGGCTGCACTAAGTCATTAGTGATTTGCATTCTAAGTATTTTGCCTCTGCAAGACTGTTTTCAAACAGACTTTTCCTTCAGTATTTTGTAATGCCTTTTTTCCCTTTCCAGATGTCAGAAGACCTTGCAAAACAGTTAGCTAGCTATAAAGCTCAACTCCAACAAGTTGAAGCTGCTTTGACGGGAAATGGAGAAAATGAAGATTTACTAAAACTCAAAAAAGACTTACAGGTGAGAATAAGAAAAAGCTTTGTAACTTAAATGTTTTTACACGTATAGTGAAGAGGATCTTCTACACTGTCAGTGGCAAAGAATTTACCATGGTGATATTAACGAGATGTGCTAAATGTTGGGGTTTAAAATCTTTCACAAAGAACTAGGGCTGTCACCTCATTAAAGTGATTAAAGGCATCTCAATTGTATGAATTTTTGGCAATTAAATTGACATAAAATATGCACATGAGTAAAAATGAGAGTTCTGAAGCAATAAACCGCCCTGAGATCTTTTGATGAAGGGGGCCATATAAGTCAAATAAATCATGGGTAGGCAAACTAAGGCCCGGGGGCCAGACCCGGTCCAATCGCCTTCTAAATCTGGCCCACAGACTGTGCGGGAATCAACATGTTTTTACATGAGTAGAATGTGTCCTTTTATTTAAAATGCATCTCTGTGTTATTTGTGGGGCCTGCCTGGTGTTTTTATATAAGTAGAATGTGTGCTTTTATTTAAAATGCATTTCTAGGTTATTTGTGGGGCATAGGAATTAGTTCTCCCCCCCAAAAAAAAATAGTCCGCCCCCCCCCCAAGGTCTGAGGGGTCTGCTGAAAAAGTCTGCTGACCCCTGAAATAAATGAACAAATAAGCCAGTTTGTTTTCAGACAATTCACACGTGAATTGTAAGAGTTATTATCTCAGAAAAGGCATTTGCTTGTGCGTGAGAAAAAATGCCTTTTTAAAGATGGTGTTTGCCACCCACAATTTTTATGAGTGCTTGTGTGCCGAAAATACATATATTTAAAAACCTTCTGCTCAGTCAACTAGGGCACCTTTTTAGTTGCTAAAAAGTTTTAATGGATTAATGTAGCTGATTAATCAATAGAACCTCGTACTTTTATATTTTGCTCAGTGCTGTATGCAGTCTTTTAATACTGGTACTTTAACACTGATCTCTAAATGCTTTTTTAAAAAACTTGCAATTTTTCTCATTAAGCCAGGTGGAATGATTACCACAAATTGAAAAGCACTGTCCTGGAGTAAATGTTAATCTGTGTGTTCATTTGAGTTTTGCTTTTTGAAAAACACGGTAAACTAGAGTCTTTTAGGAAACAAATTTAGAATACTAGATAATGCACTATTATGTGTGCATTATCTTTAGAATATGATTCAGGTGTGCCTTGCAAGCACTAAACAGTCATCAGTGGTTCTAGCTCTTTGTTGCTCTTAGACTGTATTTTGCAAATGAATTTGTCATATGGTCTGTTTGTTCATTCATGTTTTCTTTGCCATTTCTACATGTAAGAGCAGCCTTTTACAAGCTTATTGTTCAGCTGCCAATATCTGAGGACAAAAGACAAGTCTTAATCGCATCAGATATGAAAGGTGCATATGTATTAAATTATTCCTTTTCTTGTTAAAATTTGTTCTATTTTTATTCCACCTTTCAGGCAGATACTGTCTCTCAGAGAAGCTCATCTCAGTCAAAAGTTCAATGATGGTGGCAGGCTCACTGCCTAAATGAAATGATGCACAGGCCCCACCCTATGGTTACAAATTAAAGGGACAAGAGAAAAAGAGGAGGGGAAGGGAAGCGGAAGGAAGGAAGGAAAAAGTAGATGAGGGAAATTAGTTTGACAACAATGTGTTATGTGTTTTACCTTCCTCTCCTTTCCCTGGATACCCCAAAAATCTGCTTCAGAGGCTACCCCAACCGTCTGGAACAGATTTTGAGTGGGTACAAGGGAGAGGAAAGGAAAGAGAAGTTTTGTTGCACAAGTGGGACAACAGTATTGGATACAATCCAGTAGATTTAAAAATCTAAAATACATGTAATTTATTACCTGTAGCTATAGCCTATTAATAGTTTTCCTTATAATCTCTAAATAGCAAAAACATATGCTGGAAACTAGTGAGCCCTCGCTCATATGTATTTCAAAGAAGAAAAGTATTTTCTGTATTCGTTCATTCTTTGTATCTGGTTTGTGTATAGTAGGCTATTCTCACATAAGTACAGTTTTTCAGTATTCAAACAATTTTCAGTATTCAAACAAGAAAACTTGCTGAAAAACCTATTTCTTTCACTAGCCAGTGCATTCATTGCACAGTAATTTCCTTTTTTAAAAGTCTCAGTAATACTTGCTTTATCACTGGAAGGAGAGCAGAAAACTCCATTCTGTAGTTGTGTATCATTTTCTGCAGTCTACTTTTTAGTCTTCCATTAAATATAATATTCATTTGTAATGCAAAGAGGAAAATGCAAACGAGAAATTTCCCTGCTGCCCTCCCCCAATATTAAAATTGGGATGAGCTATGGGAGTAGTATTAGATACTTGCTAAGAAACCAGATTCCCAAAGCTTATAGAAAAACCTTTAGTAAAATATGCGGACAGATTTCATGTGTTGTTCAGTCTGCTACCATTTGCCAGCAATACCGCAGTTGGTAAATAGTCTTCATGCATGGGCAGGGGTGAGACTGCTTAAACTGTGTTTGATGACTTTTTCTTTTCCATCCCCAGGAAGTTATAGAATTAACCAAAGACCTTCTTTCAACACAACCTTCAGAAACACTTGCAAGTTCTGACAGTTCTGCTTCTGCTCCTCCAAGTCACACATGGAAGGTTGGAGACAGATGTATGGCAATATGGAGTGAAGATGGACAGTAAGTGTAGAAACAAACTTCTGTAACAGTTACATGAAATAATACAGTTCCATGGTAAGATACTTCCCTTTGGTTTATACTCTCCTCTTCGGCTGACCACCAGTTCAGTAAAAATCATTGATTGGATCTTGTATTTTTCAAATACAAAATATATTAAACTTTAGAGCTAGGTCCATTGTTTTAACTCTTTAATTTGACTAGAGCGTTGTAGAATACAATATGGCTTGTAATATCTTTTAAAATTTGCCACCTTCTAAAAATCTGGTGTGCAGTAACTGAAATCTGTTGTGAATACATTTCATCACTAATCTGAAAACGTTAATAGGAATGTCATTTACTTCAAAACTTGGAGCTCTGTTGAGATTGTATTAAGATACTTGGGAACCATTGAGGTGGCAGTAGGGAAAGAAGAATAGGGCAGCAAACTTTTCCACTGCTTCCTCCCCCTTTTCTGTACTGTAAATTTATTCTTTGAAGTGGGGCAGGAATGGGCTTAGAGAAAGCAGAGGTCCTTGCTCACAATTGTGTACATGTAGAAGGCTGCTGCTTTTGGGAGGATTTGTGGTTGTTGCACCCATCCAGACATGGTGGTAAGGGAATATAAAGCAGGGTATTTAACATCCTTCCCAAAACTATCCACAGGCAAATATTTTAAGAGGGTTGAATAAAGACTTTTAGAGCTCCCTTCACAAATAGTGATGTACCACTAGGGTGTAACCTTTTGCACATTTCCAAAGTGAATCAGTGATGGTCCTCCACCAGAATAAATTCAATTCACCTTAGTCTTTGCTGAAGTGGGATGCAGCAGTAAACCCCTCAGAGTCATTCTGTCTGGTATGATTTGCTGACAGCAGAAAGTGATGGTGTGAACCAACACATTTTCTCCTAGTCCTGTTGCCTTTGACCTGCCTTCTGCTGGTAGAGATATTTTTTAATACCTTATGGGAAGAAGACAACCAGCAGTTCTTCTTCTGCAAGCTTGGGGTCTCTTTCTTGCCATGGCCTTCCGCTTCTCCATTTAGGCCCCTGAGATGCCTGGGCCCAGACATTCCACTTAGTTTACTTAAGGATGTACTGCTTTTGAGTATCAGGTGATGTGATTGAGAAAAATAGATAATTACCTTGATTATCTATCTTCATTTAAGTTACTGTCACAAACCCTACCTTGCTTAATGCTTTTCTTAATCCATCTTCTTACATAAGTAATTCACTGCTTGCTTTCAGAGAGGGAGATTATATGAGGGCAGTGAAACCTCTGTCAAATTACAATCTCACATTGTAATCCTATGCATACATATCTCCTCAGGTGTAAGTCCCATAGAACTTCTAAATATGTGGGTATTGTGGCTGAATGCCTCTTGTGGTGGTGAAAATTAGTACAAATGATAAAACAGCCAAACACGAATCCTCCAGATCTATTAAACAAATTAGTTCTCACAAGATCAAACAAAAGTCAGGTTAAATGTGTGAAGGTGAAAATATATATTTGGTAACAGAAGATTCAGAACCGAAGTTTATTTCAAACCGCTTGACTAACGAGCTCTTGGACTTTAGGATTGTAACTAGTTTGCGTGCCAGGCACCTGACAATTCTTGAATTGAACAGAATTTATGTTTTAAGAGTTTTGACTTGAAATGCCAATCGAAAATGAAGCAGGAATGTCCTGAAACATAATAATATTAATCACTGCAAATACAAGTTTTGTAGGGTTGAGTTGTAAACCATTACTCACATGCTTACAGCCATGATATCTTTACAGGTGTTATGAAGCTGAAATTGAAGAGATAGATGAAGAGAATGGCACAGCTGCAGTCACCTTTTCGGGATATGGCAATGCTGAAGTCACACCCCTGCTCAATCTGAAACCTGTGGAAGAGGGAAGGAAAGCAAAGGAAGACAGTGGCAACAAACCCATGTCCAAGTAAGTGGCTGAAACAGTTTTCAGTTGGCTCAGTGTGTCATATAGCAATAAAAAGAGCTGTAAGGCTACTTTGCTGATGAATCATCTCTTCCCAAAGGTGATTTTACAGCAAAAAAGTCATAGAAGTCAACACTATCCTTAGATGTTATTGAACCATACTCTGCTTAGTTACCCTAGATTTGGGAAAGAGGTAATGCACATTGTCTATTCTCCCCCCCCCCAATTAAATAATGCCTTAGGATATGGTCTTCGCTACCCCAGTTTTAGAGGTCCAACCTAGGGAAACTTGTAAAGCCCAAAACAGTCTTTGCCATCTTAGGACTGAACTGGTACTAAGAACTAGGGATGGACAAATGGGTCTGTTTCTGTTCTGTGACATTTTTGTTTGTGCTTGTTCATAGGTCCTTTCCAATTTCACATTAATCTGTGATATTTTTTTAATCCAAATGAAAAAAAATGTTTAAATTTGGATTGAAATATATGGAGTGAATTAGGTCAGTTCTTAAAAATGCAGTTCTTAAATTATCCTCAAGCCCTACTGTGAACATATACATAGATAGTGGTTTGAGATTATGATGAAGGTGTTATGGTTTGTGCTGCTAACTTTAATGCTTATCATGCTGAGTTGGTTATTCTCATGAACTCCAAAATGATTGCTCCATGCCTGTGTAGTAGTATATTTCCCCTGGGACAAATTCTGAGCTAGAGTTGCTCTGTGTTTAGCAAGACATTAGCTAGTTTCAACTGATTTCTGAAAGAGAGCCGTTATTCGTAGTAGTGCATGAAAGTAGGATTGCTGTGCTTTATTGAAACTTGCAATGCACAGATTGCTTTACAGAAGGAATGACAGCACTTTCTACAGCTGGAGAATGAAATGGGCCTGGACAGCTGAAGCCCCATTGTACTGAGAGTTTATCTTTACATTCACCTAGCCCAAGGTGAGACTCTCTTAATCAGTGTATCCTTGCTTTTATCTACATGTTCTGAGAACAAAAGTGAAGTTAAAGCAAAGGTGATGTGGGGCTTCCAGTTGGTTGCAATGTAGATGTAATGCCCATACAAAACCATTGCCATATACTGTGGCTGAACTGCCAGTGTTGTAAAAAGAAGGCAGTTCTGGTGGGTAAAGATGTGGATGTAAGGCAGTATTGATAACTCAGAATTAACCACCTCAGCTTAATCTCTTCATGTTTATGTTTTGTGAAAATTTGCCCTGATTGTATAGCAACCACCTTGCCATGACATATTACAGCCCTTAGACTTTCTGAAGAGGAAGCTGAGGTACATAAGTAACCTTCAGTGCCATTTCTCATTTTAGAAAAGAAATGATTGCTCAGCAACGAGAATATAAAAAGAAGAAAGCTTTGAAAAAGGCCCAGCGAATCAAAGAACTGGAGCAAGAGCGAGAGGACCAGAAAGTCAAATGGCAGCAGTTCAACAACAGAGCTTATTCAAAAAACAAAAAAGGCCAGGTTTGTATATGCTTGCATTAGTAGCTTACTGATAGAGGTTTCTTGCTGAAGAGGAGCAGTGTTAAATGTATGGCAGCACAGGAGTAATCCCCCAAACAAAGACAAAAGAATATTATAGGCAAAGCTGTTTGTTTCTAGAATATACAATGGGAGAGATCTGTTTATAATATTCTTAACATACAGTGGTACCTCTGGTTACGAACTTAATTCATTTCGGAGGTCCATTCTTAACCTGAAACCGTTCTTAATCTGAGGTACCACTTTAGCTAATGGGGCCTCCCATTGCTGCTGCGCCGCCAGCGTGCGATTTCTGTTCTCATGTTGAGGTAAAGTTCTTAACCCGAGGTACTACTTCTGGGTTAGCGGAGTCTGAAACCCGAGGTGTTTGTAACCCGAGGTACCACTGTATTGTTAAATATCACTACACTTAGTTTGAGTCCCTGCAGATAGGGTGGGATAAACAGGTCCCAGTTTCCGAGCACAATGCATTTCCAGGAAATTGTTCGCTAGGCAAGCCTTCGCAATTTCCATTATTTCCTAGGGGAACATTTCTAATCCATGCTTTCTGCCTGAGACTGTTGCAGCCAATAAGCAAAAGCCAGGCAAAGGGATATCTGATTTGTCTGATGACTCTCCCTTCTATGGTTTTTGCCCAAAATGGGTGCTGGTGACCAGCAAAGCACAAACAAGTAAGGACACGAGCAAACTCCAGCTGTTTGGATATCTGAATCAGCCATTTCTGTAGCAAAGTTTGAGTATAATTTTTCGTGTCTGAACAACAGATTTCTGATAACAACCGTTCCAATAGTAGCACCTGTAAAGTTAAAAGTTCATGCCTATAAAGCTTGTGGCATAGTTGCTTGCACTATGATGCTTTCAGGCTGCCATAATGGTACAAAGCTCTTTGTATGTTTCATATTTTTGAGTTTGGTATTGCCAAATATAACTCGCACTTTGTTTGAACCATTGATATGTGAGTTAGGTTTTTAGTGTGTGCTGTTTGCATGCTAAATTATTTTGAGTGGTGGTGGCAAAGGAAAAACATTAATAAGCACCACATTGTAACGATACCCTTAACAGAGCATGCAGAAGACACTTCAGGCAACTGAGGCTGGTAACACTTTATGAAGTTTATAGCTATAGGGGCGAAAAATGTTTTGTTTTCCTTTAGCCCTTCTTTGTGCATTGAAAGGACCCTTATAGAACTGTAGTGGTTCACTGGGAGAAAATATGACTTGCTGAGTGCCATGACCAGAGCAGAAGTGCTTCATTTCCAATGACAGCTTTTTTGTTAAAGGTTCCTGTTTAATGATCATTAAAATTTAGTTGTATTTTGCTTTTTGAATGATGCATGTGAACATTTGATATTAGCACTCCTTTGCTGACTTGTTGAAATTTGAAAATGTTACAATTGGTGCTTTTAATTTGTTCCACAGGTAAAGCGAAGCATCTTTGCTTCTCCTGAGAGCGTAACAGGGAAGGTTGGAGTTGGAACGTGTGGAATTGCAGACAAACCCATGACACAGTACCAAGATACATCCAAGTACAATGTCAGACATTTGATGCCCCAGTAATTGAGGGAGAAAATGACTTAACATCACTTCTGCAGGGCTTTACATTTACCTTTTTATTGTTCTATTTTTCTAAAAGTAAACTATTGGCGCATAGTGAAAATGGTTGTTGACATCAGTTGGCTTATGCTGGTACAAGCCTTAAGCAAGGTAATAGCTGTTCAGATGACCCCTTTGCTCTTAAAAGATGTAAATTGCATAAATGTGCACACGTCAGACTATGTTGAAGAAATGCCCTTTGCAGTATCCTGAAGTGTCTGATTTCTCAAGTGTCCACCCCTGTAGCATTAGTTGGGAATGCCATCAAACAAATGGTCGTGAAATAAAATAGTTATCCCAGCTTTCCTTGCTCCCTGTTATGTGCTTACAGGCCTGCCATCTTATTGCAGGATAGCTGTTAAGCACTGTAACTCCTGCAGAGCTAGTACAATTATGATGACTTTCTCTGGGTTTTATTCTATTTTGAAAGTCAATTGTTAGTTGATCACAATCTGCATCTGCTTCCTTGGCTTGTAATGAATCTGGGCCATCTAATCTCCAGTTAATGATTCATAAGCCAGAAACAGTGCAGTTCAAATTTTAAGATTACAGGTTGAATGCATTGTGCCGGAAGTGTTGACAAAATCCATCTTCATGAGCAAAACAGGGTTTCCACAAAGCTTGACTGGTCTTGGTAGGCAAAATTTGTGCTCATGATTGACTCAACTGAGGAGAAGGGGTTTGAGCTTTGACATGAAGTCTCAGAGATGCTCTAAAGCTTAGTGTGACTTCAGGGGCATGTCCCTGTCATTTTCCCCTAGCCCAGGCCGGATAGTGGCAGAACCAGGGGCTTCTCCCTGTCACACTGAGCCTCAGAAAACCCCTGAAAAGCAGGAAGATACACTGCTGTTTCCCCACTTTGCAAAATCTCTGCAAGGTTGGGAGGGTGGTGGAGGGAACTCCCAGATCTTGCACTGAGTTTAGAAAGCAGTAGGACGTCTTGCTTCTCCCCAAGGCTCATCATAAATTGATGTAGATTTCTCTTGCCCTCTCTGGAGTATGGAGAAAAACTAGGGGAATCTCTGAATTCAGCACAAGGGGTGATATTCAACTCATACTTGGAGCAAACCCACTGAAATCAGGGGGTCTGCTTTAACTTAGTTGGGTATTATCCAAAGTCTTGAAGATTCCACCATCCTTCTCCCAGCTCAAGAAGGTGGAGGTTCTCACCAGAAAAAAAAGCACTTGCTAGTGCCAAGCAGGTAAGCATATTTATTGTCAGGAGCAGAACATTTTGATTTATAGGTCTTGAGAACCTACCTGTAGGCTTCCTAAGATGTATTCAGTCACTTTGCAGGTTTGATTAGCACTTTTAAGTGTTCAAAGAGTCAAATGTTACATATAGAAATAGTTATTCCTCTTGAGAATTACTCAGTGCGTTTATGTTGGTAAATATGGCAAGTCACCTGCATTTTGCTGAAATTTTTTTGTGCTTATCCACCTTTTTTAAATGCAACAGGAGGTTCCTCTTACAAGGTTTAACTTACGTTAGTATTGCTGGCCCTCCTTGATTTTATTTGGGAAACCATGTGTAAAAGTCCAGGCCTATTTGTATCTTGTGGATGCAATTGCTTCCCTTTGCCATACGTATTGCTTAGGGTTGTAGTCTATCTCTCAATCTTGAAATGTGTCTGACACAAAAAGTTAACGTATAGCCCTGTATACAGTGTAGATAATTATTTTTGTAAAATATGGTGTTAAGTTAATGAACAAGACTGGATTTAGTTATTTCTCGTACAAGAGTAATTCTTGCTCATTAATCTGAACTCCATTCCCCATGTATATTATGTTGTTGTAGTTCCCTTTTGTAATTTGTTTTCTGAATTAAATAAGATCAGGAACCATCAGCATTTGTTGATGCACTGATTAGTGTAAATGTCTGACAGTTTACTTGAGCCTAAAATCCATATCTAGTAGCTTAGAATCCATCCATAGAGAGAGGTTCTTCTTGTTAACAAAAGGAGGAGGTAATTTTTATGACTGTGTTGATTTCAGTTTTGTATGTTTAACTTTTATTAAAATAAAGAATTCAAAACCTCTTGGCTTTCTTCCAAAGAATCTAAAAATGTGAAAAAAATTAAATCTGGTATGAAATTATGTAATATGGTCAAAATTGTAGGAGTTGCAACACTTTTGAAATAACATTTGTGAAGTCCACAGACTACTAAGGTTTTTTTTTTCCTTCTAAAGAGATGTTCCTTAGTCAAATTGGACTATAGCAGTATCTTAATTTTTATCTAGCAGTACTGTGGCTTATGCAATTGATGACAGTTCACCTGTTAGGAAGACATGCATATTGAGGCAGGATTTTCAGTTGTCCTTGAAGCTGATCATTCAAATTCTGAATGTCTGGGTCCTGAGATCAGAAACTGCCAGGATTAAGATCTTGATTCTGTTGTTTGTTGTGACTGAATAGCTAACTTTCCTATGGGAAAGCATTTCACTTCTTTTCAAAGCAGGTAAAGCTGGAGGCCAGTGCAGCAGAGCCTACTGTTCTTTTAACTTACTGCAGGAGATTTGTGCACTTGTATGGAAAACTGGGCTGCAATTTTCAGTAGACTAGGTAAGCCTCTAATCAACGTAGATGGAGCTATGCTGTTGCAGCAGTTTGACAACTGAACTAGTATTAATTTTTTTCACTAGCGATGTGGGAAGAGAAAAGGGTAACAAATCTTACTAGAAATAAAATTTCATAAAATTTATTTGTATATTTTAAACAAGTTTATATAGATGCCCACAAACAAAAGAATAATGTTTACAATGATGGAAAATGTAACATCTTTGTCAGCACCATCCCTGCACCATTATAGATAATGCTGTTTCAGTATTGTTTTGACGATTGGCGCTGGTCAATTTAAGCACCAATCATGGATTGGTTGGGGGGTTTTATCATTCAGTTCCTCAAGTAGCAGTTGGCTACAGCACCATTAGAGTAACTGCACCAAAGTTCAGGAAATCTCAGAGGAAGCAAAAGTAGCGATAACAGAAATCTTAAAAATAAACTTGCACATAAAAATATTTGTCAAGAGGATACATATCTGTTTAAACATGGAATTGCATTCCTAGACCAGTGCAGTATCATTATATAGAAACATAGCACTGTACATTTCCCCCCTTTAATACACAAATTACAAAGGAAACCCATAATTCAGTAGAGGCTGAAACAGATTTGCTGGTATTTTTTTAACAGCTGGGAAAAATTATACTGGCACAAACCTAATTTGTGCATCAGACACTGGTTAATGTGATTGAAGATAAAATGTACTTACTGGGTTTAAAGACCTGTATTGTCATTTTACATTAGAATATAATAGTTGCAAACATAAATCCTATGCAAGATTACACTGCAGTAACTCTTTTCTTTTAAAATAGCAAAGTAATAGTTAGAAGCTGCAGAAGAAGTAAGTTTAGGAAAACATGTTGAGATTTGCAAAGTGAGATGTCATGCTAGAATTACAATTTCCTTTGCATTCTGCGATGGCTAGGCTTGAAGATCAGTAGCAGGATTGGTTATATACCGCAAGACTGTGACATTTTAAAATCCAAGAGCTACGTAGCACAACAGTGATTGATGAAAAAATACACTTTTTTCTTAGGTGTTGTGATTTTAAAACAATTTAATGTACCACGTCAGTAGGTGCTGAATAGGGACATCAGCCTATTCCAACAAGAGCACTATCAGAAATATCTCCAGAGAAGCACATTTTCTCTGTGGAGGAGCCCTATCATTACTTATTTGGGTTGAATTTGAATCATGTTTTTATAATGGGTAAGGCATTTTATGCATATAAAGGGTTAGCTTGTCTTCATTTGGCATGTTCTTCATTCAAAAAAGGGATTAATCTGTTCTGGCAGTTTGCAACAAGCAATGAGCTGCTATGCAAGAAACACCTGCCTGAATACACCCCCTAGTTACTGCCAATTGGAGCATCATGTTGCACAACCTGGTTGGTCCCTCCCTTAGGGGGTCAGCTGAAGTCCCTATAGGGAAGGGTATATAACTTACACTCAGTTTCCTGACATGCAATATTTTGTTGTGTGTTGGAGCGCCTGCTAAGTTGCCTAGCTCCTGTAAAATTTCTAGCAGGACTTGCTGATATTTTTCTATCTAGCAAATGTCTGAATTGATATGTGTCTTCCACATTGGATTCAGTAATTGATTTTACTATTCAGCTCTTCAAATCCTACATAGCCTTGTAGATTTCATTGTTTTTTGTTTGTATGTGACAAGTTAATCTTGCAGAGCATTACTTGACTGGAGATTTTAGCCACGGTATAATAGAGTGTTTGGCATGCTTGAGCCCACTGTAATCAAATGACCAGCCTGTTGAACTCTTTGTGTGTGACTTGGTCCCTGTTGCTTTTGTAACAGAAATTAAGGATAGCTGTGTATTTGAGAAACTGTACAATGCTACTGTAGCTTGCATTTGGGGGTGGGTGAGGAAAGTAGCCACTTCAGGTAAGTAACTTTGCTTAAATATCTATCTTAAATGTACAGAAAATAGGAAAGGAGCTGAAGGTTGATTCACACACGTAGAAGTTTCGCAATAGTAGCTACTAGAAAATCCTGCCGTTTTCCTTAGCAGCTTGTCTTATACACCCACAGCCACATGCAGCATTCAGCTTTTGGCATGCTGCAGTAACCATTGTTTCTTGAACTCCTGATGCTGGATCCTCTGCCTAGTATTGAGCTGAAGGTTAGTCCAGTGTAGAACGGTTGTGCATTCTCTCCCCCGCCCCCCAGCTATTTTGTGGACAGTGATCATCTGAGTTGGCCCAGAGCTTTAATCTAGTCCTGTTACAGTCATAGAAGCAGGTTCCTTCTGTATGCAGTGGTTGTTAATAGAGTAATATACTAAAACCAAGATCATATTGTGCTACAAGGAATCAAGAGGGGCGGGGCAAACTACGTAAATGCTAGTGGTATCTGAAGTATGAGGACATAGATATTCATAGCTATTTTAGTAGCATTTACATCCAAATTTCCTGTTTTTCTTAAAGGGATCTTTAGCATTTTAAAACAATAGTTCTGACACTGGCTTATATATACCCACACTGGTTTGACCAGCTGAACAGAGAAATAGTGGATAGTGTTTAGTACAGTTAAAAAAATTCTTTGCAACTTGGCTAGAGAGGAGAAAAATGAACAATTCTTGATGTTGACGGTTCTGTTTTTAGTGTTCCTTCTTTTGTAAATTCTTATTGTTTAGAACTTTCCAGTGGCGTAATTTAATGATGGCAGGTGTAGACTGTGCACCAGGGAGGCCAGCGTTGTAAAATTGCTAAGGATTAAGCCATAGGTGAAGAGTGAACAGTAACAACTGCTACTTTCAGTTGGCTCTGACATTTGCCAGTTTCTCTCTAAGGCCATTGATCTGATGCAGACCATGGTACCTCAGCTGGTCCTGGTGCTCTGCCTCTGGAAGCTAAGATCATGGGTTCACATTGGTTAAATCTTCTTTAACTCACAACCCTTTTTCCACTTTTGTGTTGCATGACCAATCATGTGCTACTGGAACTGCAGTTTCCAGCTCCTCAGTGCATGAAGTCTGAAGAGCAAAAGATGAAGTCACAACAAAAGAGGGTTTCAAGTTTCTGAGAATCATGAATTTTAATTAACTGTAAGTTGTTATTGCCCATATTAGCCCATTCCACTAGTATGTTACTGTCTTTGAACTGAAGTGCCATAGTGTGCTCCAAGTCATATAGTCCATCACATTGCACAAGTTTGAAGTTCAGTGCTGTCTAGTTGCTTCACTCAAGACTGTTCAGGGAAAAGTGGCCATGCATGTACAGCTGCTGCTTCCATTTTTCATCACATTCAAAAAAGCTCAGATATAGGGCACATGATTTGCATGGAAAGAGTTCAATCCCTGCATCTCCAGGAATATGGCTCTCCTATGGCAAGGTTTGGAAATATCCATGCCTAATCCTAGAGAGAGAATAAACATCGACACTAGCAACCTCACCAGTGGTTGCTTATGTCCATCATTTCCTAGGTTGCAGAAAACAAATATAACTCTTGCGCATTTTCTGGATATAGTAAGATACACATCCATTCTTGGCATTACCCACACAAGCATTAACAGTGACAAATACCTGAAATAAGAGCTTTCACCAAGATGAAGACAAACCTGGACTGATATATTTCTCAGTAAGCGTCATGAATGTCAACAGTCTTGGTGATAATGAAGTCAGTTTAGCCTTTTTATGTTCATTAACTTTTGGGTGAATAGAATTTCCCAGCCATTCAAGGCCTGGTGATGCACCTATATGGGATTACCAGTTTTGGAAATGGCCCATTCCTGCAGCTGATGCAATCTTTATGCCAAATGCAAAGTCACATTTAACTTTTGGGTCTCAGTCTACAGATATAGGCACGTTTATCTGAAAGTGAAACACCACTGAACACAGTGTGACTTCTGAGCAAACACGCATAGGGTCACATTACAAATTAGACATGGGGAGGGGGAGAAGATTACATATAAATGTATCTCAAGTGTAAGGAACAAGAGGAAATTTCAAGATATAAATTCAATTTAATGACGAACATGGGGAAATAAAGCCTTTTCTAGATGTTATATTGAAGTTTGAGCTGCTTTCTGGCTATCACTATGATTCTTAAGTTACACAAACATACCCTTTTCATATTTTTTTTAATAGAATGGCTAACATAACATACATATTCAGCCTGTTGTACCTTGTTGCAGTGGCTCTTTAACATACAAACTGTTGTATGTGATTCTAGAGCAACACTTCAAAGACCCTCTAGGTTTATATTGTGCTTGTGCAGAATTTAGTGTAGGTAGAATCTTTTTTATATGTTACTTATTATACAAAGGGAGGTTGTGTGTCTAGCTCTAACCCAAAGGTCACACACAGCTCTTCCTGGTGCCTTGTTGAGGAATAACTTATGAAGGAGAGAACCTTTTTATCAGTGTTCTAAATCATTCTGGGAATCTATGGAGCTAGGAAATTCCTACTCCCCAAACATTCTTAAAGAGGGTCCAGGAACAGTCATGTTACCCCTTCAACAAAGTAATGTATGAAGAGATTTGTCCGTCCTTCCCATCTAATTATTTTTTACATGATCTTGACACATAACAGCACTTTTTTGTTGTTGTTGTTGTTGTTTAGTCGTGTCCGACTCTTCGTGACCCCATGGACCAGAGCACTTAGATCAGTATTAAACATCTGGACAGCAACTTTCCAGGCTCATCTTTTTTCTAGTCCTTCTAAAAAAAATTTTCCAACCAGACATGTCAGGGTTTGAACTCAGCCCCTTTTACCTTCAAAGCATGTACTCTGCTACATGAGCTCCTGTGATCAGAAATGGACTCAAAGGATGTCAGTTGGACAGATTTTTGTGTCTGCAAAATCACAAACCAAGGCTACCCACACAACTCAGTACTACAATTTTGGCTCATTTTGAGTTCTTGCCAGTCATTCTGACAGTCCCAAAGAATTGTGCTGGGACACCATAGCTTCACACATGCAGATTATGGGCCAATTAACAGATCTCAGTACTATAAAAGTTGTTGCTACTGGTTCAGCTGAACGTTTTACTCCCATTAACTACAACTAATGGGTTCTTATTCCAGCCACTAGAGGGAGAGAGTACCACATGCAGTAAACCAGAATGTTTATAGAGTCACCTAGGGGAGATTAAGGTAGAACAACAACTGGATCCAGGCTTTACCAAACAAAATAAAAAATAAAAAACCCCAGCTCTATAAAACACACTATAACCTTGGTGGGATTATGCTTCTATTTCATGACACAGGTTCTAAAGTTGTGTCTTGTATTATATGACACAGTAATAGCTCTGGGGTGAATGGATAACATGTGGGTTCAAACATACACGCAGCATATCAGTATCAAGACAAGATCTACATGAGAGGTCATTTGGGGTCATCTAATCACATGGCCAATAGGTTTTTTAAAAAACTTCCAGGCACAAGAACATGGGAATTCTAAAATATTATCATGAGTGACCAAAATGGCAGAACACAGTGCATTTCAGATACAGAAATGTTTAATGGTGTTAAAGTGCTACTATTAAGCAGAACCATATGCTAACATTTAAACACAATTCCACTGCACTGCTAAATGAGGTTACCTTGTTTTTTTTTGTTTTTTTGTTTTTTGTCGCCCAGCCCTATCTAAAGAATAATAAAATTAAAAATCTACAGGACTGAAATTAACAACCCAATAATTATAATCAGCAATAAGTTATGAATTTTATAAAGCTTTTTTTTCTCTTTTTCTCTTTTTTTCCCTTAGTAATTACGGGGTAGGCAAATTACTTAAGTCTCAAACAAGTGTCATAAATGAGGTCTCTAAAAGAAAGAAGTTTAAACTTGGTAAAGGAACAATAATAAAAATCCTTGTAGTTAAAAACTTAAAAGTGAAAGCAAAGAAGACCTCAAAGTGCAGGTTAGAAAGCTTATCGCAAAAGGAAAATCATTTTTTAAAAATTGGATACAATCTTATTTTGTTAACAGCAAGACAACTGCAACAGTTCCTGCTCAGGGAGAGTGGGAGGCGTCCCCTGAGGAACTGTGAGACACATGCCATGTTAACTGTGGGCCCACAACTATGGTTGGATCCAGGTGGCAAAGTTTGCAAAGGGAATCCATAAAGGAAATCAAAAGGAAGAGCCATAAAACCCGAGGAGAGTTCCCTGTTCCTTTTGTGCATGGCAGCAGAAAAACGGGTCCCTTTCCATTGGTGTTAGTTACAAAAGACATCTGCAGAATCATGCCTAGGAGTTCTAAAAAGACATTGTTGCATGTAGGTTCTCTCACCTGAACAACTTTTACAAACATTTATCAAAATAATTTGCAAAAGGAAAAAAAAAAGGATCATTGCGGCTCAGAATGGAGGCTGTGCCTTTCCTGAACATCATATCTTTTACAGGCTTGTCTGTCTGTCTGTCTGGCTCTGTCAGAAGCATCACTCTATAGACAAGGAGTTACTGCTGTAGCCATTGAATCCAGAGAGCAGTTGCACTGTGTGCTGGTATTTTACAGCTCAACACCCTAGTGCTAAATAATGCGGCACAAGCTCTTGCCTTGAAACAATGTCCAGCTGAAAAGTTGAGCTGAATGAGAATTGCTTCCAGATTTGCAGCACCTCTCTTTTCACAGGGCATGAGCAGAGCTTCTAACTATTATTGTTATCTCTTAGGTAATAATGATCAGAGCTGACTGGAGAAACCTAGTGGGCAGAAGGTGTTGACTGGACTAGCTACTGCTGGTGAGAGTACACAAGAACTTCCCATAGTTCTCGTGTTCAGGTTAAAGGGGGAAAGAAGCTTCAATCAAGTGATGGGATTTTAAGGAGAATGAAAAAAGAAGTTTTGTAATTCATAAAATTGTGCAAACTCATCAGAAGAGGCTGGTCCAAGAAACTAGTATCACCTTGGCTACTTTTGTCCCACAATCTGGGACTAGCGTTAGATCATCATCATGAGATATTGGACTAACGCTTTTATTTATATTTAGCACCACAAGGGCTCTTAACAAAGCTTGCTAAATTTGGAAGATGGAAAAAAATCCATTTCTCAGAAGGTATGACAAACTGAGAAAAAGGATTGGGGCCAGAATCACCAAGATCCCTTGTCCAAATCAAATAATCTCTTAGCAAAGCTATCCACTTATACATGGGCAAATCTCAGTCCAGCTGTGCACAACTGGAGTCCTGCTTCAGACGTCAAAATAGCTATGGGTTCAGCACTAAGTCAGTATTTTGGACTATGACAGTATGGAGACTGACTGACTCCCCTGTTAGGTTCCCACCCTCCTGTGGACCCACAGAGCTATTCTAGAGTTGCATCTGTCCAAGCTTAGCTGTTGAAGTGCGGTTTGGAGAAGAAAAATACTGTATCTAAGAGCTCTGCTGTGTGAACTTCAACTACCCCAAAGAAATCATCTGCTCTGCCCTAGCACCATGCTCTAGGAAGTGAAGGAGAGCTTGACACTAGCGCTGGAGTAACCCTCATCACTCCCAATGCTTTGCAAGCTGCTGTGGTCATCAATGTCACTTGTACTGGTTGTGCTGATATCATCCACGTCTCCATGGGAGAATTCTGTGCTTTCCACATCCACTTCGATTTCTTCTGCAAAAGAAGGAAGACCCCCAAGTTAGTGTCAGGGTAGGTTCACTGTTCAATCAAGACTGGCAAAAGGTCCTGGCCACATCATGAGATTTGCTTGGAAATGTCTAGTGTTGTATCATTGAGGAAAAAGGAAGAACAGAAGGCAGGAAACTGTCTTGTTATATTAATCAATGTTTTGAAAGAATTATTATTACAACCCATTTGGTGCCAGCTGATTTGGACTCCCAATTTAACAGATTTTGGGTTAAACATTTTAAATTATTGGTGAACGCTCCTGAGCAAGGAAAGGAGCTTATTACTACAGAACTATTTAACTGCTTAGTACATTTTCAGTCATTTTGATTAGAAAGTTATTGATTAGATTATCACTTTCAGCTGCTAGCTCAAGATAGAAAATTCATATCTAGTGGCACAGCCTTGGATTAAGCAGATAGTTACCAATACAATATTGTAAATCTGAACTCCTGCTGCTCTAGAAAACAGATTACCCCTTCTCAAATCAACAACAAGGAGCTTTGTTGCAAACCAGGGAAGGAACATTAATCGTTGCATGCAAATTATACCCAGACACTATCACATTCTACGCTTTGAATTAGTAATACAAGTAAATTGGCATCCTCTCACTTAATTTGCACGATTCATTCTAAATTTTTGAGTTCTCAGAGATTTAAATTTGCAAGGGCAAATGAGGACTAGGAAAGGGTCATTTGTGGAGCAGGAAGACATGCAGACCTTCAGCCATCTTGACCAATGGATGCCTAGCATAGAGTCTCCTTTTACAGTCTGTTGTTTCAAACACTTAGAAAAAGCACACAGCAGAGCATGGAACTGTACTATCTCAGAATGCAACACATGTTGAAATGCTCTAGTGCATACAAATACAAAAATATGGAATATGGAAAATTAGCACTTCAGGGAGAAAAATAGACTAGAAACTTACCGTATTTTTCGCTCTATAAGACGCACCAGACCACAAGACGCACATAGTTTTTGGAGGAGGAAAACAAGAAAAAAAATATTCTGAATCTCAGAAGCCAGAACAGCAAGAGGGATCGCTGCGCAGTGAAAGCAGCAATCCCTCTTGCTGTTCTGGCTTCTGGGATAGCTGCGCAGCCTGCATTCGCTCCATAAGACGCACACACATTTCCCCTTACATTTTAGGAGGGGAAAAGTGAGTCTTTAGGAGGGGAAAAGTGAGCAAAAAATACGGTATCCGAATGACTGAATCAGCAAAGAGCCTTGACCTGCAAGTGTGTCCCTGTATTTACAAATTCCTCTAGGCAACCATAAAAGACAGGCTTTAATGAAAGAGGACACTAATCCACATAGTGTATCAAACTGCATGGCACATTATGTATGTCCCATGCCATTAAAAATATATGGACAATACTTTGGGTCATCAAGCACACTGGCTCACCATCCTCAGAAGATAAAACAAACTTCTAGGGGGAAACAATATATAATAATATTCTGGAGTCATCCTGGAGAAACATATCAAACATCTCCACTTCTGAGATTTCTCAATGGTTATGTAGAAATCAGGTTAAAATAATAGCTATGCCAGATACATACAGCCTTATTTCAGTCCAGCATAGCAAGAGCAAATTAGCAAGGGTGTTATAAGGGAGATGAGACTCTGCTGCTAATTGATCCTGCACAGACACAATGACTTGGGGCACAATATTTTTGCTATTCCCTTCATCTCATCTAAGAACCCCATGTTGACATATACTGATATTATGCCAAGGCAGACTAGGTTCGAGTTTATCAGTGTTAATGTGACAATCATTCTGGTTAACGCTGCTTCCCAATTATAGGCATACCTCATTTTTTGCGCTTTGCTTTATTGCACTTCTCAGATACTGTGTTTTTAATAAATTGAAGGTTTGTGGCAACCCTGCGTCAAGGAGGAGTCATTTTTCCAACAGCATATGCATGTTGTGCTTCTGTGTCACATTAATTAAGATATGCACACTGGAGGGCTTTTTTAGACATTATGCTATTGCACACTTTACACTATACTAGATGTTCACACTATACCGTAGTCTAAACTTTTATATGCACTAGGAAATCAAAAAGTTTCTGTGACTCACTTTATTGCAATATTTGCTATATTGCGGTGGCCTGCAACTGAACCCACAATATCTCCGAGGTTTGCCTGTACTATGTAGGATAAGAAGTGCAAATCATCTTGTCACACCTTAGTGATGTCATTCTCGTATTCACAGTTTGTGCTTTTCAAATCCATTTTAAATATAGTAACAACACTGGTACCATTTGCATCCAGAGATGTTTCTGCCACAAATGAATCTGAGAGCTTTCCCCAAATATGTTTTGTGGTCCCTCATGACTAAAAGAAGAAAATCTGAAATACATTTGGGTATGGCCACCCACTTCTTCACAGTCACTGGAGGATCCAACACATGAAACACTCCAGTGCACATTGGGAGATGGCAAATCAATGGGGTTTAAAGCCATTATCTTTGCGCTGGATTGTGCTTCGTGCTACTAGTTTCTGTGTTGAACAGTTCCAGGTGAAGGGCCAGGGTGGTGAAAATCAAAAATCAATACCATAACAGGAAACGAAAAGCAGCATGGGGTCAAAATGATATCTTGAACCCCATCTCATCTGACTCCAGCTGTGAGCCTTGTTAAGAAACTACCACGAAAGAAATAATGTTTTAGATGTCTGAAAGCAGGCTGCCTTGCCAGATGAATTAGATTCAAGCTGCTCATGGGCTGAAGGAGGGGAGATGCGTGGAAAGGGAGCCTCAAAAATTCTGCACCCTTCTCTAAAGTCACAGATGAAATACTGACCCCGCTCTGAATCAGAGCGATCTGAGGAAATGGTTGATCCAGTGCTGTCCATTCGTATTCGCTCGATCTCCTGAGAGCCCTGCAGCTGCTCCAATCTTCGCTTTAAGAATCTTTGCTCTCTTTCCAGGTTATCAAGCTGGTGCTGGCTTCTCCTGTCAGCCTCTTCAAGTTTCTGCCATGATAAAAAGCAAGCAAATTATTGTTTCTTGACAGCTACGGTATGTTCTGCCTCCACTGTCAGAGGCAAGATGCCCCTGAGTGCCAGCTGTGGGAATCACAAGTGGGCAGAGTGCTGTTGCGCCCCAGAGCTGCTTGTGGGATTCCCATAGGCATCTGGTTGGCCACTGTGAGAACACAATGCTGGACGAGATGAACCTTTTCTTACATCCTTACAGAGGATTTCCCTAGTATTTTTCTGCAGACTCATTTCCCTCTGTTGACTAACATCTGAAATGAATTATGTTCTCGGGTGGCACCGAAACAGCTTGCTGGTGGTGGCAACAAGAACGAAAACATCTCTGTGAGGATTCTGGTGAGTAATTAACAGGACAAAATCAAGGGGAGATCGAGTATAGCGCTTAATTAACACGGGACGCTGCACTGTCAGCTCTCTCCATTAGTGGATCATAGTCTCCTGACCCAGGAACATTCAGCCCTGTTCAGATTATTTAAGTGGAAAAGGCATTAGAAGTTGTTTTTTTTTTAAAAAAAAAAAAGGTTGGTGTACCCTTGTTCATTTGGTTTATTAGGTATTTCTTCGAAGCAGTTTCCCAGTTGAACAGTGGTTTATGTAATCTGCTGCAGACTCCTTTGATCGCAGCTGGGAAATCTTACCAGGCCAGTGCACAGGGTTTCCTGATGGCCAGCATGTTGCGTAACTCTAAAGTCATCTCAGGCTAATGCCATCCGTTTAAGCAAGCACGGTTCCCCTCCCTTGCTAAGCCTGAGCTGTTCCAGTGTGTTTAAGCACATCCTGATCCCTGTGAGCCTGGCACTACCCTTTGTTAAAGCAAACCATCAGGAGAAGAGTCAGAAAAACTGCAAACACGAGCACCTGCTGTGTTGCTTCAAAACAGTCTGGCTCTTTCTTTGTGTTGCTACTGACTATTGTGCTGGCTTTCCCTTTTCAGGGCATTAAAACAAACCAACAACAGTTAACACTGGTGGCCCTTAGCAGCATTTCCCTGTAGCATGTGGCCTGGCTCAGTTGCTTAAGTTACCTGGAGTAATTTGTGCTGAACATCAGATTCTCTCTATGGCACACTTTGGTCTAGATTATGTTGAATGATCTTTCACTGGTCTTGCCTTGCTTCTGAGATTGGGTTTGATTTTGAACAATTCCGTCCAGCTCAAATTCTACTATTTTCCCCCTTTCCATCTCTGAAGAGTTGAAAGCCCAACTTGAAACAACACTTCTGCTGCTATTGTTAATGCAGCAATTTTGTTAGTCTTTAAGGCAGTAAGGGACACTGCTATTTTTATTTCATATTCATAGTGTGCATATTACAGTTTCAGGAGAAATTCTAGCCAAGTAAACATCTTACGATTTCAGCCATATTATTTACTATCCTGTTTTCTTCAGTATTTCAGTGGTATTTATACACTCAATATATTTGAGAGTTAATTTACAAAGAATGCCAGCAGAAGGGCACATCATTTCAAATGATCCAACTCTTAATTTAATTTTGTGGAAAAATCTGCATTCTAAGACTATGATTAATGACATAATGAATCACACCAGATATAAATTTTAGGCGCATGTAGTAAAGTGCAATAAACTCATTGCATATAGCCAAATGCCTTTCCAAAGCATTCATACTACATATTAGTTTTGAACTTATTCAGAACCTCCCGATCTTGAATATGCTATAGGAACAGCCTGGGGAAGACAGAAACCTTCCCACATCTGACTGCAGCTTCTCCTGCAGTGAATTCATTAAACTTTTGTATCTTTCTATTATAGTTTCTAACATGAAGCTGAGAGCCGCAGTTTGGATATTATAGTGATTATAGTCTGTTAAAACTCCAGTGCAAGCCCTGTTGGAATTAATGGCGTTTGCACAATAAATATTTTTCAATTGACTCCAATGGCTTACAGACTGCAGTGTCCTGCACAACTCCTATTGATTTTAATGGCATTGGTGCAAGACAAACTCTTGATGAATTTCCTGGTTTGTGAAACTGCAAATGTTCTGGAGTTTAAAAAGAATCCTTTAAAAACAAAGAGTAGCATTTCAGGAACAGTATTCCCAATGCAAGGTCAATCTGTACATTAATGGCCAAACTAGGGCTGCAATCCTATGCACACTTACTGGGACTCAGTAAAGTCTTATTGAATTCACTGAGCCCTTTTCAAGTCAACATGCATAGGACTGTGCTGTAAAAACAACAACTTACAATGTAATAATGTTATGATACTAATCCTCCAAGGTAGGGTGTCAACTTTCCTTAGTGCAATTATGGCTCCTAGATAATCAAAACTTCATTACCAGACTAATCTTACTGAAACGTGCTGGAAAAACACAAAGAGATGCAGCTCTTACCTTGATATGTGCTTTGGCTTTGTTAAGCAGCCCGAGGGTTGTGTGTCTGGAGCAGTCAGGTCCTAGTGGTATCAGAACTTTTAAACGTTCTAGACACAGGCGGAGGTGAGCTCGTCTGTGAGGAAGAGATGTGGGAGTCAGAGCTGCATTTCATTAGATTCCCAAACAACAGTACCCCAGTTCCCCCAGGCATCTGGTAACAACCTTGTTGTTTCAGCCGCACCTGACATTCAACAGATTTCACTTTACGTGGCAAAACTCTGACCTCAATAGAATGGTATGTTCAATAAGGCACAGGCAAAGGGATTAACTAGATGATCTGTCCCATACATTGTGGGAAAAGTCAATCCATTGCCTTCCTTATAGTTACCATCTACAGTGACCTAAGACAAGGTTCATTCCCAGACATAAATGCAACGACTGGTTATACATCGGCAACACCTATCACATATTGGAGTACTCCTGAATTTTTCAGTGTTCAGTAAAGAAACTTGGAAATGCAGTGGCCCCATGTACTAAATAGAGCTCAAACCAAGACGGCATGTTCAACACCACCACCATTATTCTTCCATCGCATGCAATTATTTTGACATCCAGCCACTGTGTTTAGGGAACCGATTCAAGATGTTTCCTATTAAAAGATCAACAAGGAGCCTAGGATTATACAATACCATCATGTAGTGAGCACAAGACATACAGTCCTTCATATGTAACAGTACTGAGGGCCTTCTTGGTAGTGGCGCCCTCCCTGTGGAACTCCCTTCTTTCAGATGTCAAGGAGACAAAGAACTACATAATTTTTAGAAGACATCTGAAGGCAGCTCTGTATCGGGAAGTTATTAATGGTTGATGTTTTATTATGTTTTGATATATGCTGTAAGCCGCCCAGAGTGGCTGGGGAAACCCAGCCAGATGGGCGGGGTATTAAAAAAATGAATATTATTATTATTAATAATACTACAGATGAGTCCATGGCAAGGATGCAAATTGAAACCATCTCTCCTCAATAAAATACAGCATTCCATACCCTGGACAAATGCAGATCCACAAGTCAAGGTGCTGATGAATATTAGCACATCAATACCAGACTAGCTAACTCGAAATACAACTGCATATCAGACTCATGATTGACTGCTAATTTGCATTCTTTAAAATACTCGGTATACTACAGGGCAGGTAACAGGAGCCTAAATCAAAGTAAATATTACACTACAACAGCATCTACCAAAAAAATCTAACCTTGATTGGCTTAGGCCCAATGAGCAAAAACAAAACAGAAAAAAACCAAAACAAAAAAAACCCTTTTTAACACTTGCTAAAAGATAAGGCTTGAGGTTTTTTGTAATCTTCGAGGGAATAAAGCAATACAGCTATGGGTAATTCTGCTTCCCTTCAACACTAGAATGAATGGCAGAGTCAAGAGGCGTTTCTTGGTCAACCACAAAGATTTCAGTGGAACACAGGTGGCTAAACCCAGTAAAATACTTCTGGGTTTGCCACTTTTGCGTTCCAAAGTTTACATAACCAGAGGTACTACTGTATCAGGCATTAAAAACTTCCCTGAACAGGTCTGCCTTCACTGTACTCTTTACAATGCCTACTAAAAACATGTCAGCTCCCCCACTTTCAGGAAACACGATGATGGAGGGGGCTGCAAAGTTTATTGTAGGGCTAAAAGCGGTGAAGGGAGCCAGGGAGAGAATTCAGGGTTACAGCTAGAGGTGGAAAGAAGCTGTCTGGACGCCAAGTCACTCATGGAAAGCAATAGAGGACTGGATCTGGAATACAAGTTTCTCAGAAGTCAGGTCTACCCAGGCCTCACTGCTGCCCAGTCACGGATCTACTACAAATGGTAGCCTTGGATTCTAGGTATATATGTGCATATGTTTACTTATTTGGACCCTTTATTTCCCACACACCCCGTTCCCTGGGAAAAGTCCTTCATCATATCTCCAGTTGTGGCTGTTCCCAGCACCTCACTAGATAAAAAGTACATCTATCCATTCTCAGGTCAAAATAAAGACCTTCCTGACCCTGATAAGACCATGCAGACTACACTGAGGTGAAGTGAGGAGGCACTGAACACACAGAATTAAGTTAGAGCTCATTTTGAATATGCAAAATTATTTTATTAAACACCCCCATCAAAATATTTAATACAGCACCACCCACATAAAGGAATATATGCAAAAGAGCCAGTTTCTTCAGCTAAAAACCTGAATTTCAAATAGGATACGAAACAGGGAGGCAAGGTGAAGACAAGTTATATTCCCCCCCGAACCGTTTTTAAGATGATGCAGAACACTCCTCAACAATGACCAAAATGCCCATCTTCTGAACTAAACCAATAAAGGTAGAGTTGGTAGCCGTTTGTTCTTGCGTCCCTCTCCTGAAGAAATCTCCCCAATGCTCATTCACAGCTTGCGACTGAAAGTGAAATCCCCAAATCGATAACACCATGACGTCAGCCTCTCCGTTTACACTGAAGGCCTCCCGAGTTCCTGAAAGCCTTCATCAGTCATGTTCATAGACAAAGGAGGGGAATGCAAGCTCAGTCCATCTGAATGAAGGCCGAAAAATTAGTCTGGGTGCTTCATTTACATTTTGTATTTCACATGCACTATTGTTAGTAATCTGAAAGGAGTCCAGGAGGGGGGAGGTGTTGGTAATCGCACAATTATATCACTGACAAGCAAGGATGATTAAGGGTGGTGGGGTCAGGGGTTTGGCTGATGAACTGTCACAGGAAGAGTAGCACCCACTAGAGAGGACAGCCTGTCAGTGTTCGTATTCCAAAAAAACTCTTCACAAAAGGCTGTAATTCACTTGGAAAAACAGCCCCAAGGCTCTGACTTTGTCTTTGCTGGATTTGTTTTTTAACACGTAAAAAAATAAATAAAACCTTTAAAAACTCTGGAAGAGAACAATGCATACTAAACACCTTCCATTTCTTGCCCCGGCTTTCATATCTTTCCTAAAATGGAAAAAGAAAACTATTTAGCACTTCACCCATGCTGCCAATCAAGAGGGCCCCGCAACTCAGATAACAAAATTATATTGACAGCTGCTGGTTGACACAGGGAGTTGACACAAGTTAATGGTTCCCACCCCAGCAACAGGTGCACTTGCAAATGCCTTAGGAGGGCTTTGCTGGACTTGAAGGGTAGTGACTAATTCAAATTAGGGGAGGTCCATGTAGGACTGTTTATGCAAATACACTCAGATTTGTCCAGCCATCTCACTGCAGCAATATAAGATCATCGTATGACTTGAGGGCACAGTATAACTATGGATAAACTAATTACATTGCTTTAATTGTTATGCAGAAACAAGTCCCCTTGTCTGGCAGCACTGAAGAAGGGTGACATGAAATTGAGGGTTATGAAGGTTGAACTAGGTTGACAGGACGCATAACCCACATCTTTGACACAAAAGGGGCACACAGAGTGGATCACAGTTGTAGTAGTAGTAGTAGTAGTTGTTATAAAAAAGCTCCAAAGGAATGACAAAAAAACCAGCTGATGATGTATAGTACAAAACAGCAGATAAAGCTCTCACAGTGGCTTCCAAGGTTTTAAAAAGGCTTGGAGGAATAAAAAGGTATTTGATTGCTGTCAAAATGACCATGATGTAGGTGAAACTTCCTGGGGAAAGAGTTCAGAGATGGCTCTCTCCAGGTCACTGCCTTGCCTCCAAAGGTAGAAGCACCCAAATGAGAGCTTTAAGACAGCAAACTCAGTGACTGGGTGGAAAAGATGATCCAACACCCGCCTGGGTCCTAAGCTGTGTAAAACTTTTAAAAACTTGGAACAGTCACCACGGGGGCATCTGAAGGGACCACCTGCCCCGAGGAGAGGGGAGAAAAAACACCAACAGCTTCTTCTAAACAAACAGGTTGTCTTTTCCACTTTTTGTAACCCTTCTTTAAAAAGCAGGTGCTTATTATTGTAATAATCTTCCGTAAGCCGCTTTGTGAGGTCTGCCAGAAAAGTGCCATACAAATACTGTAAATAAATGAAAGGATCTTGCTCTTTGTACCCGACATGATATGTGCGTATTTCTCATAGCTATAAACTGTCTACTCAGAAGTGGCTCTGATTCATGGACTTAGAGAGAGGAATCCATGCATTCAGCTTCAGGGCTTCACTAGAAGAGCAGAGGTTTTGCATAGCAAAGATCCCAAGCTCACTTCCCAACATCTCCACAAAAAGAATCAGAGAGAAAAGAATTCTGGAGAAAAATCTAGAGGGTTGCTGCCAGTCTGTGTAGAGTATACTGAACCAAGTGCACCAAAGTTTTGATTCGGTAAAAGGTGGTTTCCTGTTTTCCTTCAGAGATAGTCAAAATGCAGAACATGATAGTTACCAGGTAACACATTTCATCACCTCTCAATATTTGCCCTTTTGCTGGGTAATTACCTCCCATAGCATTAGGAGTCAACCTTACCAGCTCTTAATATGCAGGTTATGCTGACATAACATAATATCTCGCCCAGACACCAGGGGTGAAAATATTTCCTCAAATCTAAAGCAGTGCCTTTAAATTCAGAAAAGCTTTCTGTAAATAATAGGGTGGCTTCCCGTCTCTGCATTTTATCAGCCTTGCACATTTAGATAATCTAGAATACCATTATATTTTAAGCAACTAATTCCAAGTGGTAGATGTGGATGAATCCATAGTCTGCAGGAGACGTAAGGATGAATTTTTAGATGGTCAGTATTGGGAGTTGAAACCAGTGCAAAGAACTGGTGAATTTCATATCCAGGTGGTAGGCTTGTGGGCTGAGTCAGAACAAAGGCAACGTTCTGCAGATAATGTCCTCCTCTGCAACATGTTGGAGAATCATTTCCTCTCTGTATCTACACCGTGTGACCTACGTAGATGTTTCCTGAAATGCTCCTAAATGGACAGGCAAAGTACGCACCAACTGGCTTTTGCGCATCCTGCAATCCAAGCAGGATGGGAGTTGACCATGTGCTGCTTAGTATCACAATAAATCCTGCAGAACAGGATGCTTCACAAGCAGATGACCTATCAGGCCAAGCTTTGATATCAAAGTTACCAGCTTCCCCACCCACCAAATGTCCCTTATTCAATGACAGGGGCACTTAGATCCTGAGGACTTAAATCTGTCTCCTTAGTCTACAACAGGACTTTCGCAGAGCAACAGGCACCCTTATTTAAAATACATACCAAAGGTGCCTAGGCAAAAGGACTAAATATTTGATGCAGTTTATGATAGGAAGGAAAGCAGGTCTAACTTGGGGGCGGCTTTGTTGAAGGCTCCCTGAGAGAGGAACTAGGAACTGTAAAGCTCCACTACTTATCAAGAGAACCTGGTTTCAGATTAAAACACATGCATAGATTATTCCAGCAGAAGAGGGGAGAAATGTGGAAACTTCCCACCTTTTCTTTTGAGGGAGGGGCATCAGTACAGTCATATTAATCCCCAATAACTGCAACTTTCACACTTAGATTACTGCAACCTGCTCTATGTGGGGCTTCCCTTCCACTTGATTTGGAAGCTGCAGTGAGCACAGAATGCAGCAGCTAAAATACCAAATGGTATGGCTACTTCTACAGATATGACACCAGTGCTTAGGGATCTGCACTGGCTGCTTATCTGCTACTGAGCCAGTTTCAAGGTTTTGTTACTGGCACATAAATCTCTAAACAACTAGAGATCCGAATACCAGCAGATAGCCTTTCCTACAATAGCCCAACTTGACCTTTACAGTCATCAGACTGTGGATTGCCATCCGGAAACCTTACAAAAACAGCCCTTTTCAAGTGTAGCCCCAACCCTCTGGAAAACTCTCCCCCAAGATGCTTCAAACATATCCGAAAACTTGGTTGTGTGTTACTCAGGCCTCATTCTGATGCTTGAGCAGGTTACCATGTTCAGTTGCCGATTTGTTCATTTAAGTGACGAAACTTTTACAATGCAATTACTGTACTTTGATCTTTATTTGTATATTTTACTGTATTTTGATTTTAAATTCTATATATTTGCAAACCACTTAAGAGAATGCTCCAAAAATGCTATGTGGTATATAAATTCTCTTTAAAAAACAACAACACACAACTCTTTCAGGTCATATTTGTCTGGCAGCAGATTGACACACCTTTTGTACTGGTATAAACAAGCAAGCACCAAGGTTGACCTGGTAGCCTATCAACCACACTCCTGATCTTTATTGGGCAAAAATGACTGACGCAAGGCCCTTTGCAGAGACAGGAAGTACCAGTTTTGAAGCACACTGCTTTTTGTAGCACTGAAAGGTATCATTATGAAGTGGAACAGTGTGGGAGGAATGAATGAGGCCAGCTTCCATGTTCATACTGACCTAATAAAGGAAGGTGCTTTGCATTCTCAAAACAGGCCACAAGTAGTTTTAACATGTTAAAACACAAGAGAAGACTCCTGCAAACATGGGTCAAATTCGACTCTGCTATGTAGCTACAGAGTCTGGAGTTCTGCAGCTTCTACATCTCGACAGAAAACTGCTGGCTAGCCATAAGAGTACACGTGCAAGATCCATTCAAAATGAAGGAGGGAGAGATCCTGGCTGGATTAGGCTGATCTGATGCAAAGGTGGATGAGATCCAGTATGTTTTGGGAGGCTCACCTTGCCAGGCAGGCATGAGAAAAGCCTACACCCACCGACATTCCTTAAGTGGGTGCACATGGATGTAATGTCATATTTCCCCTGAACAAAGCTTATGCGACAAGCACACGAGTGCATGTTAAAAGACAGATTGTTCACCCTGCCAGCCTGTGCTTTCTCCTTCTCTCAAGCCATAAAACCCCACACTGCAGTGTGTCACACCACAGTCGGACGGGTCTCCTTTTCCTCCTCTCACTCGGTGAGCAGTCGCCCATCTGCGGAGGGCTGCAATTTCAGAGATACTCTCCACAGTTACAAATGACATCACTCCCTCTGATTATATAATGCTCGGGGAGGAAGCCTATTTTTATGAGCATTTACTGCATAGCTCTGGAGCCCTACTGTACCACGCACATGCAGGGCCAGACACTGCCTCCTCTGCCTCTTGGGCACAGTGACGGCAGAAATCCTGCCAAAACTCGAAGTTTATGAATGATAATTGTAGATTCCCTGCAGATCAGGGCTAGAACACTGAGGGGGCAATTCAGGGAGCACTTTTTTACTGGTTTTAAACACCAGAATATGAGGTCTTTGTGCACCACCACAATTAAGATAGGGATTCCTACTAAAGCTACCACATTAGTGCTGGTGGAAATGTTTACTCACAGTGATAGCTCCACGAGCAGCAATATTGCACAAGAACCAGTCACAACAAGGTTCCCCCCCCCACACACACACTACCACACCATATTCCCAGTGGTGTCAGAACCCAGTGTGGAGGCTCTTTCCTTATTCAGAATGATCCCTGTGAGAAGCCTTTTCCATGTATTCGGACAGATTTGTACATTATGACCATCTCATAGAAGTGGCTTTCCCATGTATGGTGGTTTCATGAGGCAGCACTGATGCCACATTATAACTGCTGCCCGGAGCCACTGCCATGTGGAAGTGTTTCCCATGCTTTTCCATGAAGCTGCTTGTAATGTATGAATCTTCACCCAATGTTCACCTCATATCCTCACCTGGGAGAGGGCAGGAGAGGGATAACCTCCATCCCCAAACCTGGGATTTGCATCCAATGTAAGTCATACTTGGAACAGATCCACTGAAATTAATGGACATGACTCATTTAGGCCTACTGATTTCAATGGGTCTACTCACAAAGTATAATTTAGCAAGATACAATCCCCAGGGATTTCCAGTTAAGAGTCGTAAGATACCAACAGGGCATATCTGACCACAAAATACAAGGACACAAATACTTGGAATCATTTTTAGCCTCAGATTATATGGAATGTCACTTGCATTTCCCTTCCTATTTTGCAGCTCAATGTTTAACCATTTATCTGCAAAAGGAAGAAAGAGTTACACTAAAAAGGCTCTAGAAACACCCATTTTTTTCTGATACACAATAGGTTGGTGCAGGCAAGGAAAGGAATGATTTTGTATTTACCCAAGTAGGTAAAGATTGCTATCTTAAATATATCTTTGGACCAATTCAAGTAATGCAAACTAAAAGGGGCTTAATTCAGGAATTATTTGCACATATTATTTATTTATTATTTATTAGAAGTTGTAGCAGCAGCCATTTTTATACAAGAAACAAAAGGGGGGGCGGAGACCCTCTCATCCTTTCTTAAGGCTAAAGATATGCCCAAGGCTGTACTGCAAAATTCCACACGCAGGAAGTAGTAGGACCACAAAAACGAAGGTGACATATTCAGCACTTTTTAAACCATCTACCCCCCACCCTCCCCATAACTGGGCCAGCTGCACAGAACGCACAATGTCGCTGGTTTGGCATGCACAATCTTAAGAGAACCCAGTCACATTCTGCTAAGGTACCATGTGGCTTAACACCAAGTGTGTCTTGCAATGACGCACTTAAAAGCCTTATTCTTTTAAAAGGGGAGAAATGTCCCTAAAGGGAACAAAGTTTTTTTCTCTCAATCACAAGCCTAACTCAATCCTCAAATCAGAAAGCATATTTGCTTGAATAGGGGCAGAGAAGAGGAAAGGAAATGTTCCTGTCTGGATTTGTTACACAATGGTTACAGGATAAAAAACAAACCACACACACAAAAACACACAAAGCGCATATTCAAGAAATAAACAGTGTGTGTGTGTGTGTGTGTGTGTGTGTAAAAATACAGATTTAAATTGTATTCTACAAAAATGCAGAGGAGGGAGGCATCGTTTAGGAGAAAAATAATGGCTGGAGACAAGCAGCCAAGCCTGTATTAATAAATCATTGCAAGAGTATCATTTTGGGGCCAAGTAATAAGAGGCATCTGCATAAATTCTGCATGTTCAGAGAGAGAGCAGGAAAGCAAGCAGGGGCATCCTTCCATAAACAATTCCCAGGTCATATGCTTATCTTGTAAAGCCATCATATGACTTGACGGGTTTGCTTCATCCTTAACCCAAAAGACAATCAAATCTTTCTCTCTCCTTTCCACCCCCCCTCCCAGCCACCCTTCCATTGGTTGCTGCTGTTTCGATGCAGGTTCCTATTGGGCAGTTTGTTCTCTAGCAGAGAAAGGACGAAACCCAAGATTTTGCTAAGTAACAAAACCAGAAATGGAAAGCCAGCGAAGGGCTGGGGATGGATGGAGACTGTATTTCCTTTGCTATAGTGTTACATAAGTGCTTCAAACCCTTGAGCCAGGCACAGTAACAGGGCTGTGGCTTTCTGCCAGTCCTCGGTAACTCTGCTCATAGGTGCAGGCTGTCAAATACAAATGCAAAAACACATGACCTTACTCTCAGGAAATACACAGCTGGCAACACCGTTCGGAAACAGACTCGGCTACCACAGTTTAGAAAGCTTTTTGAAGGCTTTCATACTTTTTGCTTAAAAAAAATATAATGGAGCCAAACTGTTTTCTCCTCCTTGATGGAAGCTGCTGTTTAATTTTCCTCCCCATTCAGTAGTTCCAGCCGATTAAGAGATAAGCTGCATTGAAATAGTTTATTTACTTAAAAGGCTGCACACCCTTTCAGCCAGAGCTTCTAAGTAAAGAAACTCTGAAATCAAGTCAACAAAATAAGAAATGTAAAAAATTAAAACACAGCAACTAACGTAAGGCGTTTGGTTAAACACGGAAAAGAGTAAGAAGAAAAACTGCAGCTAAAAATAGAGAAGCAGCAATAGAACCAGAAAGGGAAGCCTCTTCCCCATTTTCTCGAGCGATTTACTTGAATACAAAACATTTGTGCCAGTGTAGCTACTAGAACAATCAGGGTTTAATTGGAGACAAAGTTCAGTCCTGGAACATATGAAATCAAGAAATAAAATGCCCTTGAGCTCCTGCCCTTTCACTTTCAGTCTTTTGTGACACAAAAGCAGGCTACAAACACACCCTCAAAATCCCCTTTCCAGAGACTAAACTAAATACAGGTTGGCCACGTAACCAAAACAAGGACCAAAACAAGATAAGAGCAGGCCTGAAGGAATTTTCCTGCCTTCCTCCAGCTACTAATATAGGAACATCTTGTACCCCATTCCCTCCAGACATGTCCATTCACACCTTTAAATTCAAAGCTATGTGTACCCCTTTCAAAGGCTTGTCTCCCAATGCAAACACACTGCAAATATCACTACTAGAGGAGTGAAACCCAGGAATAAACCTGGAAGAATGGGGAGGACCCCCTTCCTAATTTTCCCACCCCCTTCATATCCTTAATCTCTACACACCCAGGAAAACAACTGCCACACACCTGGTCTATTTACATGCCTCTTCAGCTGATACTCTCCTCAAGAGGGGAGAGGAGGTGAACTTTATATCACACAAGGTGACTGTATTATGCCTCATGTAATAGAAGGGATAAAGAACCTTTTTTACTCCCCTTTTTCCCATCTGAGTAGGTCGGTGGTGCCCTCCTAAGCACTCAGGCAGCTGCCACCAAACCCCTTACGTTCCTCCTAACCCCAGAGAGGGGTGCTTTTTGGTTACGTGGCCAACCTGTATTTAGTTTAGTCTCTGGAAAGGGGATTTTGAGGGTGTGTTTGTAGCCTGCTTTCGTGTCACAAAAGACTGAAAGTGAAAGGGCAGGAGCTCAAGGGCATTTTATTTCTTGATTTCATATGTTCCAGGACTGAACTTTGTCTCCAATTAAACCCTGATTGTTCTAGTAGCTACACTGGAACAAATGTTTTGGATTCAAGTAAATCGCTCTAGAAATCGCAGGCATTCAAAGCAATTGCTTGCAAGGGAAGCAGAGATAGCATCCAGCTTACCTGTGCCTCCCTGGAGACCAAAGTAGCTTGCTTTTCTCTGTCAAACCCCAACTCATACACACATGTAGTGCGATACCAAAAAGGCCCGGGCGCATTACAGGAAAATTCCCTGTAGGCCTGCAGAAATACACAGAAGACCCCAATATCCATGTCTGGCAACAATCTATGGGACCTTTGAGGAAAAGCAAGTGGGGCAAAGCAAAACGGACCTTCATCTGCTTAGCTTAGAAGAACACACAAATGGTTGTTAGGCATGTGCTACAGAAGGTATAGGCCAGGATAAGAAGCTCTGTGGCACTCCAGAAGTAGTCAAACTACAGCTGGCATCACTCCTAACCACTAGCCGTGCCGGTTTGGGCTGATAGGAGTTGGACGTCCAACAAGATCTAGAGAGCAAAAGGTTCTCCCATCTTTAGTGTATAGGGCTGCAACCGAATCCCTTTCAAATTGCTTCACAATTTAAAGCGCTGTGAAAGCACCATATGAAGAAGAACTCATGTATTGCTGTGGCTCTGGGAAATCTGTGTTCAAGTCCCAACTCAAGTCATGAGCCTAGGTAACTTGTTCCTTAGGCATCTGACAACTGTGCATGTATGTTTAAATAAATAATTTTTAAAAGTTAAAATTGAAAGGGTGATATCCCACATTAATCATACTCAGTGTAGACTCACTAAGGTCAATAGACAAGAAACACAAGTTGGATACCATCCAGTGACTTTGCACCAATCACTGTTAGATGTAGAGAAGCTTCGTCCAATGAAGGAGTTTCTTCTTACAGCTTCTCTGGCATTAACCCACTGTTTGTCAGCCTAGCTAGCCTATCCCCACACAGTTGCTGAGAGATAATAATGGAATAAATCCACATATATTGCCTTGAACTTCTTGAGGGAGCAACAGAAAATAAAATATACACATCACTGATGGGAGCAAGGCCCACAGTTCAGTTTTGTACTGTGTGAAAAGGTAGGGATTTTGGTTTATTCTCAAAAGTTTCTGCATGTTATTCTCATGGTGTTTCCCATGAATGTGATTTGGAATGCAACTGTGCTAATTATAACACCAAGATTAACCTAATGGTGCTAAAAATAAGCTAAAAATAAAAAAGGACTGCTATGGAAATAGTTGATCGTGTATCCTGTGCCCTCATTCTGGTTAATCCCATTATAGTCACTCCTCTTTAGAAGCCATTCAACACAGGTGTGTGTGTGTTTTCAAAAACACCATGGCCTTCAAATGTGTTATTTGTCAACAATCCAAGAGTGCTGAACCAAAATTGCGCCTACATTTGGAAATTAATTTTCCATTTCAGAAAATGCCAGATCCAGAAATTCTAAAGGCGCTCCAAATCTTGCTCATCTTGAATTTCAGCAGTCACAATGTCTTAAATCCTACAAATGCCAATTGTTTTCCATCTAATGCTAGTCTTTTACAAATCAGTTGTAATTTCTAGAATTTCTTTTGTCCATTAAATAATCAAATGTGCAAGGAAGTTACTGCTTTGGATCCTTGAGCTCGGAGGGAAAATTCTACATGCAACACTTTGAAGTCACTCTTTAAAATGAGCAGAGCATAATTTCTAGTGAACCCCTTCTTGATCAGCTTTCATCAGGTTATAGATAACTTTGCCTGGTAACCAAATGGTATATAGCAAAAGGGCTCAGATTCATACAGCAAGGTCAGTTATAGTCCTGGTAGGAAACCAAGCCTTCCTGTTAATATCTCACAGGCCCAGTTGCTTAGACACCTAATCTGCAAATGTCTGCCTTGGAATGGGTTAGATTCAAGCCTGCAAGGAATGAAAAAAATACTCAAGAAGGGTGGGAAACACATTGAATCATATAGTTCTTGCAGTGGAAATAAAGGACAAAACAATATCTCCTGGGAGGAAGCCACAGTGCCTTGTGAACAAGATTAGAATAATTAACATTTCACCTGACATTAAACCATTTTTACATGATTACTAACTAAATACCAGCAGACCTCCACAGGAGTTTCCAAGAGACGATTTGGGGTGGGGGGCACACACACCCAAAAATGGGACCATATTGGAACTCCAGTTAACACAGTCCACTACCAAATGTGTTTTCTATTAAAAGGAACAAATGGCTCACAGTATGGTAGTGATCATGTGACACAATTTCCCCCCATAAAGATAGGTGTTACGGCTTCCTGAATTTCCAAAATGCCACACTCTAAGAGATACAAGAAATACTAATATTGCTTCATTCTGTTATCCCCAAGCCACACTGAGGACACACGATTTGGCCTAGCGCATTCCTGAGTACAGTTGCATTTTCCTTCCAGCTGTCACACTCATGTTAATGCTTGCTATAAAGTACCACTCCACTGCTGCCAAGAACGAGTGGCTGCATCCACTGATGTGTGGTTCAGGCACTGCTTGCTCCACATGGCTCTTTTCTTTGGACAGTCGGGCGACTCTGGGAAGATCTATTTGCAGAACTTCTGAAGAAGCCCTTTGGATGCTAAGCATAGCCACAAATCTCTACATATGTGGCGCTTCAAAGTGTTTCTCACAAATCTAGCTCACACAGAGTTACGTTGTTTCTGAAAACCATGCAATTTACAAGGGTTGGTTAATCTTACGTTAAAGCAAAGAAAACAAAGATTCCCAAGGTGATTTCTTCAGCCATGCCTGCATGGTGCAACGGTGGGACCGCAGTGTGCACACAGCCCCGCCTGTAGCATGTGACTTGTCTCACTCACTAGGGCCACATGAACTGTAGGTATATCTCTGCAGTGCACTTGCTCTCTTTCTGTGGATTACTCTAGCCTGGACTGTACACAGGTGGCAGAGATTAGGTCCTATCTGGACTGGATGAGGCGGCTTCCGGAAATCTTCTACCTCCAATCTGATACAGGTAGAGACGTTGGGCAGCTTCCTCACCACTACATTGCAGTGGTGGCGGAAGCGGCATTTGGCAAAATGCTCTTTTGTTTGCAGCCATGAAAGGCACAGGAATCCCCTTCCAAATGGAATTTGGCAACCCCAGCAGTAAATTGGGATATACTATATGCAACTTGGGAGTCCAACACTATCTGGAAAGCTACCGATTCTACACCTCTGATCTAAACAACACATCTTCCCAAAGCAAAGCCTACAAACATCAACTGAAGGTTATGTACTTTTCCTAAAACTTTTTCCTTTGCAAATGTCTATTTTCAGCCCAAACCTACCCTTCCCCCCCTTCCTCCCATTTTTAAACTTTTACACAGATCATTGGGGAGAAATTGCATATTCCATCAAAAGAAACACCAGATTCTTCATGGAGGCACATTATTACAGAGGCTGATATCTCTGCTGTATGGGGCAGCTCAAGATCTTGGATTTTGGATCCACTCAGATTCCCAAATGTCACCTATCCTCTACACCAGGCATGTCCAAAGTCCTTTTCGGAGGTCTAATTCGGCCCCCGTGACGGTTTAATACGCCCCTGTGGCAGTTTATTCTTCGTGGTCAAATCCTAAAAAAAATCTAACTTAGGGGTAAAATTGTAAAAAAAGCTCAACAACTTCGGTCAGCCCTCACGCATGTTCACTTCATCAAATCTGGCCCTCTTTGAAAAAAGTTTGGGCACCCCTGCTCTACACATTCTTTCTCAAGAAAATATGTAGCCTAATAAGCCAATTTTTCTAGTCGTCAACAGTTTAGAAAGGGTCAGTTAGAGAACACTGCACATTTCCTAAGAGAGTAATATTACCTAGAATATGCTACAGGGACATGCCGTTCCCTCAGATCTGCTTTCTTACTTCTCCAGGCATCAAGGGAACAAAGTTGTTTGCTTTGGGGGGGAGGAGGAGCATGTGTGCCACTCACTTGCCAAAACCAGTGTTTTCGTCCCATTATCATACACCCAAGCCAGAGTGTTATGTCGTTTTCACAAAGTCTTCCTACTAGAAGCTTTGATCCTGTATTGTGATTTCCCAGGGGCCTCTTGTTTACCAGATATTCTGAATCTGTAATCACAGGGGTCCCCCCCCCATCTCTATTGTGCTCAGTGGAGCTCACCAGAACCCATATAAGAAAGGGTGAATATAGAGCACTATTCATGACAATTCTTTTCCACCTTTCTTCCGAGGAGAAGGTCAAGGCATACATGAATCCCTCTTATTTCTTTCTCACAAAAAGTCTATGAAACAGGTTAGACTTGAGTTAATGGGTGGAGTTGCCAGTTCAGTGGAACTTCCCTTCCTTCCTTCCTCCCTCTCCTCTCCCTGCACCTGCTAAATCTAATCTGTGAGGTTCCTCCAACACTCCACAGAGGATTTGAGGAGCTTGCAAGGAACTTGCCAGGAGAGGAGAGGGGGAAAGTTCTGTTGCAGAAGTGGAAATCCTTGCACCAAGGGAACAAGTGCAAAATAAACAAATAAAATAAGTTATTTTTGTGCAGTTTAGAATAATCAGAGTATAGGCACACTGCAAATAACTCCAGTAAGTGAGTCAAAAACCTCAACTCCTGACAATCTAAATCAGGAGAAGTTTCTGTCCCATTTCAAATATGATAACTCTTAGAAGTCTGCATTTTCCACTAGATTCTGCTTAGGCAGCAACCCTCTTCCTAAGCATTAAGGTGATTTTAATTTAGATGATTTTATTTATGCTGCTGCTGTTTTCAGAGCATCTGGTTTTAATCTGCTGCTGGTTATCAGGATTTTTGGGGCTATTTTTATGTTGGTCTATACACTGTTTTAAAGGCTTGATTAGTCTGTAGTTACTACTTGCAGGCTGCTGCAATTTGTGTTTTATGTCCTATTATTAGAGTTGTGTTTTTATTTTTGTATACCGCCTAGAGAAAAATATCCTGTAAGGAAGCTGTGAAAATATTTTTTTTTACATAAGTAGTACTTTTTTGCTTTAGCACCTAAATGTTGTGTACAAATTTTCTGTGCCACATACCTGCTGTAAAATAAACATCCTTGCCTTACAATATGCGTTTTTTCTACACGTATTTATTACTGCCCAATTAGAACATGCAGGGCAAACTGCATCATATGATAAGAGGTGATTGTATGGTGTCCCAGAAGCTAGAAATTAATTTGAATTGTTTAAAAGAAACAAATGTTGATTGCAAGAGACTAAAAAAAAGAAGTTACTTCCCCCTAGGTGTGATTCGATGAATGAATTCGGGTATAGATAACAACTACATATAACCTTACAGATTTTAACACATGTTAAAGGTAAAACTGGATACTTTTGAGAAGGAATGGTTTCACTTTCTTTTCATCAGTAGTAGAATAAGAGAATGCAATCCTAAACCCACTTACTGGGGACCAGACCCCATTTGAACCCAGCAGGACTTAGTTCAGAGTAAGCATGTATAGGATTGCACTATTAATAAACAATGTAATTCATCAACTCTGCACTGTACAGAGGTTATATTACATTTCTTACATTTTCTGTTAATTTATTTATTAAAAAAAGCTTGGAAACACCAAACATATAGCTGCAACTCCTTTCTTGAAGGAGTGTAGCAGTTGGTTTGAAATCTTCATACTATTCTGTAACTCATTCTGTTTTCTGGGAACCCAATAACCTATTTTTGTCAGGAGATTTCGGTTTGTGGAGCGATTCATGGAATGCCACTACTTATTTTTCTGTAACATTTCCCAAAGATTGTTTTGCATGCCTCTTTGTACTGCAGCACAAGATCTAGAAGCCAGTGTGGTGCAGTGGTTAGAGTATCAGACCAGGAAGACCCTGGTTCAAACTCACTCTCAGCCACGCACCTTTCTAGGGGTGACCTTGAGCCTGTTATTCTTGCTCAGCTCAGCCTACCCTCACTGAGATGCTGTGAGGATAAAATGGAGAAATAACCAAATACACCATCCCAAGGTCCTTGGGGAAAGGCAGGCTAAAAATGGATGCACAAATAAACAGGTTTTTAGACTTCAAGAATGGTGGGTGCCAAATAACTCTTGACTGTTGAACAAGCCTTGAAGCAAAAAATGTCGTATTACGGAATCAGATGGGAATATTTTGATCCTAAGAATTTGAAAAGAAAATGCTTTGGGAATACAGATATTGCAAGCACACAAAACACCCACTGCTATAGCATGAAGGAAGTTATGAAACTTCCCAAAGCTCTCTTCCCAAAGAGATTTGGTGCAGGCCTGCAGTTTTGACCTTCTAAGGCACAGGATCAAAGCCAGTAACGAAACGCAGAAGTAAACAGGTGAAGCTTTTCAAGGCAGGAAAATGTTAGCTGCTAAATTTCTCCATTTCAGACCTATCATTAGCAGTACAGAAGCCAGGCCAGTTCAAAATGGTGGGAACCTTAGCTTTGAGGGAAGCACTATGCATCTGAGAAGGCTGCCAGGAACGCTGAACAGGATACAAGGCTGTTGCGGAATCTCTTAAGGGACATATTTGTCAATTTCAGTAGCAGCACTAATACTGCCTAAACATAATCAGATTATACCTCCCTGCCCTCAAAGAGTATATGTTTGTTGCTTGGTACTGGATGCAGAGTATCTAATATAGAAGCACAACAATAGGCCCTCTGCCATAGCCAAACTACCATTGTATAAACCACATCAGATCTCCAAGACTGTGAAGGTACCACGGAGGGAAGAAAGAATCCTGCCCCAAAGACAACAAAACCCAGATTGAATCAAGTGTTAGCAAACACCCTGTATAAGCGGGGCATGGGGGGTGGAACCCTCAGATGATATAACAAGCCTTTATAAATAATATCTCTCCAAAGCAGTTCTGGTTTCCTCCATTTCCTTCCCCAGGCTGACTCAAAATAGCTCCTATTAAAAGCTTCTCCCTTTGTAAAGCACAGTTATGGCACTGTTTCTTCACACCCACAACTATTATTTAGTGGTTTGACCGCACGGACTATAAATGACACACTATGGATAGGTCTGGGGAAATGGTGCTGCTGGCAGAATACTTAAGCGTCATAGGAAATGTCCTCCCCCCACCCCCATAACAGAAAATGGAATTGAGTTTAGTATCTGTGCAATTCTACTTCACAATCCGCCTCATCAGATATGTTAGGGCAAGTTTGTACATGCATGTTCATCACTGAGTGACTGCAGCACCAGCAGATAATTTGCTTATGTGAAACAGCCCCATGAGACCTAACACCCCAGAAAGAGATTTCATATCCACTCCTAATAATGAGGGCAGTTTAGTGAACGACCATAGGTTAGTGCAGTATTGAGCAGCGTATAGACACGCCCCAACAAAATGAGTGACAGGAGGCTTGGGCTTAAACATTTTAGCCCTTAGCTGGGATGATGATGTAAACTGCACCTCCAGGTTCCTCCAAGTTGAGTGATCACAAGACTGGAACCTTTGAAACATGGGTGGAGGTGGAGGGAGGGAGAGAGATTAAGTGTAGAAATATCAGTGTTTCTGCTGTTGCTCATTCTGTGGAATGCCCTTCGCTCTGCCCTTAGTTGCTTCAGACGTTTTGTAAAGACTTCCTTTTGTCCAGGTTTTGCCTGATCTGTAAGACTGGACACTGATTTATGTCTACAAATAAATCTCTGTTTTATTGGCTTTTATATGTTTCTATATTGTTTTATTGGTTTAGGCTGTATTTGTTTTAATGGATATTGGTTTCATATTGTACATAATGATCTAGTTGAGATTCCTGCATTGAAGACGGTTGGTCTAGATGGCCCTTGATCATCTATTATTCTACACAGCTTAGTGATTTAAAAAAAGAAAGAAAAAGATAAAGTCATTTAGAAATGCCTTTTAGATAAACAGGAGATCATGAAAAGAAAGGTTGAAATGGATCACCAACAAAAAAGGGCTGGTGGTGGTTTTATTGTGATGTGTCCTTTTCATTTTTATGCTATGGCCCTTGGTTCTTAAGTTTTTGTAAGTTGCCTAGAGACTCTTTTTTACTGAGCAACTAGAAAGTAAAATAATACAAAAAACCTGGTAGAAGTTTCCAATACACAATTCAAATTCTACAGTCAAAATGCAACATGAAAATTAAATTGTGCAGCTTTGCTTCATTGCAAATGGCTCCTTTTCCTTGTGATGGAAGTGGGAATGTTGGCGGAAAGAAAGTGAAGAGCTGAACAAAAGGAGCATCAGACAGTGACGTTGAAGAACAAAAGCGGATGGGGAGAAAGAAGAGATCCTGGACATCTGCAGAAATAAAAATATTTATGTTCCTTCTGTTGCACACACCTAAATATATGAATCTCAATGTATTGTTGAGTGTGGTTGTAGGAGACATGGGAAGGGGGAGGGGTGCCACGCACCCCTTTGTTAAGAATAGCATAACATGAGGATTGATTTTCAGACATGACGTTCACTGCATAGCTTTGGTTAAGCAGCTATGCCAGTGTGATGAACCTGACAATATTATTGCAAGATGAGGACAGGGGATGCGGGCTAAGTTATAACCTGCTTTGACATGGAACAGAAATTAAATAGTACTATTAGTAACAGGCACTAATAAGGTTTGGATCTAAACTGAGTCATGCTTGGAATAACCAATTGCTTGACTCAGCACGGTACATGATTCAGTACAGATTCACCCCATATGACAGTCTACCCACAGAAACAAATTAATTCTTTTCAAAGTGTTGAGAATATAGAAAATCATTTCTCAAGATTAGCTCCAATATCTGTATCATACAAAGCAGGGTCTGTTGCTCATAACACAAGAATTATTGGTATGCTGTTGTATAAAACATTAGAAGTATAAGCTAAAGCTACACTTAGTGATTAGCTTGATTTATACTGTTTTTGCTTTCCTAAAAACATTTCAGGTGCAATTCAATAATCACGCTCTGGACTTATCACTGAATGCAGCTTTGGAAATGGCTGCTCCAAGGATTTTGAGTCAACCCTTGTTATTAGGATACACCATTTCTGAGATACCACCTGCTTCTGTCTATGCATCCATCCATCCATCCATCCGATCTGCCTTACAAAGGAAGGAATTCTGCATCAAGTTTCAAGAGCCAAAAAAAACCCACTCAGTCTACCTAACCTTTCTAAATCCAAGATTTCAAAAGAAGAAAAAAAAAGCTTGGGTGCATGGATATGAGGTGGCGCAAATATTTCCATGAACCTGCCAATTCCGGTGCAGAAATGCTCAGAAGTGAGAAGATAGGCACTTACGAAACAATGGTAGCAAACAAGCATGTTCACTCTTTGGGTTTAACAATATGCAATGTACTCCCTTAATTTGATCCAGCTTTTTTAAAATGGGCATTATTTGCCACTACCTGGTAGCATCACCAAACTTGGTTTCCGCCCCCTACCCCCCGGTCATTTTTAAAGTTTTTGTACATAGTCTGCACCGTTCCTTCAAAGCTGCACTTCTGTTGCAAGTGTATCTCATTTCCCCAACACGGTATTAATATTTTAAATGGGTGTCTGCACAGAAAGATACCAAACTTTATGGATATCATAGCAACCAGCATACCATATAAAATTGACTTGCATGCTATTATCAGAATTCATGCATCTTTGTGAATGGCTGTATATTTACTGTATATTTATCATGTTCACAAACATTCATGATTTTATTTATCAGAACAGCTATGTGCATATTCTTTGCTTGGGTTATCTTCCTGCTATGTAGGAAAGAATGAGATAGTTAAGGAACATAAGTTGTTTATGTTCTAAAGCACTCCTGATAGGTTGGCAAAATTATGCTCTTATTACCTCATCTTCTCTTTGCCAGAACTTCCCAAGTGGTTTCTACCTGGTGATGCTCATGGGTCTATGGAGCAATGCAAGGTGCAACAAACAAGCTGCTCCATCAGAATCCCTTACCTGAACGGACCTAAACATGAGCTGGAAATCCAGACCCAGTGGTTGGCTCAGGTGATATCTCTAAGATCTGGCTAGTTCACATATTCCTGGACACTGACGTTTATATGCAGTACCTGCCACTGATCCAGTATCTTAAGAAAATAATATGTAAAGCCCTGCACTGAAGAAATGCAGTGGCCTCAGCTCTAACAATGCAAAGAAAGTAAACATGTACAATTCCTGAATGGATAGAACACATTCTTGTTGCAGAATGTGGTTATTCAGCTCATAGTTGTGGGGCTTACATTCCCTACATATTAATAGCTTGTTATAAATCTATAATTCTTTCCCTGTAACTAAACTGTTGGCTCATTGCCCCCTTTACCTTGCCACAGGCAATGACACAAACCCAAGTTATGAAGAAAAGAGAGAAAAACTGAATTGTCAACAGTTTCAATATCAGATTTGAATGCAAGAGCATGCACACTTATAGTCACAGCAAGAGAATGCACAGGTTTTAGGGGACTGAAGGTAACTACTGTTCTTATTGGAAAAAACCATTAAACATGCCACAAATCCATTAAACACTAACATACCATCATTTCAAGGATGTCTTTACTTTGTTCTTGAAATAATTTCTGGAATTGCAGCACTGCAAACTCTTGATTTTATTTTAAGTTCCTTGAGTCTTGGCAGGGTTCATTCTACCCCAAAACTCGTTCCCCAGGCATGGAGTGGTTTTTGAAGCACCCAATGGAATGTGCGTAACCCCTGTTTAATCATGCATCTCTAAGAACAAAATGAGCTAAGTCACAAAGCAGTAGCACACTGGCCCAAAAATATTACCTTATTTCTAAAATCCATTTTCTCCATATAGTATAGCTTTCCAACCACATTTTCTAAGCTTCTCTTGAGTGGAATTAACTAGGCCTGAAGCTGCTTGAGATTCGGACAAGTCAATTTCAACACTCCATTTACCTGCCTGCACATACTTCTAATCAGGAATTGGGATGGGAAAGGGAGTCTTATTCCTTTCTATAATGTTTGCAGTGTGCACTCATCAAGCTGCTGTATCAGTTACTGCCTTTGTAGCAACAGGGGCAACAACTCTTATTGTTGGGAAACAACAACAGCACAGATTTCAAGGCAGGCAAAGCAATCACGTGGCTAAAGAACCAGACTACCATCCCGAAACTTGCGGGCAAGTTTCCTTTCCACACTGGATGTCCACCTTCAGTCCAACAGACTTTAAACAGAACCTAATCCAAGGCTGGGACGCGGGTGGCGCTGTGGGTAAAACCTCAGTGCCTAGGGCTTGCTGATCGCATGGTCGGCGGTTCGAATCCCTGCGGCGGGGTGAGCTCCCGTTGTTCGGTCCCAGCTCCTGCCCACCTAGCAGTTCAAAAGCACCCTTAAGTGCAAGTAGATAAATAGGTACCACTTTATAGCGGGAAGGTAAACGGCGTTTCCGTGTCCTGCTCTGGTGCCAGTTCGCCGGAGCAGCGTCGTCACGCTGGCCACGTGACCCGAAGTGTCTGCGGACAGCGCTGGCTCTCGGCCTCTAGAGTGAGATGAGCGCACAACCCTAGAGTCTGTCAAGACTGGCCCGTACAGGCAGGGGTACCTTTACCTTTACCTAATCCAAGGCTGACATTCGGCCCGTCTTAAAAGCAACTCGCAGTAGTAGACAGCAAAGTGGGATTGCAGCACTCACCTGACCTCCAGTCAATTGCATCACTGCGGTTTGCCAGGAGGGGGAAGGGCAAGGCTGGTACAGTGCAAAGATGCCAGTAGGAGCACTGGTTTGGCAAGAAATCCATTTCTTGCTCCCTTGAGCCAAATGGTTAAGTAGGTGTAGTAATGTATAATCCTTCCACCCATTCAAGCACCCAACTTTCAGGATTATAATGCCACCAGTTTCCCCAGATCCCACTACCTTTGTGGAAAACACAGCTAAGACTTCAGGTCTGTAACAAACAGATCCTCCAGGATCTCATCACACAATGACAGAAAAGGGCTTTTCTTTCTTTTGCATCTCTTGAGCATTCCTCTGAAACCACTTGTTCCAGCATTTACAAATTTTTAAGGTGCCACCAGAAATAAATGCATTTGAGGACGTTCGACTGATATAATGGCCAGTGACTCAAGTTATCTTTCCTTGCCCCTCACCTCATGCTTCAGTGGGCTCTTGTAACTTTACCTCAAGGTGCTGCATGTACATTTTGCTCCTTTAGAAATGGAGAATCAATTTAAAAACAATTAAATAATATTTCAGGGAGGAGGGAGGAAATGGCTTAGTGGCGTTACCAGTGTCTATAAACAAATCAGTGTTACACACAGCCAGTTTCTGCTGTAACAAAACTGGTTTCCACAAAACCAGACAGGGAACAAAATAAGGTTGTGTATTTTAAAAAGTGCTTTGTCCACTCCGATAGCAGGCTTACCACACAAATTATGTACTTTTGTATGCACGCTTCCTTTACAAAAGGAGATGCACCATTTAGAAGTGCTCTGATTCACCTCCAAAATGAAACATTCATCACAGCTAGTCAAATACGTGAGGATAAAAATGGTTTGCTCCTGCATTATCAATCATTTATACAGCAGTACTTCATTTTCAAAGTGTTTTACAATAATTATTTTGCTTATCAACTCAAGAAACGTCTGAACAAGGTCACAACAATTCCCTTTCGCACGTGGGGGCTTGGGGCTGAGAGGCAGCCAGTCCCCAAGGTTATCCAGAATGTATAAGGCTGACTAGACGTGAATCTAGATTTCCCAGAACCACATTTCAACTCTCTGGCAGCAGAGGTGCTGACAGCTCATACCTAAAGCTACCACTTTCATCAAAGGGAAGAGGCTTTACTGTGTATCAGGTGGGCACAGCTATTCCAACATATAAATGATAACATCACACACAGATTTTCCCAAAGTGCACACTATACAGAGAAGCAAGGAAGAATTTACTGAGGGGTAAATTCCTCCAGTGAGGGGACAACTTGAGAAAATAGATGTGGCCACAGAGGAACTGTTATTAAGGGAGACAAAATTTGTACAAAGTCAAGTCCTAGAACCTGAAACTAAAGAACCTGAAATTAAGCCACACACATTCTAGTTATTAAAAGTGCACTATGTACTCAGAATGTACTATGGATACCAATAAATATGCCATTATTTATTCTGAATATGGTACCAGAAAATCAAAGCCCTTAGGTTCTTCCATGCAAAACTTTAAAATAGTCATACATCACTCGCAAATTTAAGCTATAATTTGCAAGATCCAAATTGCTGGGTAAAATTCAGGGTCTTTTCTTTCTAAAAGAAAGAAAGCACACTGCTACAAGTCTATTAAGAACTGAACATAACAGAAGAATAAGATTTGTGTCTAGCACTTTGTCTTACAAGTTATTTATATGAAGTACTGGAAATAAATGCGTGCAGATTTTACCATACACTTAGGAATATGATATAAATGAATGTGAAAAACTTGATCTAGTTTTCCTGAATTTATTTACAAAACAAGTCAGGGAGGTTAAGGTCAGGATTGTTCTGTTTGGTATTCTCACACACTGTGGAAGCAACAGTCAATTATGTCTGGGTCCAAATGGAACTTCAGCTGAAAGATGGGATATAAATATTTTAAATACGTGCACACGTTTCAAAAATGTGCAGGTTGTGGGTGGAGAGACTATTAAAACACATCTCACAGATTTGACTCACAGCTTAAACGAAGTTGCACACTTTGGAAAAGTGCAGAAAGAAAGCACTGGGGAAATATTTGTCCCAAGAATCTATAAAACGTGCCGCCAATGGACATAGTCTCAGCTTGTTTACTGAAGTGAGCAGGCCCACTTGAAGCAATCTTGTAGAATTTCAAGGAGGATGGGGGGGGGGAGGGGAGAGAGATTAGCAAGTGAGTTAGAATGCTAATAGAAAAAAAGCACCATCTGGCTTCCAGCCAGAAACCAGTGAAGCCAGTTGGGTGTACAACAGAGAGGGGTGGATGGGATGGATATGGTACACAGCCCAAAGCTAGCTGCCCATGCAACAGAGGCAACTAGGAAAAGCAAATAGGGCTATAAACAATACTGAATCCAAGCTAGTAGAGCAGGCGTGAGAAGCCAACGATGGTTTACAAACCCCATCTAAAGCAAACCATGGTTAACATTAACCTCAGTGCAGACATAATGCTACACAGTGGTTAACGAAAAGAAGAGGGATGTTAGCAAAGCCTATGATTTCTGTGCCTATGTTTTTAAAAGCCACACCTGCCTGACCAGAAGGGGTTAAAATAAAATTTAAACACCACACCAGACAAGCACCCACTTGCAGACAAAGGGGGAAGAAACTGAGTCAGGGACCTAATAGTGGACAATTTTGAAAATTACAGGGTATGTCAATAATGGAGATAACAGGGGGATTCAAAAAGGAAATAATCTCCACAAGGGGGTGGGGGGAGAATAGAGAAAGAAGCAAAAAGGAGCAACTGCCTGCAACAAAGCCATTAGATTCAGGGCTTTTATCTTTGCCAATGTTAAGTCTGCAGACAGTTGCAGACTTAAAGACGCTACAGATAGAGAGCAATGAAAATCTGAAGGTGAAGCAATCCTTTTGTTTGCCTTGGAGCCCAGAAGGAGATTTCTCCACTAGCATTAAAACACACTGTCTGGTTCTCAGGTGACTGTTTTAGCTACTTCTACTTTTAGCTGCACCAGAAGGGTGTCCATTAAATTTTGTTGGCATAAACGGCTTGAGAAAAGGGACACAAGCCACAGAACCCTGCCACCGTCCTCTCCCTCAAACACCCCAACACCTCACTACCTGCTGCCTATTTCCTCGTGCTCTTCAGGTATTGAGCCAATCACTATCCTGCTAGTGGCCCACTGATATCCTTGTAAGCATCCAACATATAAAAACGCAGAACGCATTTCAAGTGAAGGCAAAAGTTACTCCGCAAGCAAAATGCCGCCAACCCAAAAGCAGCACTTTGTTTCAGTGATGTAGCTGTGGGAACCTACAGTGAACCCAGACTGCTTTTTCAATAGCTGAGCATGACTAGAATAGGGCACAAAGTATTGCTCTGAAACATTAGGGCAACGTTGGATGCCAGTGTTCAGGAGTAGGGTGAAGGAGGTTATTCATTGAAAGCAAAATGGAAGATAAGTCTGAGAAGACCAGTCATCTCCAAACCTGCTCTGAGCTTTTACAGTTAGAAGTTCTGAAGGCTGAAAGTCCAGATTAAATTCTCTAAAGCTCCTTCACAAACACAGAACAGTGCAAGAACCGCATAACATGATCCTCTGCTGTTGCAAGAGAGGATGTTTGTGTATATCACAGCCATATGGATGGGGCCACCTGCATGGAACTTTCCCTAATCTAACCCTTGCTAAAAGGGAGCTGGCAGGTGGGAAAGATCAAAGAGACCGGACCCAGCTCTGTGACTGCAATATTTACATGGAAACATGGAATCATACCTCAGGGAACTGCTCCCATTTTACTGTGTTCGCTCCCTCCCCCCCCCACACATAATGGAGGGACAGCGTATAACGAAACCAAAAACGGGCAAAACTAATTTTAAAAGCGTCCCAAGTTCAATGCTGCTGACATAACACAAAAGAGAATAAAGAACACACACTGGGGATTTTTAGCTCTTGTTGCGAAGGGCAAAGGAAATAAAACAAGAAGAGTTTAAGAAAGTAAACAATACATGACGTGAGGTTCCTGAATGGCGGCATGCTCAGTTTTGCAGCTCTCTAGCTGTACGAGGATGGCAGAAGCTCCAGATCGCCACTACCACAAGCACTGTCCTAAGCCTGTCGTTGTCTTCACTATGCTGCAAAAACTTCTCTCCACATTGCATATTTCAGTCTTAATGCCCTGTCTCCAACCCACTGACAGGAAACCGAAACACAGCATATAGCAACTTGGCTCGTAATAGGGATCTATAAATTGCAATGCACTGTGACTATGTGTTTCTTAAATGCACGAAATAGCGGACAGTTTTCTTCCCCACCCCTCCCAAGGAGATGTCCAATTTTAACAAGGCTACTATGTTCCTCGTGATAAATCTAAATTCTACACCATTAAGACTCGTATACAGTGGTACCGCGGGTTACGAACTTAATTTGTTCCGGAGGTCCATTCTTAACCTGAAACTGTTCTTAACCTGAGGTGTGCTTTCGCTAATGTGCCCTCCCACTGCCGCCTTCCGTTCTCAAACTGGGACAAAGTTCACAACCCAAGGTAACTACTTCCAGGTTAGCGGAGTTTGTAACCCGAAGCGTTTGTAACCCAAGGTACCACTGTAAGTCCTTTGGGGCGATAAAGATACTGACAAAGGACATTATTTAGGCATACCTGCAAAAAGCTAAAATTGTGACTATTCCCCCCAGTAGCTTTTAGGAATACATCGTGAAGTCAAAATCTCAGAAGTATCCTGTGCTAGCAGCACTCTTATGCTGCTAAAGTATCTTGGGAACTGCAGTACGTTAAGGAGGCTGAAAGTTGTTCAGAGACCCCTTGGCAGAGGTACAATTGCATAGGAACCATGACTGCTAAGGTGGTGCAAGAGTGTTTTAAATATATGGTGTGGCATGGATGTGACTTCTGTAAACATTAATATCAGTTCTTTGCAACTTGGGTACTTCCTACTTTCCTGTGATGTTCCCCTTTTTTGATGAGCAACGGCATTACAGTACCCCTTCTCTCAATCCGTGGCCCGTAGCACCTATTCATTTATTACAGTTTTCAGTACCCATTCAGCATACGAGGTTGCTCATTAGCAAGAAAGATTCATTAATCACACTAGCAATATTTTCCAAAAAAAATCTATCAGTTCACCAGGATTCTTCCTACAGAGCAGAAGAGCTTTAGTTGGGGAACACACACACACACACAGAGAGAGAGAGAGAGAGAGAGAGAGAGAGAGAGAGAGAGAGAGAGACAGATACAGTCCTGCTGATATCTTCCTCATCTGCCTACCTCTTTCCCAAGTCCTCTCTTTGGGCATTCAATACAATGCATAAGGGTGAAAACTGTGTAGGGGGCACACAGGGGTGTAACCTGGGGGCCGAGCCTAAAAAGTCAGATAGAGAGGCCTGAAGTTCTCCATGCTTGGGTTCCCATGGAGATACTGGCTGCATTCAACTGAGCATGCCCAGAAGCCTCCCTTTGTACAGGGGTTCCAATCACAGGGTAGAGTGTATCCAGATTCAACTGAAAATTGTTTAGAGTCCCCTCTGCACTGAACACATGAAAGGATCTCTCTCTCTCTCTCTCTCTCTCTCTCTCTCTCACACACACACACACACACACACACACACACTTCTTCACTTTAAGCCCACCCTTGTACACCTGGATGCATTAAAAAGGGCTCTTGAATCCTTCCCACTGTGGTAGATGGCCCTTTACAGGCGAGAAAATAAAGCCCAGCTTCTCCCATTTGATTTTGTGCCTATGCATCTGTTGCTCCCTCCCCTGTTTTCTTTCAGAACTTGACGTCCTTTGCATTCCCACAGACCTATCAGAATTCCCCCTAGTGTTTTTCCCCCCTTTCTAAAATCCCCTCCCCCTCACAAAACTTTTGGTGCCTCAAAAGCATACAGCTGTGTGCACTTTTAGCATTATCGTTAATTGAAATTGCAAGCTCAGCTCAAGACGACAACAACAACGGGCCCAGCCCCCAGCCCTTTGCAGAAGGAAGTAAACATACACAGGAAACCCACAAAGAACAGGCTTGCGATGTCAGGGGACAAGGCAGGACACCAAAACAAAAACTACAAAGCGCTGCTGTGACAGAGGGACGCTGGGGCACACACAGAACCTTTTGATTTTGTGGAAGCACGTTAACTTCTGCTGTTCCAGCCAGAGAGTTGTGGCTGTGTCTTTAGCCAGAATGCTAAGCTGGAGGTGCCCCTGCTGCGGGTGGCGTGGGGGGAACCCGCTTCAGACCGAGGGTTGGGCTCCAATCTGAGCACCTTACCAGAGGGCCACATGCCAGGGGTGGAGAGGGCCTGAGGCAAAAGTCAGCAAGGCAGCAAAGGTGAATTTTACCTTTGCACAGGAAGCTAATTTCTACCCACACTCATACAGCCCCCTCTCTATTCTCCACCCAGGCAAGCAAGATACAGAGTACAAGGGTAGGCAGAAGACATTCAGAGGTTGGTGTGGAGAAGCTTTGCCCCTCCAGATGTGGCTGAACTCCCATCACTTCAGACCATCACCCAGGTTTGCTGGGGCTGGTGTAGTTGTAGTTCAGCAACATCTGCAGGGCAAAAGGGTTTTCCGCACCTGTTCAAGGAGCTGATGAGGCAGAATTTGTGAAGAGTGTGTGGCCTGGGGAGAGGTCCAAGAGCCAGACAGAGAGGTGGTTGGGTCCCATTGGAGCCCCAAGCCTGAGGTCCCCCACCCCTGCCCTCTTCATTATCAGTGGATTCGGAAGGCGGTCCCCTTCCCATGCAAGAGGTTTTCCCTTCCACAGGACCCTATCAGCGAGCCTGGGAACAGTGATTCAACCAGCCTCCCTACACCCACCCTCCCCAATCCTGAAGATACGTTTATAAATAGGAAGCCTGGGTACAATGATAGCATCCTGAAAGCAATGCCATAACCCGATCTGCGTGTGAACTAAGTCCCTGTTGTCTCAGTAGTATTTATATTACTCTAACTCCTGTTACAAAGGAGATGAGTCATAGAGTAGAGCTAGCCAAGCAACAAAACTGCATGGCTTGCTGAAAAACTTGGGCTCAAGGATAAGCGGGCTGCATCCTGAAGCACGTTACAAGAGCACCACTCCGGAGGAGCAATGGCTAGCCAGATTTAAAAGCCATTGGACAATGCCATTTCCCTGCAATAGGCAGGGATTATGACAGGCCTTAACATGTAGTGTCTGAGAAATCCGATACCCTAGCAACCTCATGTATGGACAATGACCCAATCAGATTTCAGTTTGCAAAGAGAAGAGAAACAGTATTTCTTCTGCATACAGATGAGCTGCAAAAATGGGTCACTTCTTTGCATTTCAGGGAGGGTAAGAGAGGTACTTCTTCTTTCCAGATCTTTGCATGGATGTGTGTGTGTGTCTGTGTGTGTCTGTGTGTGCACGCTGTTTTGTTCCGTTTTGAAAAAAGCACTCACCTGGTGCAATGTGGCATTTCCAGGCTGCCAGGGCAAACTGAAGGGTTTAACATTTAGACACACTGATAAAAGTTTGCATTTTCAGGAAGACAGTTTATCAGTAACTTACCGGTTCTTTTCTAGTTCGTTGTGCGTAGATCTGGAAGATAAACCAAGAAGAAAAGGATTAGCCATTTTATAACTTCAAGAGCCAGTTCCCCTAAATTGTGAGCAGTTTTTCTCTATTAGTTACAATGGATCAGAGCAGCACATTCAACCATGCACATAAAGAACTACCGTATTTTTCCATGTATAGGACTAGGGTTTTTTACAAAAAAAAACAGGTTTAACATTGGGGCTCGTCTTATACACTGGTAATGCTGAGGGATGTTTTCTTAATTTGGAGTCCCCCAAAATAGGGGGCGTCTTATAGACGGAAAAATATGGTACTTACTGACCCTACAAGTACAGATCCTTGATTATTGTTTAAATATTTGGAGCTCTAGATCTTATTATACCAACGGTTTTCAAGGCTTGGGATTTTCATTCATTTCACTTGCTCATTGTTTCAGTCACCACCAGTGCCCTGTATGAAGCAGCGGGGCCCACAGAATCTTAGAGTTATGATACAGCTTACACAGGTTAGCTACCACAAGATGAAAACAGATCTGGGAGAAAGCCCTGAGTACAGTCATACCTCAGGTTGCGATTGCTGTGGGTTGAGCATTTTTGGGTTACGGATGTGCCGAAACCCGGAAGTACTGGAACGGGTTACTTCTGGGTTTCAGTGCTCGCGCATGCATAGAAGCGCTAAATCACACTTGGCACATGCGCAGAAGCGCCAAATCGTGTCACGTGCGTGCAAAGACGCAAACACTGCGGGTTGCGAACGTGCCTCCTGCATGGATCACGTTCGCAACCTGAGGTTCCACTGTACTCATGAGGCTCCTCAGATCATATTTTAGCTCCCATTGATCATCTGTTCACTTCTTCCCGTAAACAAATCAGAAGCTGAAACAGTGGAAGAGGTTTCAAACTCAGGATAAGTCATCCTGAACAAGCCAATTTACAGAAGTTTTAATTATTTTGAGCAATTTGCAAGTTTCCAAGGCCCTTTGTATTAATGAGACTGCAAAGTTTGTTTTTTATTGGCCTACATCATGGATAACATAATGGAAGCAGGAGACAATGCATGTTTGGATCCCATCAAACTTTATATTATTTAAAGTGCTAACCGTAACCAACAAGATCCTATGACTTAAAAAAAATTGACATAAAAGAATTTGAGAGCAGCATGTATATTTTATGATAGACTAACTTAAAATAAGAGGTGAGTGGCTTAGAAAAAGAATAGAAAGAAATATCCATTTGTTTGCCAATTGACATCACACTTGGTTGAAGGCCAACTATTTCCTTTTAATATATTAAAAATATTTATAACTCACCCTTCATCTACAGATACTTGGCCAGGGTGCAAAACTTTAAAAACCACCATACAACCAGCACCGAAACCCTCAAAACAAATAGAGGGAGATAAAAATAACAAAGCAGGCTAATAAGCAACTAAACCTTAATATGCTTGGGCAAATAATAGGTTTTGACCTGTTGAAAAAATATTGTCAAAGCCAATCTCACTTCTGAGGGGAGGATATTCCACAAACAGGGTGCCACCACAGAGAAGGCTCTCTTCTGCATCACCACATACCACATCTCCACCAGTGATAGGACATGCTAAAGACACTCCTTCGATCTTAAGAAAGGGGCAGGCTGATATAGGGAGAGGCACTCCTGTAAACTATCAACATCTAAAAAAGATCCTTGCAGAGAATCCTAATGACAATAGAATTGACTTCAAAACTACAGTAGTTCCAAACTCAATGGCAATTCCTCTATTAAATCAGAAGCGTCTTAAGAAATAAGGGTAGGGGAACTGGTGAACAGGGCCAACTTTTGCTGGGCAAGTAGAATACACAAAGATTAATCTGAATTACTCACACCTCCAACCTGGAACTGAATGGATGGCTACATGCATAAGCCACTAACTATAATATTGTCAGGAATTTGGAAGCTGGTTCTAAGAAGCACAGTCTCCTATGTTCTGATGGACAGACGCCTGGCTCCTCTCCCACTGTGCAAATTATTACAAAGCCTAGAGCAGAATGCACAAGTGTAAAAAGAAAACCAGCAACATTCAATGAACTTTTTTTTAAGCCTAAAGATGTATGAGCATTTGGAGTAAAATCAAATGTAAAAACAATGGGACCCTATTGTCACATGCTATGCAGAAACTTAGAAATTAAAAAAAAAGATGAGAGGACAGAATTCACATCCTTCTGGCGTTCTCATGAGAATTCTTCTCCACCATTTTGAGATTTTGTTGACCAAGCCATTAAATGTTTGTTTGAGCTCATTGGTATAACACAGCTGCACCCCTACCCATTTCTTAGGTTGTCCCCATAATAACCAGCAGTCACCAGAATGCTATAAACATCCTTTTAATCTCCATTTTGGAACAACTACCGTATTTTTTGCCCTGTAGGACGCACTTTTCCCCCTCCAAAAATGAAGGGGAAATGTGTGTGTGTCCTATGGGGCGAATGCAGGGTTTCGCTGAAGCCTGGAGAGCGAGAGGGGTCGGTGCGCACGACCCCTCTTGCTCTCCAGGCTTCAGGAGAGCCCCACCGCCAGCCCCACAAGCTGGGGGGACAGCGGGGAGGCGGAACGCCGCCATCCCGCTGTCCCCCGACTTGGTTAGAAGGCTGGCGGGGGGGAGAAGCCTGCTCCTCCCCGTCGCCAGCCCCGCAAACTCGGGGGACAGCGGGGAGGCGCAGCGTGCCATCCCGCTGTCTCCCAACCTGGTTTGGAGGCTGGCGGAGGGCTTCCCCCTCCCCCAGCCCCGCAAGCTCCCAGAGCGATGCCAAACTGCACGCAGCTTCGGCATGGCTCTGGGTCCCGTTCTGGGGGCTGGGGTCGGGGGAAGCTTGGGAAATAATTTTTTTCCCCTTTATTCCCCCCCCCCCAAATCTAGGTGCGTCCTATGGGCCGGTGCGTCCTATAGGGCGAAAAATATGGTAGTTTTAAATTTCACACAGACACATATCATATTCCTATTCATACATGGTATTCTTTGGACTGTGCACTGTGTTAAAATACATGTATTTCAACTATTAAATAAGAATGAAAGAGGGGTGGGAGACACTACAGTTCTCCCATGTCCCAAGAAATACAAACGAAATTCCTTTGAGCTGTATTTCAAGCAGCAGCATCTAAAGATATAGAAATAAAATCTGACACTATTGTGAACTTACACATTTGAGTAATCTGTGTGTAAATTACTGTGTGTAAATCCGGTGTGTTATTAGTTTTATTTACTGTTATGTTCCTGCAGGAGATGTCTCCCTCTTCCTGGAGACTCCATTAATGGCTCCAAACCCAAAGATATGCAAGGGATTGAATTCCAACATTATAATCAAGCCAGTCATGAAGGTTGGCGCTGAAAGAACAAAGTTCGGCCCACCGCTGGGAACAAAATTAAAACAGCAGGCTCTCCCTATTTCTTCTCACACAGGAGACTCTTTATTACTTATCTTCCTTCTATCAGACACCAAAGCTGAGGAGGGTTGCCATTTTTCCATGAAACTGGAAAGTTTATTATGTGATTTATAACCATATTGGCATAAAGTAGTATGAATTTTCCCAGACAAGGAAGGGGGGGTGGAGGGGGGGACCTCTGCCGCTTCTAAATATATCCTGTCAGACTATTACGATGAACAATCCTTAAAATAGAAAGCATTTTGAAATACATCTAGTGTTCTCCTTGGTAACTTGAGGTATAATCAGAATTCTCTCCTCAGAAATCTTTGCCATTTCTTCCATAGCTTCCTCATAGTAAGGACACTCATAATTGCCTCTAAACTGAAAATTATAATCATTCAATGGAGTAACATCCTGACTTTCTGTTAGATTGTATACACTCATGTGTTAAGTATTGCCCACGACTGTGACTAAATTGTGCGGTTGCATAACCATCGCTCAGTTGTATGCTAGGCAGAATTTGGCTAACAGTGCACTCTTCTAAGTGTCTTTTTAGAAGTAAGCCCCACTCTCTTGACGGGGTTTACTCCCTGGTAAGTGTATGTGAACAGCAGTCTGAATCCTAGTTAGCGTTTTGTTTTTTTAAGCAGAATTTTATTCCTTATAGATGTCCACATGACCACCAGATTAATTCCATTTTTATTTCTATTTTGGTAAAAGCAGAGAAAAGAGCCTCAATACTGTATACAGCATTTACAGAATTTCTGTGAGGCTGAAGGGATGAAATGTTTGCCCAAATGATGATTTTGGTACAGGACATCACAGTGTTTCAAAGTACTAGCCTTATTACATATACACATAACGCTAGCCAGAAGTGGAGCTAAAATCTGATGAGGAAAAGGGATTAGCTGCAGAACAGCACAAACGGTTCCAATTCTTATTATTCTTGTTTACCAGATTTGACTCAATTGCACGCAGTTGTGTTTCCAGACTGGGGCCTTATATCACAAATGGGTCATTCAGATACAATCTCTCTGTGTGAGCATTTGGCTTCCACACACCCCAGTTTTCTCAATCCTGCGTATTCATTGTTTTTCCACCCATGTGGGTTTGTTGCCCCACTTCTACATCACAAAATGCACAAACTTTTTCTATTCAGGACACCTTTTCATAAACAATTCTCAGGAAGTTCACAAGAGCAAATGTTGCAAGCCTTGGTTATCTTGTTTCACAATAGAGACTTGTAGTTTTGGGGGTTTTTGTGGGGGAGGGTGGACATTTCCATTTGCTTGTTTCTAATTTTTAGTACCAAGGTTTTGCACAAGAGGGATAAATACTTTTATCTAATTTTAAAGCCTAGAAAGTGTGGGGCAAAAGGTAAATGTGGAGGAGCCCATAGTGTCAGAGGTACATACCCCCCCTCCCACACACAGTAGAGAGATCTTGAAAAACAGCTTCTCCTAATCAGGTTGCTGAAATTCAAATGTGCCTTCAACATCACACAGTTGGTGGAAATAAGCCTACTCATATCATTTGAGCTACCAGGAAGAAAATGGTTAGATTGTGCTCAACTGGGAAGCAAATGGAAGTATAGGGGTGTTGTGTTAGAAGCCACCCACCCAAATCACACTCCCCAAAATGCTAACAAGCTTCCATACCAGCTGTAATTGCAGATGTCTTAATGGGCTGCTTTTACTTATCAGATTTTCTATAGTAAGGGGAGATTCATATTATTATTATTACTTTTGAAGCATGGACCAGTATTTTAATGGCAATGATGTCATGTGGAAACTAAAAAAAAGAACAAAAACCAAAACCAAGCCTTGCCTACATGAGCAGCACCAATTCCATAATAAACTCCTATCTGGAAGCACTCTTAGTCACAATTCAGCATAATGCTTAGAACTCCCTCAGTAAAGCAAGCTTTATTCCATCATTGTATATTTGCTGAATTTTGTGGCATTGCTCTATACTCTGCTGCCTCCATTTCATAAGGCTATGTGGTTCTTCGATGCTGACCCCTTACTTTAGAACACGGGTGGGAAATGTGGGCCCCACAATAACCCCCTCCCCCCAGCTGTCTGAGAACAAACTGGTACGTTTCTGTCATCCACGCCATGGCTTCCCCTAAAGAATCATGGGAACTGTAGTTTACCACTCATTGAGCTACAATGCCCGGCACCCTTAACAACCTAAAGATTCTTTGTGGGAAGTTATGAGCTTTAAATGTACACAGTGTGGATGTCTGTCTGTTTGTCTCTCCCCCCCCACACACACTGAAATCAGAAAGAAATAATTTCATTCGAAATTTGAAATTCAGAGGACTGGCAATTCAAACCTGATGTAGCCATGGGAAAAACTGAAGCAAATCAATCTTTATTCTGGATTAACCAGTCCAGAAGGCATGTCCCTGGCTTTGCCAATCATTAATTCTAGCTCTGTCACTGGCATGGGCAAATGCACACACAGACATGGATCGATTACCTCCCTGCTCCCCCTCCCCAAACACACACTAAGGAATCCTCCTTTTGACAGAAAATAGGCTGCCCAGCATTTGCTATTCCTTATACAAAGTATCAGGCAGTGCAAAGTTAATTAGCGCAAGTCTTTAAGGTAATAGCTGAACAGTCACAAACAGATCTCTTGGGTAAGCCGCTCCCCTCCAGCCTGACATAGTCCTAATAGTTGGGTGTAGGCTTAAAATGCTTCATCTTGGAGAAAGGCCCAGTGAATGGTCTGGAAACACCCAATATTGCAGAGTTACCAAAACTAAGCAGATGAGTAACCTGAAGGTCACAGGGCATATTATTATGATTTTAATGAAAAGTAATTTTTAATGTTTCCCAAGAATATTTGTAAAAATTATGGCCATGAGCCATCGTAGATTGCTGGATGCGGATCTCCTTCTGCATAAGGAGTGGTACGACTGTGGCATGAGCTTTTCTTCTTCTTTTAACTTCAAAAAGAGTCGCGTGGATCCAAAGGTGCCCTTCCACTCAAAGCAAGATTGGATCCTACTTGGCAGAACATTTCACAATGAAGTGAAATCCAGAGGTGTTCTTCCATTTGCACAAGATAACGTTCTCTCTTTCCCAACTGGATTTTGTATCTTGAACTGCGTATAGTTTTAAGCCTCTTTACGCATGTCCAAAACACAGTCCAATACAGAGATGGGGAACTTCTGGCTTCTAGTTGTTGCTGGACTACAATTCCCATCATCCTCTGTAACTGTTTGTGCTTGTCTGGGGCTGGTAGGAGCTGCAGTCCAACAACCACCTGGAGGGCCATAAGTTCACCATCCCTGTCCTAACAGCTGCAGTTCCTCACTGGGAAACATTGGCAAGTAAGGTGTTTGAAATCCCCCAAACCCTGCTGCAAAACAAGCTTTGCAACAGAGAAATATTTACTATGCACTGGAGAGCTTCATGTACCCAGTGTACAGGCATGCCGTTGCATAATGCCTTTGCAGCTGCAGGTACTTTGTGCAGCAAGGTCTCCCCTAGTGCTTTGCACAACAGTTTGCAGAACGGCACTAGGGAGCAAACCCATTCTACCCGCCCTTCTTTGTAACCTAACCTACCACCGTCTTTTCCCCCAAAGTGGATATTACAAAGGAGGAATGTACTTTCACATTTCTAAAACAATTCATACATCAAAGCAGCTAAAGATCTTTTCACATCAAGGCAGCATGCAGAAACATATGAGCAACAGAACAATGAGGCTGTTTCTCTCCCGTCTCCCCATATAAACCCGTGTTGCTGTTGACATTCCCTGTAAACTGCAAAATCCAGGACATAGAATAGAGTCAACAGCCTTCTTGGCACATTCATACTGATGAACTTAAGAAGCGTAGGGAAGGGGACATAATTCACAGTTCTGCTGCTATACTAGACTCGTTGAAAGAAATAGGAATTCAAGAGAAGTCGTGTTTTGGAACAACACGTCCTGGAAGGTTATTTAAATGTACAGACCTGACCTAACCTGGTGAATAAAAGGCATACAACACATTGGCCCAGTTCACATGTCACATTAAACCATAATCTGATAACAAGAACGGGTTTAATGTGCATGAGTAGTATACTCGTCCAAATAACTTAATTGTGCTACAAAGAGTAGTGTACTATTGAACACTGCTCAAAAGTTCCTGTGGTGTTCCTTAGAAGGCTGGATTGTCATGTTGCCTGGACTTGAGCTCATAGTTTCTTTCCTCCAAAGAAATCCTGAGTGATAACCAATGTTTGTTCTGGGCTTACTGCTTATGGTTTGTTTCAAGAAAACAATCCACAAGCCTGGTCTGAACAACAAGCCAAACTCAGTCTTCTTTCATCTGCAGTATGGCGGCAGCAGGAGGAGGAGGGGACCACCCCTGCAGAAACATCTGAACAGAATGCACCAGCACATTTCTCATTCAAATTACACCACAGCTAGTTGAAAATCATGGTTTCATATGATGTGCTATCTAGGCCAATGACTATAATACACCCACTGGAGTATGAGGGCCAGTTTGCAAAATGGCAATTGCAATGCTTTGAGCAGGACTGCTAACCCAGACCTTTGCTACTAGTAAGTTATTGAAATATTAAGCAACGTCAAGTCCTCAGCACAACCAAGACAATGTAAAATAATACATCTGCTTAACCTAGTTTCTTTATTTAAATAAAATATGTTGTTCCAGGGAATGGAAAAACGACCTTTAGAAATACAGCCTCATGTATACCCAAAGTTAACCCATACAGAGGCATAGAAAGTAACTCTTGGAGGAGAAGCAAGCAATCCTGGAAATTGATTGTAACTCACAATATTCTCTTTACATATATTTAACTTCACTGGAGTGTCACTACATGTGTTTTATATTTAAAATGTTACATCCATGGGCACTGCCTGTGTCTTTATTTTTATTACTATACACTACTAAGATGGCACAGCCACTCTAAACATAATAATTATAAAAATATACTTGGGAAACAATTCATATGGCCATTTTTTACACATATAAGAGTCACCACCTGATGACTATGCAACACTTCCAATGGTATAATAAAACAGTGACCATGTTGTTGTTGTTGTTGTTGTTGTTTAGTCGTTTAGTCGTGTCCGACTCTTCGTGACCCCATGGACCAGAGCACGCCATGGACCAGAGCACGTGACCATGTTATCAAGGGGTAAATATAAAATACCTCTGCACTACACAAAGTTACCAGGATGCTATCTAGTGATGACTTTTCCATGTCAAAAGTGGCCATTTAAAATCAAGCCTATGTGTGAAAATAACCCAGCCTCTGTTTTCCCATGTTCACTTTTTCAATTAGAACAAATAAATGTGACTTGAAATAAAAACTGACACAGTACTGTAAATTACTTGAAGTTTGATCAGTTTCACTGCCCATCTCAAACAATGTTTCTTCGCTTGGTTTCTGGGTGCCAAGACCTTTGGGATCGGTTGGACATGTCAATTGATTTTAAATATCTGTACTGATGAATTTATATTTCCTTAAGATTTATTTTATTATTCGATTTATTATTCCGCCTTTCTTCCATGATGGAACTTAGGTTCCTAAGGCGATTGGTCTTCCATCTAAGCAAAGACCTGACTTAAGACCAGCAAGATTGCAGCATGATATGCCTTCGGATCACACGCTGGGAGGAATGATATTAAGCTAAAATTCAGAACAGCAGAGGAAGCAATTGGGCAGGTTTGAGCTTGAGCTATGTTTTAACTTGAGGCGTAGGTCAAGTCACAGAGTGATAGTTAGAATCCAGCCAGAATGTACCTGCATCCTAATAGAGTCACATGCTTCTTCACTGGTCTACCCTCACTAGAATAAACCTAAAAATATGCTCCAGCAAAAAAAGAGATTTAGTATCATAGGGTGAAGCAGCTCAAGTAGAATGTGCAACTAGCCCAAGGTCACCCGCTGAACTTCATAGCAGAGTTTAGATTTGAGCCCAGGTCTTCCAGACCCTAGCCTTCCACTGGAGTCACACTGCCCCACTGCTGAAACCTGGTACCAAGACTCAAACTCAGAATGATAGCAACAAGTTTGTGCATTCAAACACAGGGCTACCTCGGTCACAGAAAGGTGGGAGGCAAAGAGAACATTATTTTTACAGCAGCAAAGCAATGTGTGCAAGGGGGCTCTAAATCCCCTCTGCAACTTCCCTCCCCCCCAAGCTTCAAGTGCTTTTCACCCAGCCAAGGTTACTGCTGGGATCAGAGTTCAGTGGCGTAAAAAGGTGCTCAGGGAGAGACATTCTGAGTGGAGCAAGGATTCTTCTCCATTCCATGAGATTCCTACCTTCTTTGCACGTGACGGAGGTAGTTCCACGTTTAAATGCAAGGGACTGTTTCAGTCACCTCTAGGTTGGCCCCAGGTTTTACATCTCAAAAGAATCAGCTAATCTCTTCTACAACAATATCATGTGCAGCATGATTTCTTCTTGTCTCCATGAGAGCTTGGAAGGTAGTAAAGAGCCAAGGTTGAAATATTGCAGAACTCAACCAACCAGCAAAATGTTTTGTCATAACCATTAGGAATCACTACAACACAGGGGCAGAAAGAGAATATGCCAAAGGTTTCAGCACTGAGAAACCAACAAGGAAGCAAGATTAGAGATGGATTAATATGTATGGTCTTGGAGCTACCAGCATGATTTTGACCAAACTGCAGGAGGCAGTGGAAGACAGGAGTGCCTAGCTTGCTCTGGTCCATGGGGTCACGAAGAGTCGGAAACGACTAAACAACAACAATATGTATGGTCTGGAATTTGAAAGTAACCAGGAGAACTATCAGTAATCTACATTTGGATCCAGATCAGGCATTTGTATTTCACTGAACATTTCTGAGTAGGGTGGTTATCAAACTATGTCTGTTAGATCTGTGGCACTTTTGCTGCAATGCCGTTTGTAGAGCTCTGGGCAAAAGACACAAAAACATAGCATTAACACTAAAAAAATCAGGGTTGGACGTGGTGGTGGTGGTGGTGGTAAAGAGCTAGGTGTCTGTATCGGATATTTATGACCCAGGTTTAGAGAGGCCTGAGCAATATTTCAGACACTTTTGTGGTGTGTGTGTTTCATTTTCAATGTTACTAATCCATATAAACCTATATTCAGTTACAATAACAAGTAATAAAATAAAAGTTACAGAACAAAAACAAAACAACTCAAACATATTGCTCAGCTTTATAGATAAAATAAAGTATCTTATTGTATCTTATTGAGGGCAGTTTCCAATATTTTCATAACATGGTAAGTTGAAAAGACACTTTTTCATAAAATCCACATATTCCAAAAGGCTTTAGGTAATATTTCTAAACTACAAGGGCAACTTCAAGACTACCTTGAAGCTTGCTTTCATGCTCAGAATGTACACATCACCAGGGTCAGACCAGTAATAACTCCAAAGGAATTTTGTTCACCATGCCTTGTGTGTATTTTCAACTACCTGTATTGAAAAAAGCTAATAGTCTTTAGTTTAAGATAAGAGGCACCTCTTCTTTCATTAGGCACCTTGGATCCTGCCGTCCTCAACCAGAGTGCTTTGCTCGGGCAGGGGTAGCCAAGATGGTACCCTCAAACGGTTTCAGAGTACAACTCCCATCAGCTGCATGCTCAAAGGTGATGGGAGTTGTAGTCCACAGCATCTGGGGAGCACCACTGCATTAGGAACATTTGGTTATAGAGGACAGTTGTTGGACTAGATGACCTGCAGGTCCTTTCCAGCAAAAAGATCTCATGGCATTAAAGTCTGTAGAAGCAGAAGCCAGGATTGCAATAAAGCAGGCACAAACCTAAAGCCACAAAAATAGTGCTAACTCTTCCTCCAGAAACCTAGCAACAGCAGTGCTCAGTTTCTAAGAAATACACAGCTCCCTTTCTGATAAGTGTGGGGCGGTTCCCACAGCTGGCCTCCTACGACCAGCCCGATAGGAATATCAGACAGTCTACAGACATGCAGGAAAGCTGTGGTCTCTGTAGCTAATAAAACCTTAAAGGAGGTCATGTTGGACCTCTTGGGGCTAAATATATCATCCAGTTGTACAGGGTGTCCTGTGCCTTTCCTTTCCCCTCATGGCAATCCTATTGGGCCAGTCACTATTATTCAACCTAGTATCACCCAGCAAGCTTTGTGGCGGCATGGGAATCTGAACCTGAACCTCCCTGGTCCTAGCCTGACACTATAACCACTACACCACACTGGCTGCATTCGTGATCTTTCCTATGGGTAAACTTTTGGCCACCAAACCAGCTTCCTCAAGCCAGCAATGCTCAGCAGTTCTCCAGAGGCACCTGGTTTTAAAGCAGTCGCTAAGCTTCAGAAGTGTCAGAATAACAGAAAGACCAAGTCATCTTGCCGCATAACCAAAATATTAAGTCCATCTGGTTAGGCAGCAGCTGAAATCCAAGTGCTTTCAAGCTGGATTTCATTTGGATTAGAATCCAGTGAAAGGAGCCAACATATAGTTCCACAATATATACACCACCCCTATTTTCTTGGCCAAACAGGAAGAACAATATACATGCAGAAGTAAGCAGCCCAGTTCTGTCAAAAAGCATCGCCTACTGCAAGCCTCTCCTTTGCCACAGGGTTCTGGGATAGGAGTTCAGGCAAAACAGGTATTTTGTATCACACAAATCTGGCACATATAATTAAACTCTCTCTATCCCCAAGTATTTGCACTTCCTAGATATTACCAGGTACTGGACAACATCCCATGTATGTGGTCTGCATATTCTAAAAATATCAGCCCTGCAAAAGAGTTTAAGAGGCCTACATCCTACATATGTTTTCACAGCTCCAATACATTGAGGTGGGAAGAGAAGAGTCAGAAGGTAGATCTCTAAATCCATAAAATCAGGAGTAACCCAGCACAGCTGACATTGCACACAATGGTCGCTGGCATCTCAATGCCACCTGCAATCACGTTCGTCTTGTATACTGTGGCTCAGTTATCTGTCAGAATTCAGTCGTGTGTAATGAACTCGGGACACTGCACACAACAGTGACACATTCATGTGCACCATATATAAAACACATCTGCAAATATATATTTGGAAACACAGCTTCAGAGCCATTCACACTTTACTTTTTAAATGTGGACACATGCTACATTTTTTTAAATGCCAAACTACTTTAGCCATGCCATCAGTTCTAAACGGTACCTGGGCATTTAAATGGTTAGGTTTCTCTGCAGTGTGCACAGAAATGGTGAGTGAAAAAGGATTGGGCCCCACTTCTGTTTATTCCAGGGAAGCCCAGCCACTTAAATGGGCATGAATCATCCACAACTGATGGCACAACACATGGAATTTGTTATTTAAATTCTGGTAGTTTGAGTACTCAGGTTAAAAGAGAGAGAGAGATATGAACAAGCCCTTACAGAATTCAAAATGATTCAGTAACATCTGTATTTCATTTACCAGAAATCAAGGGCTAAAACAGAAAAAAAGGACAGAAGAAAGAGAAATTCAATCAGAATTAAAACCTGAAACAGACCAATAAGGGGTGCTTCTGGGAGTAAAACCAAAACCAAAACAAATAAACCCAAATCCATTACAACAAAACAAGTATAGAGCAAAGGATCTGGGAGGACCTTTCCATTATGATGATCCTCATGAATAAATTTTAAAACAATCTGGAAAGATCTTTTGATAATCAGTATCCATATGCCTCATTTCATGCAGACAAAAATATCCTCAATTTCTACAGACAAAAATATCCTATCAGATAAGCAGTGCAAGCCTTAACACATCAGAGAAGAAACTTCAGCAGTTTAATTCATGAAAACATTTGCAGGATCAGGACCTTGGGGGGTAACTGGCTTTTAAAAATATATCAAACCAAAACATATGCATTTACCCAGGTTTTTAACAAACAACAACAATGCCACTGTTTTATGCTGCCATTTTATGTTACTATTTTTATGGATTATGTAATTTTTTTTGGCCTTCCATGATTTTATAAGCCACTTTATGAATCTATTGAATTGAGAGATGGGTTATAAGTGGCTAAAATAAAATCAATCAAGGTTCAAATCCACTGTACACTTAAACATGAATTAGCACTTCTGAAATCAGTAAGAATTACCGTATTTACTCAAATCTAATGCTCACCTTTTTTGGCCAAATTATGTTGCGAAAATTAGGGTGTGCATTAGATTCGGTGGCACATTTACACTTGCCAACTTTTTTTAGTTGTTTCAAGGTTCTGAAAACTGAGCTGTGCGTTAGATTTGATGGGGCATTAGACTCAAGTAAATACAGTACTTCTAACTAAACTTGCATAAAATAATCCTACATAAGAGATTTTCATATCCCCTAATGGCGCTAGCAGCAATAAGGAAGTAACTTTATTTGTGTAACATTATCACTATGTTCTGTGTTGCCACTCCACAGCATGTACTTAAGAAAATGCCAGCAGCCTTGCCAATTCTCTTTCTAAACGAGGGGACAGCACACCCGACAAAGTGAAACCACTGAATTGTATACTGCCTAAACATAGCAAAACAGCAATTGACTTTTCTGACTGGGCCTAGATTTTGCAAAGAGCTTCAGGGCTCATCTGGGAAACATGACACTAAAAACAGTGCTGTGCCAGGTTTTCACAAATGTTTCTTATTTCAAAAGCAAGCGCTATGTATTGAAGGGGGCAAAAAGTTTGCAAGAAACCTCCTACCTTCTTCCATGCCTGTTCATTGCCATTGTTCCTATTGTTTTTATATATGTATGTGTATGCTTCTTCACGATGCAATTCTAGCTAACTAGGGATCACACACTGTGAACAGAATTAAGTCATCGCACAGCCATATTTGAACATACAATGATTTCAGCAAGGGCAAATGAAGCTTACTCACTGCCCTCACACTGAAGGAAAACAAGGAAAGAGAGAATGCATGCCTAAAGCTCAGGCCACCAGGCTGTTGGTCCCCAACTTGCTTCACTAAACAATTTCATCATATGCCAGCATTACACAGCAAATGTCCCTCCCTTTCTTGTTGCACGACATGAGCTAGGACAGACAGCACATAGGAATATGGATTCAGATGCAGACACTAACCATCTCCACTGCACTGGTTTCAATAGGATACTCCTATGCAAAAAGAAGAAGAAGAAGAAGAGAGATGCTGGTATGCATATTCTGCACTGATAAAAGTGCTTTGAGTACCATCACAAAATGGCTGCTAAGGATGGCCAAAGTAAGAGGTTCTAGTACTCTGTACCGGTGAGTGCTGTCACAATAAGCCTTGTGTACAACTATGTTCAGATGTGCATCCCTATCCTGCCCTAATGAAATCAACTACATGTAACTAAACTGCAGCAATGGAGCAGCAATTGTGCCTCAGCAACAGGGATACCTCCCCACCTCTACATACCTAACACCTTCCAAGGAGTTTCATACCCTTTCACAAAGGGCTGTGCAAAATTGTCCAGAAAAGGGAAGCACATTTCTCACAGAGAGAAAATGTTCATAAAACTCAGTGCTTATCTCCCATTTTGACTCAGTGCTACTTAAAAGTACTCAAAATCAGTCCCTGGACATTCCAAAACAGTGTGGTTGGAAGTATAGAAATTTGGGTGCACTTTGCATGTACATTCAGAGAAATGTCTTTGGGATGAACAAAAATATTCCAAAATAAGTACTTTTTTCAGATATCTTCTTTGAAAGAGTAGAACAGCATGATGCCAAACATTGCCCTCAGTGGCTGATTCATACATAAGTATGGAAGGATTTATTTTTGTCAGTGTAATAATAATGTTTCCTCCCCCCTCCCCATTTAGGACTATTTGTCCTTGAAAATAGTTACTGAGTTTACCAAGTATACATATAGTATACAGCAAAATCTCTTGATACTGTATAATGTATGAATGAAGGTTTCCCCCCCCCAAAAAACAAGTATGCCCCATGACCTTATTGAGCTACTCATTCTCTCAATAGGTTTCTCTATTTTCCATTATAGACCAATGCAATGCCCTCCATGGAGTCTGGGTTAGATCTACACTTAACTTACAATATCCACTTTGGCAAAGGAGATTGTGCTGTTTAGAAGCTAGAAGCCAATCTTCATGCATGTCTACTTAGGAGCAAGTCTTAAATCAACAGGACCCAAATTCCGTGCTCAGAAATGCCATATCTCTATAAATATGCTTAATATTGCACCATTGGTTCTGAAGGAAATTCCATACAGTTCAAATTAATTTGACAGAGCCAGGACTAGTAAAGGATGATAGGGGATATGGCCCTTGCCTGGTGGTATAAGAAGAGAAAAGGAGCCAAGGGGAAAGAGGTCCCCTCACAAACCTTAATTTTAAATCCTAGCAAGGCCCACTTTTGCCTTCTGTCCCTTTAACGAGCATCTTCCCACAATGATGACAGCTAAACGTGCTCTTCTAAAAATAAAAGCATGAATTGGATTGCAACACAAATAGTCAAGCCTACGGACCAAAATACCATAGCACTCTACTTACTCTACCTTACTCAGCATCAAGTCACTGTATTAGGTGTTTCAGAGATGCCACAAGTTTTGTTACAGAGCAACTCTCTCCGAATTGTCCACTTCCACTTTCCTACACAAGCTGGGTGTGAAGCTGCACCTCCTGACTTTGCCTACTAACAGCCACCAGTGCTCTCAGCCTCAATTTGCCGTATCCTTTCATGAACCCTGTTAGACTGAGGGATTACACAACAGACCATTTTAACTTCATTAACCTGATTATATGTTGGAAAAAGCATCCGTCTGCATGCATGCGGCTTTCTTGATTTCCTGCTCATGCAATAATGCTTTGGCTATTGAAGAGCCACCGAGGCTGCAATCCACCCGACTCCACTCCCACACAAGTCCTATTGAAACAATTCAGGGTTGTTCGGGAGCAGTACATGGGGAAGCACAGCTTTGGCATGCATGGCTGAAATGAGTAACTGCTGGGCGAGCAGACGCGTTAACCACCCCTTCAGTTATAATGAGACAAAATGACATCCGTGTAGAAAACTGAAAATCCAACCCCGACCCCCGTTCACAACAAATAAGCATTAAAACAGTGAATGTCCAGAATAAGGACGCGACAAGAGTATATTTCATAGGGGTGAAAACGTGCAGAGGTGTCACCCAACAAAGCAAAGGCTGCATTCACATACAAGGTTAAACCATTAAGGATGGTTAGCTAAACCATACTGTGCACAAGATGCCTGGCTTAAAGCTGTGTCTGAACCTGCAGTCATGGGTCAAACAGTCCAGGATTGCAGGTGCAGAGATAAAGCTGAACCAGATGCTCCATGGTTTGTTTCCCTGCTGCTGGAAGGGAGACGCAAAGCAGGAGTGCTCAGGTTGCATGCAATTTGTGAGCAGTTGGGTTTCACAAAAACAGCCATCATAGCTTAGCATTACATGTGAGTGCAGTCATAGGCCAGTTAGCTGTACATGCAGCACCCAGAGAATATCAGTATTCCTTTTGTAAATGGAAACGAATTTTCTTATAACCATTGTTACTTAGGCTAAGCAGAGAACCCCGTGATCTACAGGCACTATAAGAACTATGATGTGACGTTTGACAGTTCAGGTATCTCCAATGGAGAACATTGCTAAATGATTATTCTGAGATCCTCAGGACACCGTCAGTTACCTGCTTTAGGCACTTTATTGAAAACGTCTCTCTCTCTCTCTCTCTCTCTCCCCCCCCCCCGCCTTTCCTGATTTTCTTTTCTTTTCTTTTTCTTCTTATATCTTTCTCCCCCTCTGATGTGTTTACATTTTTATCCTGCTTTTAGTATCTGTGTGTCATATTCTCATGTTATGTTTTAGGGCACAGCTCCATGCTTTAAAGCACCATGTTGAAAACTGCTTAGACTTTTTTTTAAAAAAGTATGAAAGCAGTCAAAAAAATTTCAGAACAAATAAACAAACAATGCTCGGGGGATATGCCAGAGCAAAAATAAATTACAAGTACGGGGCCACAAAATTATACCTCCATCTCATAGAAACCAGCAGATTTTTCACCAGCCTGCTTCATTCACCACCTTATTCATGCCCTGCTAATTACCACGTTAGCTTGGTAGAAGCACAGCATAGCATACGTCATATGAAGAATACAGCACACAATTCTGCATGGCACTACTAAGGGAAGAGTGCAGGCCAAACAAAACATGGTAGGGGCAGCCACACTGACTCGTGCAAATGGTGCAGTCATGTGAATCTAAAATGGTAGGTTCTATTTTTTTACAACAAAAGGTACACATTGACAAGCAGAACTAAATTTTTGTCCCCTGCTGTAACTCCCTGTATTCCATCAAATCATGATTCTCCCTACCCACAAATCCAGTGCAATTCTGGTATTAGAAGCAGGCTGGTGAAAAATAAATTTAGTTTTATGCCTGTCCAGCCCACAGGGTTTGTTTGTTTTTTATGAAGTTCCTGTGATAATGAATGCTTCAGTGCTGGGAATCCTGACACTCAGTATATATACTCAGTATATACCCCCTGTTGTCCTACTGCTGATGCAAACACAGAAAATCAACAGCTTCTTCACGGCAAATAATCTAAATGGTGTCAAATACTACATTTACCCTACTAAGTAAGGAAAGTTGTGAAGTAATCATTACTCCAGCTCTAGTAAAGTGAAATTCCTCTTCCTGGAACAAAAACACTCCCTGTACATTATTTTATATGCTTTGAGGCTTGTTGGAGATTCAGAAAACATAGGCGAAGGCCTCAACAGTTAGAAACAGTTCTTCTAAATTCAGCCCTCCTTACCTATTATTACACTTTTATATTAACCACACACAGGCTTGTATGTCGAAGTGCTCTTCAATTTAGAACTGTTTGAGTCCTTCCCACCCCACCAATAAAGTCAACACCAGGAAGTAACAGAAATGCCATCAAGAAAACAGAAAGCACACTGAAAACTCATCACCAATTATGCCCATGAACTCTGCTCAAGATTTTATTCCAGAACATTCTATGACCACAGAGCTCTGGAAGTGGGAGGGGGACAAACCAAGGAGTAACCTTCCTTGTATTCATGGGACTGACTTTTGAATAAGTGTGCAAAAAGATGGGCTCTTAGATTTTCAGCCTTCTTTATCTCTGCCTCTTCTGTCTTTTTAGCAGTTCTCACACCTCACACCTTGCTTCCTTTTACTCATGGTTCCTTCCCTCCTTCCATCAGCAGCTTCCACTTACCCCTATTTGCTATGTTTTACATTCCCTGTCCTTGCACACCCACCCCATACCTGAAAAGGGACAGTGTATATTTCTGCATTGCAGGGGGTCCTGCTGCTGCCTCTCTACCAGGCCCAGGACAGGCCTGATAGCAAAAGGACTGCTGCTGCCCAGCAGAGACTACTGTTTACATTCTTTTAAACTGCTTTTCAATTGTGTCTTGTTTTAATTTTTTTTTAACTGTTTTTATGTGTTTTGGGGTGGTTATTCAGCTGTTTTTGTTCATAGTTTGATTTTGTATTTTGGGTTTTTATATTGTAATTTTATCTTGTGAACCACCCTGAGACCTGTGGGTATAGGATGGGGTGTGTGTGTGTGTGTGTGTGTGTGTGTGTAAAACTAATGACCCTCAGGATCCCTTTCAAAGTCTGTCCACTTCCTGCCCTTTTAAATCTGGGGTCTTCCTTGGATTATTATTATTATTATTATTATTATTATTATTATTATCTGTTATTACAACCCAGGACAAAATTCCTGTGACTTTTGGGGGAACAAGCCGGCAAAATTATTTTTAGGCAAATCTGCATGTTTTTGGACACATCATGCAACTAAAATGGCATCTATGCAGAAATTGTGAATGTCGTATTCTGACATTATATATAGTTAATTCTGAGGGCATTGTTTAGCTTTAATAACTTCATGTCTCTACAAAATGGATTCTAAATTAACTTCAATACACACAAACATTTTAAAGAAGTGAATGATTACGCACCACTTGGGTAACTTTGGACAAGTTGGTTTAAGTATATTCAACAGAGAGCAATAGAATGAAATTATTTCAGGAAAATGCAGCCATCAAAATACAAGTGAAACCTTCCAACTAAAGCAGTCCACGAGGCTTCAGAAATATTATCTTTATTGAAAAGAACTGTGAAGTTTTGTGGTTTTTTTTTGAAAGATTGCAAGAACTTGTTGACAACTCACTACTGCATAATGCATACCACATGAGGCATACAAAGCAGGTTTCTACATTACAGTATTAGCAATCCATTCACATAGTGGTAGGTAGTTTAGTATTATGTGGTCATACTACTACTACACAGAAGTAACACAAAGCAAAGTACATCAAGGGGCACCTATAATTTCTTAGGGAAATGTTTCAGCAAATATGGCTAGATCTAGAACTGCAGGTACGTATGCACTCTCCAAAACAATATTTAGGCTACAATCCTAACAAACTTACCAAGGAATAAGCTCCACGGAACACAGTGGGACTCATTTCAGAGGTAACATGCATAGGATCAGGCTCAAAACCAAGGTTAGTTTCCCTAGAGCAAAATCATCCTTGCTTAGAAAAACCTTCAGTGAGAATGAAGGATGGAAAGTTACGTAAAAGGCAGCATGGCACAACCTGCAGAAGCTGAGGCATTACATAGCCAGCTCGCTCTGCTGGATTTAAAGAGCCAGCTACCACAACAGCATGTTGGGAAATTTTTCTATTAAAAGGCACAAGCCTACAGATTATCAAGGACTGAGAGGAAGTGAGATTGCAGAGAAAAGGAAACTGAATCCTCAGAAGTTGCAAGCAAAATACAGCCTATTGTGCCTGATGGGCTTACAAAGGATCACAAAAGCCTTTTTTTTTTTTTACTCCCTGCAATTGGTACCTGTTAGCAGTGCCCGTGCTGCTCCCTCCGCTGCTATGCTTTCTTGCCCGGCTCAGCCTCTGCGGTGGCTTTGGGTCCTGCAGTCCAAGGCTCGGCATGGAGGGGAAGGTCGAGGCATACCCATGCTCACACTCTGCAGAAATCACCAGCAAACGGGAAAGAGAAGGGTCAGTCAAGAGGGAACAAAAGAGTAGGTTCCAAGGACACATGGACTTAGGCAGGAAGCTTCAGCGAGCCCAGAGAGAAGTCCTCAGGGAGTGGCTTCAAACCACCAAGAACTCTGGCGGGACACAGGGGCTACAGACAACAAGCCACCTGTCCGAGGGAGAGCCCAGAACATAGCAGGCAAATGCTTGGGATGGCATGCCAGCAGTGCCTAGACTCTGACATTTGAGGGGGGGGGCATCTCTCCACCCTGTTTACCTACAGCATGTGAGCCTGCTCGCCCTCCCCCTTTTCCCCAAGCCCTCCCCAAACACCCCATTCATTAAAAAGGAGAAAGAGAACAATTCTCCCTTATGGGGGACGTGTCACTCCAATCCCCACCCCCTTCCTCAATCCAGTTACCTCTCTCTCTGCGCTCCAGGTATTCAGCTGCCTCCAGAAGGCGCTGGATGTTAATCATCTCCACCCGTTCCATAGCCCCTGGGCTGGATGAGGCCGCTTGCCAGCCCCTGGGCACTCTTAGATCTTCTCCTGGAGAGTTTAAAGGAAGGACTCCCCGCTCTCCCCTTTTACAGCAAGGGTGGCAACAACTCCGCTTCCTCTTACCGGGAGGGGACGGGCACAGGGCAGCAGGCGAGGCGGTACTAAGGGGCTGGGGGTCCCTTCTGATGCCTCCGGGAAGTTTGATCAGCGAGACCAAGAAATGGAGAGGATCTAACAACTCCTGCCGTAGTTGCCCCTGGACCCTGCCCACATCCTACCTCGAGAGCCTGGCGCTCAGTCTGCTACCCCCCTTCTTCATCCCCTGGTCAAGGAGCACCGATCCTGCCCGCGACCCCCCCCCCCCGCCAGTCCTGATCCTTGGCTCCCGGGTGCTCTTTCCCCCTTCTCCGCCGATCTTGCCCCGCGCCTCCCCCTCCCTACACGCCGAGTCCCACCATCGATCCCTCCTCCGACCTCTCCGTCAGCCTTGCCCCGCTAGTCCTGCATCCTTGCTCGCCGCCGCTGCCCGCTCCTTCCCTTGACCCTACACCTTCCCTCTCCACCTCGGGGCTGCCCCTGCATCCATGGTCCAAGCCCTGTTCCCTGGGATCTGGCGGCCGTTTTCTCTCCGCCTCCTGCAGCAGATCCTGTAGGTCCCTGCCTCTTTCACAGTTTGTTTACCTCTGGTTAGAAATCATGGGAGGCGGGGGGAGGGGACACTCACACACGCGCACAGGCACACACACACACACGAGAAGACTCTGCCGCGGGGCCGCTTGGGAAATGTAGTTTCCCTGCCTGCGCTCCCCCTTCAAGGGCGGGGAGCGTGCACAGGAGCAGCAATAGCAATGGCATTGTGGGAAGCCTCTTGCCTTCCGCGTTGCGCGCACCCTTTCGTGGCTGGACGAAAGCCGCTGCAGCAGCGAGGCGATCATCGCCGAGGCAGGCTGGCGTCATTCGCCCACCCTCCTTCCCGTTGCACCCCTGCGTTTCTTGGCGGGGGGGCGGGAATGGGGGAAGCCCCTTCCTCGTTCATTTGAGATCTAGGCTCAGTAAGACTTTTTGAGTGATGCAAGCGAGTTTCTTGCCGCCAAGACGCTCGTTGAGGGAAATCGCTTGCATTTTAAAGTGTCACTCGCACTTTGTGCAAATTAAGCCACTAACTTAACAGCTAAGGAGCCAGAGCCTATCTGGGTCTACTCGGAAGTAAGCGCCACTGATTTCAGCGGGACTTGCTCCCAAATTAGTGTGCACGGAATTGTGGCACAAACGTGTGTGTATGGGGAGGGGTGACATTACAAGACTGCATATGATCTGTATTGCTTTTATTTTTATTTTTTAAAAAGCATTTTAATGCCTGCCGTCAAAACTACAAAATTCTGCTCTTGCAACTCTTCGAGCAGACGCCGGAAGTCAGTTTCGCTGAGATCAGTGGGACTTATTTCGAAGTAAACACATTTTTGATTGGACGAAAATCCTTCACCTCATGTTCCCTATGTGGCAGAGCTGTCCGGTAAAAACGCGGTAGTAGGAGGGTTAGTCTGGATGGGGACCCTGCTGTTAATCCAACCGAGGTGGTGTAAAAAGCACAAGGTCAAACGTATTCAGAATCAGCACTGCCAAATCTCAGCTTCTGGAGTCTTATCAGGACAGGAATATCTCAGAGTAGAACTGCCCACTCTGTTTGCATGAAAGGCTCCCACTTAGGAGGGCTGATTTGTCTCCATGCCAGTCTGATAGGTGGTTTGTTGCTGCTGGCCAGCGTCATCTGAAGCGTTATCAAGTATTTTAATTTTTGACGGGTGATCAAAGATCCCTGGTTATTTCATCAGTGGGAGCAGAGGAACGGTTGATGGAAAGCAAGCATGCACCCTTCTCACAAGTGGTCCTTTCCTTCACCCACCCCCTACCACTTTGCCAGACCCCTGTAATTATTTCAAGGAGATGCACTTTTCATATTCAGATTATTCCCAAATAATCAACTGAAAATTAAAAGAAGGCTGAAACCCTAAGCAGGCTTACTACTTGAAAGCTAATTCCATCAAAATCAATTGGACTAACAGCACAAGCCTAACCAATGGCTACTTATACATAAGCCCTATTGAATTCAATGGAATTTACTTCCAGGTAAACAGGATTAGAATTGCAGCCTTACTTAAGAGAAAATAGGTTTAGGACGAGAGTGTTAACGTGAAAAATACTGTCATTTCTCTTCAATATACAGTGGTACCTCGGGTTAAGTACTTAATTCGTTCCGGAGGTCCGTTCTTAACCTGAAACTGTTCTTAACCTGAAGCACCACTTTAGCTAATGGGGCCTCCTGCTGCTGCCATGCCACCGGAGCACAATTTCTGTTCTCATCCTGAATCAAAGTTCTTAACCCGAGGTACTATTTCTGGGTTAGCGGAGTCTGTAACCTCAAGCATATGTAATCCGAGGTACCACTGTCATGTAAGGAGAAAGCTCACTCTCACCCTCAAGTTTTATTCTTCAGTGTGGCAGCATGTACACTTCGGAATTCCCTGCTCATTGATATTAGGCAAGAGCTTTTGCTGTACTGTTTGTTTGTTTGTTTAACAAGCTACCCATTTTAATATGTAACTTTAGTTTGCAATTCATATTTTTAAGTGCTGGTTTTATTTCTGTTTTTAATTTTTTCAGCTTAACCTTTTTTAACATTTGATTTTATTGGTAATTTAATGTAGATGTTTTAGGTAAGCTGCTTACAGGTTTGGATCATTAAGTATCTAAATCCTGTTATAGAAATAAATTTCAGAAGTCCACTTTTCTGCTTCCCATCCTTTTTATTGGTGCTGCCATTGTTGCCACTCTAGAAATGCAATAATAGGCCAGACTGAACTAACCTGTCCTGCAGGTTGATTAAAATTCGGCTAATCAAACATCAGCAAATAAAAACAAAGAAAAGAAAAACATTAGAAGTTATAAACTGAGCCACCTAGGCTAACAAAAAATGCAACATAAACTGTCACACAAAAGCAAGAGTAACATCATACTTTTATTAGGAACAAATTAAAAGCCATAAAGAAATTAGCCAGCTTTTCAGGTGATCTAAACTCTTCAGCAAACTGGATGGTAAACACACACACACACACACACAGAGAGAGAGAGAGAGAGAGAAGGGGGCACACAGAACTGCTGAGCACATTTTGGAAAGACAATGTCTGCAATTTGTAATAGTCAGTGCTTTTTTTCTAAAAAAATGTTTAGGGGTACTCTCATTTTCCTACTCGTATTGAAATACTGCCCCTCAGTGAGGCCAAACTTAGATTCACAAAATGTTTAGGGGTATGTATACCCTTGCGTCCCCCCAGAAAAAAAGCACTGGTAATAGCTGAAGACACAATGATGGGGAGGACATGCTGTGCAGAAGTACAGGACAATCCTATGCATGTTTCCTTATTGAGAAGTAAGACTTCCTGTGTTTGATGCGTCTTACTCCCAGGTGAGTGTGCATAGGATTGCAGACTTAATTAAGTTAGACCAGGCTTCATGCAAAGGATCTCAGGTTGTCCCAAGAACTGTAGGGACAGAGAAGCACAGCTGTTGTCTCTGCAAAAATATAAACGCTAGCAGTTCTTCAGGCATGCCTCTAGCTCTAATTGCAAGACAGAAGGAAGAAGCAAAGGAATATAGTATGCAGTAATCCTTGCGTTAGCAAAGCTGGAGATTTTATTTTATTTTTTAAGTAGGGAAATGTGTTTTGAATGTTCTTTAATAGTGGGTACACAGTAAAGGAAGAATCACAAGGGGATCGTGCAATTCTAGGATCCTGGGCAAGTGAATTAGTTATTTATTTAGTATTTCATAAAAAGCTCCTAACATACCTGCAGGAATGTGGCTTGGGCAAACTCAAAACAAGCCAGGACTGTGCCCTGCATGGAGCAGGAGCTTGGACAAGATCCCCTACAAGGGTGGGAAGCCTTGGGCCCAGGAGCTATATAAGGCTCTCCAAGCCTACACTCCAGTCCTGCGCTTTTGCCTGGCCGGAATGTGTCCATCTCATGTGCCTGGATAAAAGACTAATACCTTTGAAGCACATTCAGAGCATTCTTTCCCTCAAAGAATTCTGGGCACTGGAGTTTGAGAGTTGCTGGGAATTCTAACTCTGCAAGGGGTAAACAGTGCCCAGAATTTTTTGAAGATAAGAATGTGCTTTGAATGTGCTTTAAAGGTGCACAGTGTATACACAGTGTATTGTGTGTAGACACGTGGATGGGTGACTCCCTGGAAACCACACGTAAGCTGCCTTGGCGTTCATGACAGAAGAAAGGCGGGGTATAAATGTCATAAATCTTCATTGCAGGAAAGTACCCAGCTGAACAAAGGTAAGAGTCCATTGCTCTGTTGCTTTTGCTGGCCCTGCCCAGCACTGGCATGCAACTCCTGGAGCGTTGTCCATGAAGGCATGTAGCCCTTGAGCTGAGAAATATTTATTTATTCAATGCATTTATATGCCACCTTCTATTCAAAACATTCGAGGCAACCCACAACAATATAAAATGCAAAGCCATTCAGATCATTACAATTCAAAAATAAATATGACCACCACCCAAAGAACCAAACTAAAATACAGCAAGCTCATACTAACGAGCCTCAAAGGCCTAGGAGAACAAGTGAGTTTTCAACAAGAGCAGAAAGCACATCACTGTTGGTGCATGCCTTACTGCCCGCTCCAGACAAACAAGGTCCTTTCCCCTTCTAAAAGTCTATAATTTCAGCAAGTGTTGGGGGCATCAAGGGAGGAGACAACTATGGCTAAAAATGTAAAGCACCCCCCCCCCCCAAATAATCCTGGGAACTGTAGTTTAAGGGTACTGGGAGTTGTAGCACTTCAGGGAGGGAACTACAGTTCCCAAGATTCTTGTCAGGGGATGCTTTAAATGTTTGGTGTGTACACAGCCTATATCTTTGATTAGGATTTTCAAATGTTGGTCTGCATTCCTTAGCCCAGAAAATATGAAGGCCCGTGAAGAGTTCTAGTGATGAAGCTAAGAGGGTTTGGTCATGAGCAGTGCTTAGAAGGGAGACCATGTGGGAATCCCCACCGCTGTCGCCTTGTGCAGATAGCATTTTATTTGTGTGCAGGGGCCAAATGTAATTGTGCCATCTGGCCCTGCCCCTTGGCATGCACTAATGAGCACATAGACTGGCATGAACCTGTGCCCTATTTCCCGTGCACAGATCATGTTGCAGGAGCCAAAGTGCATTGGGTTCTATGCACCCCAACACATAGAAGTTGATCTCACCAATGAGGCACGGCAAACTATCACAATACCTATCACAATGCATAGAAAAAATGTTATCAAGGGTGGGGTGGTTGTCTGATCACTTTGGCAGAAGAGCGGGTTACAAATTAGATGGCATTTAGTACCCTGTAAAACTGACTGTAGGTGAATGCCATCCAGTTTCATGACTGTCTTCTAGGACTGGTCTTAACTGCAGAAAGTCACTCTCCTACTAAATGAGCAAAACATTCTTCTGTCAAAGTGTCCACTATTGTCTTTCCCTTCAGTTCTCATATCATAGGGATTGGATCGCCAACATCCTAGCTTTCCGTAAGAGGGCACACGGTTCAACATCTCATGACGCAGACCTGAGAGGTGCAGACTGGGTGAAAGTGTCCTTCCAAAACCAGGGTAACTACGTCTGGGACTGATGGGGCTGGAGTCCAACAACATCTGGAGGGCCCATCCCTCTTCTATAGGCAAATTACACTGTGGTGTGGTTGCAAGATTCACAACAACAATCCAGTGAGTTGGAATTATCTGCCAAAATGTTTGTGCCATCAGTAAAAGGTTCAAAGCTACATCAGGGTGTCCCATGATGCTGACTAACCCATAACCCCCCCCCCCAGGAACTGTATGTAAACAATTGCCTTTCAAGCTCAGATCCTCATCTGGAAAGTGGGGCCATTTTAGGAGTTTTCTGAGATTGAAGGAAATAAGGACTGTAAAATTTGCTTAGCAAAAGTGCTATATTTCTCCTCACACCCAGAAAACACAGTTAGGCTGTGGAGGAGGGGCGTTGTTTGGAGGTATTTTGGAATTTTACTTCTCACATCAACTTTTCGGTTGAGCTTTCTTCTGTAAACATCAACCACGGCAAATAATGCAGCCCCCCCCCCCTTTTAAATGAACTTCTCATCATTTTCTTGGAAAGTCTTGTGACAGTTAGCTTGTTAAAAACCTCTCGTATCACAAGACACACACCACAGCAAAGTAACCATCGAATGGAAAGTCAGAGTACCCTCAAGAAGTACAGATCAGGTCACAGTCAGGGAGAAGAAGAGAGCACCTTTTATGGGTAATGATGTCCTTGTCAGTTCGTTCTTTGGATTTCACTGCATGCCAATTGGCAGCTTTGACACCTCCCACTTGACCTTTTAAGAAAGGGGCTGTTTACATCTTATTAATGGCCACTTCAGCACCCATCTCTTAACAAGATCCTGAATCCAAGGAAGTACCTCCATAGCAAATTCCTGTTCATAAGCACAAACTCAAATTGCCAACACACCAAACTGAAGAAGCAGGCTCTGGTTTATCTTAAGATTATGAAAGAAAAGTGTTATGAAAACACTTTCCCAGACTTTATATATGGAAATAACCGCACTTGGTTTCAGAGACACTGGGCAATATCCTGTGTTTATCATACTTAGAACAGACCCACTGAAATAAACAATTCTCTTAAGTATTACTTAGTTGGATGTCAGTCACTCTTTCTGAAGCAATGCTTGTCACTAACATGTGCATTGATAAATATGTCTAAATATTTAATACTTTGTGTAATTAGGGCACCCTGTGTGTAATCTTTTACCCTTGATACCAGAGGATATAACAAAATTACACTACCATAAATATATGTGTAAACACTCCACCACTATTTTACCGCCTACCTTTGTTGCTTTGGGTCTATGATACATATGCTTCTACGTCCAAGATAAGCCTCTATGGCTATAGCAGCAGGAGGCCTCAAAGTCCACATAAATGCATAATACTATTCAGATACCCATTTAACCTGAGAATAATATTGCAGCGGCGTTCCATAGGGATGCTTCAGCCACACACATATTGCTCAGTGTTATCAGGGGGACTAGAGGAAAAAGGACGAGAAGCCACTACAATTGCTAACCTGCCTTATTCTTAGACAAGCAGAAAAACGATGAAAGCATAATTTTAAAACCTTCCAGTGTACTTGCGACTAGTGATTCCCAAGGGCAGAAAGTAGCATGGATGAGATTCACATGATTTCCTGGCGGCACGTTGGAAAGCAAAGTGATTTGGAGAAGAGTGCATAGCACCTCTGCAGGTATCAAGTTCAGTCTATGTTGGTCAACTGTGAAAGCTAAGCATGACATCTGGATTCTGGTAACAAAACAATTTTGCCCCTCGCTGTCCTGCCTGCCCTTCTCCTGCAGCAGACACATTCCTGTTGTCTTTCCTTTAAACCCTTCATTTATCTGCCTTCTTAATCAGGTTTGCCAACTCCTGATGCTCAGAAAAGCAAGTCAACTCTCATCCTCATCCAAATTGCAAGAGAGGCTTATATATTATGTGATCTAAAATAATACATTTTAGATTGCTTTTTATTTGCCATCTGGTTTCTGAGCCTTTAGGCTACACTGAGGTCAGACATTTTATTTTTTTTATTTTTACTGCAGATACATGGTGAAGAAGAAAAAAGGAAAAGGGAATAATGGATGAGATGCAGCTGAAGCACTTTCATACATACAAGGAAAAACAATAAAGAGAATGAACTCAAGCTACAGTGAACTTGAACTATGCCACCTCATTCTAATAGCAGCACTTGCAACTTACCACCAACTATAAATTAATACTTCGACTGATGCATACAGAATAAGTGAGATGCTTCTGATAAAAGAACATAAACAATGCTTTTCTTTATATATTCTCTGAACAGCACGAAAACGGCTTACAGATCAAAAGTGTTTTGTTAAATGTATGCTGAATGCCACAGACACTCAACCTTGTTTCCTATGTGTGTCCTTATTTTATCATTCTACCTCTGTCATATCAAAATGAGTCTTTAAATAGTTAATTTGGGGAACACACAATGTATTTTCACAAACATGAAAAATAGCCATGGGGCAATGCCAGTGGTTGAGTGCTCTTCATAGAAGGGTCTTAGGAGCTCCTTCCTCAGGGCCACTTCATCTGTTATGGCTTCAAAGGGGTGTTGGTGCTAAAATCTTATTGATCAGGCAGACCTCCACATGGAGTGCATACAGACATCCAACTGACCACAGTGTAAATTTGCTAATTTCTTAAATGTATGCTTAGGTACACCAATATAGAGGACCATGGCTGGTTGGCTTTGTAGTATTCTGCTACTCTACCCCATTACTGACTTGTTCTGCTACTATACATAAAGACTATTTCTCCATGCATTGCCCTAGTGTTGTTTTCTCACCATTTCCTGATTCTTTCTTTAGGGGAAAATATGGTTAATTCTGTCCTCGTAGTCTTAAAAAGTTTATTCATGCTGATCATAGTGTTGTTTTGACCAAGTCCGCAGAACATTGTCTCCTCTCTCTCTTTCTCCACCCCCTCCCTCTCTCTCTGTCTCAGAACTTGTTCCCTTTCTCTTCTTAGGGGGAAAACCCCAGGATTTAAAAAGAAGATTCTGTTGCATTTAAACCTGTGCAGCAGTGGGGCTGTCAGGGCAGAAGTCCTGGGTGCCAAACAGCAAAAAATATACAGGGGGCCCTGTAAGGCTATTAATCTCAGGATTATTTAAAAAACAAAAACAAAAAAACCTAGCTGCACCATTGCTATGAAGTCTTCTGTTGCATTGCTACTAAGCTTGTGATGTGTTGTTTTAGATTATCCATGCCTTATGTTGTATGCATGTTGTCAGTTTTTTAAATCCACTGTTGTGATGTGTGCATATGCATGCATTTCCAGAAGCAAATGTGACCTTTGTAGGAACTTTCTTCTGCTATATTAGCACCAAGTTAATGCTGGCACAGTTTTTCATGGTTGGTACCTTATCCCACATAGTCTACATGCTTATGATGACCAATGCCTGAAGAATATAGATCAGCCTCCCACAACCTGATGCGTGACTGTGATGTTAAGGCTGATGGGAGCCGAAGTCCAAAATAATCCAGAGGGCATCAGGTTGAGGAAGTCTGATGTATATGTTATGGCCTATCACAATCTGAATGAAAACAAAATGGAAATGAACAATCATAAAATAGTATTATGTTTATTATTACTTTGCAATTAAGATTGATCATGGGCACACACACTTCACTCAGCCCTCATTATTAAAAACCTCATCAAACACACCAAAAGTCCTGTTAGAAATATCTTTTTAAGCAAATACTTCAAAAAACTGCAGAGATTTAAATCTTTCAAAATACATAAAAGCACTTAGAACAGAAATCAAAACAGAGCATAACATAATGTTGAAAAAGCAGGAAAGGCAAGGTACTTCTTGAGGAACCACTCTAGCTACCAAAGCTTGTAGCTCAAAGCAAAAACCTTTTCTGCTCACTGTCATCAGCTATGGATTATGACTACTGATGAAAAATTTGCCAAGTGGTAAATTTAAGGAAATGTCTTGCACAAGAATAAGGTCCACAACCTCTGCTACAAATCTGTAAAGATGGTCGGGGTGGGGAATCACACCACATTTTAAAAAAAAACTTCAGATCCTTCCCCCAAAAAACCTTGCAATTAGATGCTAGTTGCATTTGTACTGGACCATGGTGCTGGTAACATCTGAAAAATACTTAACTTCACCCATGATTGAACCTAATTGTATCTATGCCAGGACCATCACACAGTCTACAAGAATCACCATGCTGAAGCCAAGCCATGTGGATGGCAGCTTTCAGACAGTATAGCTCCCACATGGACTGCCACTAGATTACAATGTGTGAAGTGGATTTTAATCTTGGGATTAATCTTTGGGAAATGGTGAGTTATTGTTGAATGGTAGAATTGCTAAGAATCACTGTGGTGTTATTATTTTGCTTTATCTGTAGCCTTTTGTGTGAATTGTCTTACTTCTATGCTTTATGTACACATGCTCAGAAGGTTCCATGGCTCATTTGTCCTACACAATTATAGCACTGGTCTTAAGGATGCACGAGAAAGAAACTTTGGTGTCACTTGTCGGCCAAAAGGCTATACGGCTGGCATTTAGCAGTTGCAGAAAATAAATGCTCCACATCAAGGATTCCAGCTTGGGGGGCCCTCCAAACATTTTTCATTATGTCGGAGGGGTGTCAATACCATTTATTTTAAGCAAAATACTCCTGCCACAGAAATCATTATGTAAAGCACATTTCTAGACATTGGGGGATTAAAAAGAGAAGCAGGAGCCATGGTGATCTGATGTGGTCCAACTTTTTATCAACCCTGGAAGCCACAAAGCTCAGAGACTAGCACTGGTGTACCACTGGCACCACAGTAGCGCCTCTGACGATGCCACATTTTTAGAAAGATCACTGAGTCTTGTGACACCTTGAAGGCTGACAGATTTATTACAGGAATAGCTGTAATGGGCTGCAGACTATGTGGGCCACAGAATAAAAACATTTATTAGTCTTTTAAGATGCCACAAGACTCTTTGTTGTTTTATAACAGGCTAACGTGGCTTCCCTTCTGGAAATCATTAAGGTCATGTAAAAATCATCTTGAGACAATCTCCCAAGAGGGTGAAAAGACCTTACTGATATGCTGATGGGCTGGCTAGCAAAGCATGTGGGGTATAATTATTGTTGTATTGCTAACCTAAAAAAAACAAAACCCATTTCAGGTTTCAGCAATTATCTCATAATGAACATATGGATATATCCTTAAATGTTTGCAGCCAGTAATGCCAATGCCTCTTTCAATCATGCATTTTTAAAATACAGATATTCTTCTCTCTCCATTATGGGTGCTTTGTATTGTTTCCATTTTGATCTACAGTGCAAACACACATGTTGAAGTTACAGTGATCTTGTGCTGCAACTGGGGATTCCTTTCTTTAAAAATTTTTAGGCCCGAGATGTTTGTTTAAAACACATGCCCAAGTATTATGCTTCTTGCAAAATGAATTAAACTAGTATTATGATTACCATTATTGTGAATTATGCCAGTGCTGGGCTTTATAAAATTAATGCAAATATTGCCCTCAAGCAGTAGCCTGTGTGCGGAGACAATGACATATGGTGTATGAGAATCAGAAGATGAAATGGAACTGAGCTCTCCTGTTCCAATGTGAGTTATAAACAGGCACTAGAAAAGTGAAAATGATAAATATTTTATATAAGGGAGGGGGAAGACAGTGCACAAGCCAAGTGCAACCTGCCATAAAAAATTGAAATGATATTGATGTTAAGTCAGAGTTACTTTTTCTTTCTTCGCTGCCTTTAATTATGCATTTATTTTGCAAAGTAATTGCACACGTTGTTTTAGTGGACCGGAACGGTCGTCTCTCTACATATCACAAAGAAGCCATGCTTTGCAAGGTGATTTAATTTACATTGTATATATATATCCTAAAAGAAACTGCGGCTTTCCCGAAAGTCCTATTTACTGGTCCGTATGGGGACGGGGAGCGGGGATGGCACTACCAATCTGCAGCTAGTAAACAAGAGGTGAGCGCGAATCTGCGCGTGCCCTCCGCACGAAGGTTTACGGTAGAGCACTGGCTTCACAAAGCCTTTGATGTGCCAAAAATCCAAAAGCAAAGCGAAGTGCGACAGAAGACTGGAAACATCCTGGAAAAAACTTCCAATCTTTTATCGAGGCCTATGAGTCTCTGGTACCTTGACGGGCATAAATCCAGCTGGTGGAAAAATAAATAGAGAGGAAAGCCTTTCAAACAGAAATAACTTTTACTGCCTGGCAAAGCACCCGCCCCATCTGTGCCCCAAGGAAGGAGGACACGGAGCATTTTCTGGGCGGCCTGAGCGTGCTCTCCTTCGGGAGAAGCAGGGCGCCCCGCAGATAAAGGATTTCATCACTTGCTTTGCAATCCTGCAGGAATTTACGAGGGGCTCTGCCATTCCCTGCCTCGCCGCGCAGGCAGGGGAAAAAGGCTGCATCTCGCGGCACCCCTTCCTGCCCTTGCCGCTGCTGCGCTTCTTCGCCCTGGCGAGGAGGGCCCATGCCCCTTTAAGCGGAGACTATGACATCACCCGACCACAACTCCCAACAAGGACACCCTCTCGGCTGCAGGCGCCTCCCCTCGATCTCTAGGCTCAGCAACGCATGACGTCATAGGGATGAAGGGGCGCCCCCATTGGCGGAGAGGCCCGGGATAGCCGCGCCTTCCGAGTTAGAGCGGGGCCAATCAGAGGAGAGGAGTTTGTCTCCATGTGGAAACCATGTGGTTCTGAGCAGGAGGAGGAGCCGGGGCTGATTATACTGTAACCCAGCCAGGCGGATCAGAGTGCAGCCGAGGCAGCCCCGGCGTTTGCGTTGCAGCTTCGCTGATGAAACTTCAGGGCGGGGGGGGGGGAGAGGCGGGGGCTGCGCGTGGACGCTGCCCAAGTCCTCACGCCTTGTTTGTGTTTTTTAAGAAGTTGTACAAAATGGCATTGGATAAGCACATTTTAAAAAGTTTTAGTGAAGCAGAGCTACATGCGCGGGGGGGGGGGGGGGGGCGGCAGCACTGTTGTTTGCAAATGCAGGCGGAGAAAAGAAGCCAGCATCTGCTCCTCAGCATTTTCCAACCGTGCACCAAGGTGTGAGAAGTCCAGAGTAAACCGAGAAAGATGCTTGTTCCCCGAAGGGGTGGGGGACGCGCACGTGATTTCCCTGGAGGAGATTACAACTCACCAAACCGACAGCCCCACAGACTTTCAAATCGGGTCCAGGGGCACTGCAGTGTTATTCCACGGAGGCGTTATGAATACTCGTATTGCTTTCTGAAGCCAGTGCATTGCTGCTGCTGCTGCCGCCGCCCCTCCATTTATCCAAATAGCTTGGAGAGCGTCCCAAAAAATACGGGATAATCGAAAAGTTCGCATTAATGAGAGTGCTGCTGTTTACATCAAGTTTCATATTTATCTAGGCCTTCCTGCAGGAGACACCTGGCGAATTCAAAATAAATAAGGCTGTAGGAGGAGGACATAATGGAGGCGAGGAGTGTTCCTACCGCATATGCCTTGCTGATTCAAAGAGAATATAAAAATAAACCATTAAACTGACAGCACCATTTAACAACACACAGATCTTCCGCTGTAAGCAAAATTACTGTTTTGAGTTCAACTACTGTCAGCACCGACAACCCATGTAAGATAACTGGCGGGGCTACTTCTACAGAACTAGCAAGACAATGCGTAGGTTGCTGCGTTGGTGTAATCCCTTGTTGTTTTCTCCCTTTCTTTGGCATTGGATGAGGTCTTTTTAGAAAGCTTGGAAGAGGTTTTTTAAATTCTCTGGAGGGAAACTGATACTGTACTTTGGTGCAGGTTTGTTTTTGTAAGCTCAGAAAGAGAGGCGAGCCTGACCCAGTTATGTGCACCACCTTCACCTGCACTAATGAAAGGAGGTGAACAGGAGACACGGACTGGTCCCACACGGGCCAAGTTGCCGAGAAAGAGAACTGCGGGCGCTACCCCACCCTCGTGGGCTACCTGGCTACTTTGCTCTTTGCCTACGTGACTTCCCATTGGAAAGGGAGGGAATGAGCGGGGGTGGGGGTGGGATCCTGCTCCGTTAATTGAGCTCATCTGCCTTGTGTGATCCAGCCGTGTCAAGCGAAGGTCCTTCCACCTGAGTCTTCAAAAGTCTGGTTGGGCGACTCAGAAGGAACAGGATTTACAAGGAAACGAGCTGCCTTCTAAAAATATTTCCATTGATGACAGCAAGGCCTTTGCCATCGCAAAGCTCGACGACCAGGAGGAGGAGGAGGAGGGGAGGCTTTGTCGAGTCTTCGCCCTCCATCCTCCTCCCGGAAACAATACCCATATCCACTTATTCATTAAAAAGAGAGAGAGAGAGAGAGAGAGAGAGAAAGCGATCAACAAAGGCTAAGCGAGTTGCGCTGCAATGGAAATTTACACGGGGGGATTGCGCGGGGGCGACAGGAGGGGGGGGGGAGCGCTAGATCCGTCAGGCCCACTTTGTCCGTGGGGCCGAAACAACAAACGCACAACCCAGAGACTGCTTGCAAGATGCAAATAATAAACTTAAACCCAAGGGGAGCGAGTTATTTCAACACCCCCCCCTTCTTCCCCACTGCAGGGGCTGACGCGATGCATTGCTTTATTTATTTCCCCCCTGACCTTCCTGGTACAGTAGATCACACGCCAGCGAGGTTTCGTTAAAACGATCCCCGGCTTGTTATTGTTCTAGGAGCCCCGCGCGAAGACGTTGCAAACGAGCGTTTCCCGACGGATTGTTATTTTCGCTGACGGCGACGCTAGCGAGGGGGGAGGTGCTGGGGCAAATCCTTTTCCACCAGAGGGGGAAGGGGGAGAAAAATACACATCTCTCTCTATTTGGCTACCCCGCTTTTGTTCCCTTTCACTTATTATCCGGCTCGGTTTTCTGGACGGAGGAGGGAGGGGGAGGAGTGCAAGAGTTTAAAAATATAAACAAGCTCCCTCCTCCCTTTTCCTTTCTGCTTAAATCTTCGAAGTATTCCGTTTGTCTACTAGCCGAGCATAAAGTTTGTTTTGCATTGTCTCCCCTCCTCCCTCCACACCAGCCCCTAGTTGGGCCAGTTTTGTTCTCCCCCCCCCCCCCTTTTGACACATTACCCGTCTTTTATGGGCACGGGAGATCTCAGAAAAACATGCCACAAAGATGCAAATATAACATGATGACATTGTTCTGGGTCACTTTACGGATAGCACGGGTTGTGGCTTTGCTTTGTTTCTGTTTCTAAAAAAAGAGAGAACTATACAAAAACAATGTTTTTCTAATTCGATCGGGTTTTGTTTTTTTTTAATAAAAAAAATTCGAAATCTCTTGGTGCATTAAAAAAGAAATACCGTATATATTTGCTGGGATGTGGTTGTAAGGGTGAAACTAACAGAGAGTTTAGCCTGATCTGGTAGCCCCGGCTCTCTCTCTGTCTTGTTGCATCTTCATGAAGATTTTCTTCATTTTCTGTTGTCATCGCACATGCCTGGCTCTCTTTATTTTTTTTATTTTTTAAAGGAGCAGCAGAAGAAGGAACCAAACATAACCAAAACTCCACTTACTTTTGTTTTCCTTCTCGATTTGCTCCAGGTAACTGGCTGCTTCCAGCAAAATCTGCACGTTCTGTAGGAAAGTGTTGATCTTCTCCATGGAGTCCTCGCTGCTGGTGTTGAAAATGTCACTGAACGGGCACCTGGACATATTATCTGCCACTGGCAGTTGCTGCTGCCGCGGCTGCCCTACGCCAGGCTCCACAGCATCCTCTTCACATTTGAATTCCTTCCTCGGCCTGCCACGTTTCCCCATTGCTTCTGCAAATGGAAACTTTGAAATTTTTAAAGCCCTTTTGGCCGACTTTCCTCCTCTTGTTGCAGTTTGTGTGAGTGTGTGTGAGAGAGTGTGTGTGTATGTCTAGGAGAGATTGAATGAATCAAGGGACCTCTTGATTCAAAGACTCCGGGCAGGTCCTAGTGCTCGTCTTTTTCCTTGTCTATTAAAAATGGGAGTTCATTTCTTTCTTTCTTTCTTTCTTTCTTTCTTTCTTTCTTTCTTTCTTTCTTTCTTTCTTTCCCCTGTTTTACTCAAAGGATTGAGCAGAGGTTCAACCACATTGTTATTTTATTTTTTTAAAAAAACATAAAACCCCTACTGGAATAAAACACGTATTATCCCTGCACAGTGTTATATAGGCAAAAAAGGTTCCCTGACCCCAAGGAGCTTACAGTCTGATTCTCTGTCAAACACTGGGAGAGGGAAGTGCAGTACAAAGGTTGGGAGGGGAAAACTTGAGGAAATGAAGTTACATGATGTACATAAAGCTGCATTACGACTGGGAATAAAGGTTAAGCCAAAGGGTGTCTAGAAAAAGTGGAAATAATTATAACTTATTATTTTTCATTTTCTAATGCACAACACATACATTTTCCTTTTGTCATTTCAGGTGTAAGTCACATAATCGTTAAGAAACTTATACCTGGATAAGCCGGCATTATGGTGTATTGCTTTTTTTTTTCAAAATTCTGAAAAAAACCGAAACAGTGTAAACAGTGGTTGACATAGCCCACAACTTAAACAGAAGAGAAAAAAATGGAAAAGGCTTACAAAATGGCAGTAGATGGCTATAAAATAAGGACAAACATCTATTATTCCTAAATGTTGAAAGGCTTATTTGAGTTGTACATGGAACACTTTATCTCTAAAAAATTGAAACATAAATAGAAAATGCTTTTAAAAAACTGGGATGGGCATAGGAGGGTGTTGTACACTGAATTTTCCTATTGGTGTGAATGAAATGTAGCACAACATGACAATGGTATATCAAATTTTTAAAAGTCCACAGGTATGCTGTTTAAAAAGGAATATTAAAATCTGGTACAGAAACACTGGCATCATAAGCAGAAAAACTAACACAATAATCCCCACATCTGAATTTTCTCTCTCTCTTACATTTCCCGACTGATAAGATCTTGTAGTTTGAAGACCAAGGAAATGTTATTTTCCCCACAAGAGATGGACTTGCTGTGGAAAAGACTCACAGTTCCTCTGAACAACTGTGCAACAACTTAGTCTTGATTGTGAAACAAACAATAATCAGGAAGAACTGCCACAGAACTACCACATGAAAGACAGTAATTTAACACACATATGATGTGAGCATCATTTCTCATGCTGCACTGTCAGGAGCTGCTGGACGCAGCTGCCCCATGTGGTTAATCACTGAACTGCAGGTAGCAGTTTCTTTAAGTACAGTACCTTCAGACCCTGGACTGACTGCCCATCCAAGCTGGCCATGGGATCTTCCTGGGCAGAAAGGACTACTATAACAAGCTTCCTGTTCCAGTGATGCCTCACCTGAAAAACAAGGTTTTCCTGAGGAGTGGCGTGTTCTTGTTTCCTGGGTCTGGTTCCTAGTTTGTCCTCTGGTTTTGATTTGCTTTATTGGCAAAATATTACTAAAACAAATTATCAAAATGCCCCATTTCACATCATGGAATCTTAGGAGTTTCTATTCATTTTTTGTGTGCTTTTTATGTGTATTTATGTTGCTGTCTTAACTGGTTTTTCGGCTGTGTTTTTGCTTTAATGTTTTCATTCTATATTTGTTTTTCAAGCTGTACACTGCTTAGAAATTTTCGAAATGCTAACCTAGACAGCATCTTAAAAAGCAGAGACATCACCTTGCCAACAAAGGTCCGTATAGTTAAAGCTATGGTTTTCCCAGTAGTGATGTATGGAAGTGAGAGCTGGACCATAAAGAAGGCTGATCGCCGAAGAATTGATGCTTTTGAATTATGGTGCTGGAGGAGACTCTTGAGAGTCCCATGGACTGCAAGAAGATCAAACCTCTCCATTCTTAAGGAAATCAGCCCTGAGTGCTCACTGGAAGGACAGATCCTGAAGCTGAGGCTCCAAGACTTTGGCCACCTCATGAGAAGAGAAGACTCCCTGGAAAAGACCCTGATGTTGGGAAAGATGGAGGGCACAAGGAGAAGGGGACGACAGAGGACATGATGGTTGGATAGTGTTCGTGAAGCTACCAGCATGAATTTGGCCAAACTGCGGGAGGGAGTGGAAGACAGAAGTGCCTGGCATGATTTAGTCCATGGGGTCACGAAGAGTCGGACACGACTAAATGACTAAACAACAACAACAAAGTGGTACACAGTATAAATGCTTTTAAACAAGCAAAGAAATACATTTTTAAAAGGTGACATTCACGTGATCATGCCTCCTTGATGGTGAATGGAAAGATAATAGGATCACAGAATTGTAGATTTAGAAGATACCCCAGGGGTCATCTGGTCCAACCCCCTACAATGCAGGAATCGCATCTGACAGATGAACAAGCTGTGTTTCAAAACCTTCAATGAAGGAGAGTCCACCACCTTCTGAAGTGATCTCTTCCACTGTCAAACAGCTCTGTTGTAAAGTTCTTCCTCTTGTGTCGTCATTATCTCCTTTCTTGTAATTTAAAGCCATTGTTTTGGGTCCTACCTTCTGGAGCAGCGGAAAACAAGCTTATTCCATGTTCCATATGACAGCAATTTAGATATTTGAAAATGGCTATCATATCAGTCTTCTCTTCCCCAGGCTAAACATCCCCGACTCCCTCAACTGCTCCTCATAAGGCTTGGTTTTCAGACCCAAAATGATCTTGTTGGCACCACTCTGCACATGTTCCAAATGTTAGTGTATGTAGAAACTTCTGGGTTTTGTGTCGCTGGCATGTATTGTACAAAGGTAAGAGTCACATCCATTCTTCTGACCATTTTTGCCACTGACTTCACCCAGCACTGACATGTGGCCCCTGGAAAGTCCCCCATGTAGAAATGTGGTTTTGGGGCTAAAATGGCTTCCTGATCCCTAGTTTAAGGGATACTTCTGACACCAATGTTCCCTTTCTGCCAGAGGTGCTAAAACAAATATCAGAATTACCTATTGAGGGATTCTGATGCCTGATTAAAATTGGACCATGGTTACAATTACCTTTTACCACCATTACCTGATTCTTCACCTCATGTACCTTTTAATGTGGACTATTTCCTCACTCAGCAGTGAGTGTACTATATCTTCTACAATGAGTATCACAGTGTTGATGTTAGATATATATTTCTAGAAGTATACATCGAAAGCTCACGGTTTTCGTTATCTCTTTTTAAACAAGTGTGCCCAATGCAATGGTTATATTAAAATGCATATTACAGAGATGACCGTCTTTTAATTGCTAGAGAATAGATGGCTGCCATTCAGATGCGTAACATGAGCCAGAGGTTTGGTACTATTTTTGATGTAACCATTTGTGATTTTATCTGTGTAGAAAAAGGGTTAACATGAATAAACAGACATTGATTTTTCTGCTTCCTATAACAAAATATTGTGTAGCCCCCAAATCTATTACATATTTTGGAAATTGACATGTCTCTCTGTCCATCTGTTCTCTGTGTTTTGGACTCCTCTTGCCATCCAATTTGGCACAAGGGTTCCCTTGGTGGAGGAACTGCTTGTCTGAATATTGGATGCCATTTTGAATCAAGTCGGCAAACTGAAACGTTCCATACTGCGCTTATTTGGACCCCTCTTGAGATTTTGTCGCCAAACTTGGTGCATCAGTTCACAAGATAGAGGAATCAGTTAGGATATCATCACATGCCATTTTGAATCAAGATGGCAGACAGAAATGTTCCAAATTGCACTGATTTGTACATCTCTGAAAATATTGCCACCCAATTTATTACAAAGGTTCCTGAAGTTGAGGAGCAGCTTTTGGATACCATTGGACACCATTTTGAATCAAGATGGGCTACTGGTCCTTTCAAAACTACACTGATTTGTAGACTTCTGAAGATAATTTAAATGCTAGGCTGCTGCTGGAAGAACCCTATCCAGAGGAACACTTGGCATTCCCCAGAGCAAACATTACAGAGGAGTAGACTCTGACAATTAACAGCAAGGAGATACAGGTCTCTCAGGAGTCACAGTAGCCCAACCTCCTCTACAAGACACAGAGGGTCCCTGAACAGAATCAGAAGCTGAGACACCACCCAGTCTAGGGACCACCAGTTCCTAAAATGCAGGCCCATTCAGCTGCCAGATACTAGAGTACCCATTTGGAGAACAAGGACTCCTCAGGAGTAAGAGACTACTTGTGGGGAAGCTGTTTGTCACAAGTAGACCAAACTCTTCATGTAACCCAGATGGTCTGCAACTTTGCTGTGGGTGGAACTCTAAAGGTTCTTGGTTAAAAGCCCCCAGTTCCTGGCAAAGAATGCTAGAATGTCTTTGTACCAGCTCTTTGGCTGGCCTTTGTTTTGACCTTGGACTGTTCCTTGACCTTGTCTCTTGTGCTTTGACTTTGGACTGTGACCAGATCTCTCTTTTCAGATTGCCCCGTGAGTGGTCTGGGAACTGCTGGACTTGGTTTCATTTGAAAAAGGATGGTAACCAAATTTTTCATGACGGTTCCTGAGATCAAAGAGGAGATTTTTGTCTAAATACAGCATGCAGTTGAACCCAACAATAATCAAGATGGTGGACTAAATCTTTCAAAACTGCCCTGATTTTAACCACTGATTTCAAAACTGCGCTGGTCCCGCCCCCCCTTAGCAGTGCTGGGCTATACGAAGCACTTTCTGCTAGTATATTATAATACAAACTATTGTGCATACAGCATTTCATCTGAACTGGGCCTTGGTCAAAAACCATGCAAATGTGGCCTGCAGCAGTAAATCTATTAAAGTAAAACATTGTAAACTGAACTGCAAAGTCTCAATGCTGCTCCAGACTTGACCTAGCTTTTTGCAGATGTAAATATCGTTGCACTTAGTTTTCACACACTAAGGTAGGGCCTGGTAGATTTGGCCTGGGTTCCACAGAGAACATGTTGCTAGGGGAGTGCTATAATAAATAAAGTGGTGTCTTTGTTACAACTCCAGACAGTTTTGATGGATTAATAGTACAGAACGATGTGTTCTAAAATGCAGAAACTAGCCGGTACTGTAAGTGCCACACTCTCAAATGCTACCATGTGCTTCTGTTGTTAAGTTCAGCTTCAATTGCAAGTTGTAGCAAGTGTGGATGTGTGTTCATGCGTCCACATGTATCGTGAGGGAAAAGTGCAGACTCTAGTACTGTTGCATAACCTTAAGATCTTGAAGCTTGATGTTACAGGGCCAACCTGTGTAAATCAACAAAGAGCTCATGGATTGAATTCTCATTCATACAATTGACTAAAATCATGAAAGACTCAATGGCTTATTTGTTAAATATATTTTTTTTATTCACTATGTGCAATTGTAATATCATCTGACTGCAGTAATCATGTCATGACAATCCTGTGAGACGGAATTTGAAAAGTGAACAGGACGGAAACAATGCCATTTGAACACAGGAAAGTGAGAGGGTAACAGTTCAGAAATACTTAATCTTGCTATCGTTGTTATGTGTAGCTAGCATATTGTGAGTGAAGTCACTGAAAATAAAGTTGCCAGTCTCCTTAGGCTTCTACATAACTGTCTAGTGTGGCCACATTTGGAAGACCGTGTACAGTTCTACTTGTTCCATCTTCAAGAATGATATCATAGCACTGGAAAAGATATAGAAACAACCACACAATACCTCAAAACACATCATATATACACATATATGTATATATGATGAAGTATCACCAATAAAATGATATGAGCCGTAGTATAACAAAGCCAAGAGGAACAATCAACTGAAAGCCTTTTGGAAGAGCCATGGTTTAGTCAAGCACCTAAAACAGGGTTGGGGAACCTGCTATCTCCAGATGTTGTTGGACTCCAACTCCCACCAGCCCCAGACATCATGGCCAACAGTCAGTATTGATGTGAGTTGTGTAGACCAAAAACCTCTGGAGGGCACCCCATCCCTAGCCTAAAAGAATGAAATGTTGGGGCCTGAGGAACCTCCTCTAGGAGGCCATTCTGGGAAGCAAGTGAATATTGGGTACAAAGAATATTTCCAAGCTTTTCATAAAAACAACAGCGCTTTCTTACCAGTGGCCCATCTTTAAAGCATCTCTTTTCCTTGGAGGGTTACCGCCATTCAAATCCAGAAGTGACTTATCAGCTGGGGTAGAGCCACTAAGCTAGCTTCCTTGCAGGTGGGTTGCTGTTGCTTACTGGGAGGGAGGTGAGGCAGCAGGGAGGTTGGTGCCATAGAAGAGAGCTAGATTGATTCTGGCGGTGCATTTGCACCATTCTGACCTCCCAACTGCCCCACCCTTCCTGGTAGGCAACAGTGACCCAGCTGTTGAGAAGCTAGAGTACAGTCATACCTCGGGTTGAATATGCTTCATGTTGAGCACGTTCGAGTTGCACTCCGCGGCAACCCAGGAAGTGCATTACTTCCGGGTTTCGCCACTCGTGCATGCATACACTCAAAATGACGTCATGCGCATGCGCAGAAGCGGCGAAAAGCGACGCATGCATGCGCAGACGTGCCGTCACTAGTTACGTTTGCTTCTGGATGCGAACGGGGCTCTGGAACGGATCCCGTTCGCATCCCAAGGTACCACTGTACTGGCTCTGCTTCTGTTCGAAAATCTTTGTACATTTCCCCCCACAAATTTAATCTGTTTTGTAAAGTTTGCAACTTTCCATTAGGAAAGACCAACCTAGGTTGTTTTGTTTGTTTGTTTCGAAAAGCAATAAACATACTGTTAATCTTCATTGCATTCAACATGAGTGGTATTAAAATGGTGGCCTTGTTTGTTTTGCAGTGATGCCATCATCGGGCTATTTAATTTTTGTCATAGTTTTGGGAGACAGTTAGCCTGGGTTGTGTCTTCTCTCTGGTACTTGGAGTACTATCAATATACACGGTGCTTTAGAGAGCCCAGCTAAAAGTTTTACAAGCTACATTCTACAAACAAAGAAGAGTAAAAGCAAAGGAGAAAAGTCAGCTGTGGCCAAATGTGGACAGGAACAAAACACTGGCAAAATATGAAGGAATTACATTAAAAAGTGTCTTCACCGTTTGTCTTTTTGTCACTGAGCCTAGAGTTTTCAGGGTGAGGGAAGCAATCTGTCATCCCTGGCCTTAATCCATCAATATGGTCAATAATCGCCAGCAGAGTAGGAACCGGGAACCAAGCAGCTTCAGTGGAACCTCAGATATATAGAATCAAAAAAGGTTGTGCAAGTAATTATAGCAAATATATCCCTTTTTCAGGGGAAGGCAGTAGATCTGAACTAGGTGAAGTTCCAAGCAAAGCTGAAGGGCAGGTGCCAAGGCCCAGAAGGTGAAGAGGACGTGGTGAGGTTCTGAAAATAGAGGAAATGCAACTTAGGTACAGGAGCAGGAATACCATAACAGCCTGAGGTGCAATGTCTGACAGAGCCAATGGCTGGTTAATTAACATCCTACTGACAAGAGGAAATTGCAGCCACACTAGACTGTCCTGGCCACAGTTACTGTTGGCCAATCAAGTCAATAAATGTTGCATATTGAGCTGCCAGTAAAGAAGCCCTGAAGTAGCTCATTAGATTTTGCCTTGGATATGAAAAATATATATATTTTTTTATGAAGGCCCACATTCTCTCAACAGGGATCTGCCAAGGGCTGGGTGCTGGGAGTGTGTGGAGCTATAGTCAGCAGTAGGTGGAGTTTGTCTAGAGCTCTCACTCTCTCTCTGCCACCCACCTCTCTCTCTCATTGTGTGCTTTCCTCCCCTTCATCTGTTTGTCCGTTTTGCCTTTCTACACATCCCTCCACCTGCTTCAGTGGTGGCTGGTGTGCACTGGGGAATGGTTGGGTGTCTGGCTTCAAGCCCCAACAGAAGGTGGAACCAGAGCCAATGGGAGGCAGAGTCAATTAATTCTACTTCCACCCCCTCCCCTTCCCTGGAGTTAACACTGAGACCAAAGAAGGAAGAAGCTGACAGACAATGAAACCCCCTGGACTGATTGTAAGTAGCGGGGTAGGCAAGTGGGGGCTGGCTGAGGGCAAACTGAGGTAGGTCCGCCTCAGTTTTTTAGGGCAGCCGCTGATTTCAGGGACTGGAAGTGGCTCCGCCCCACTGCAGCACCTGAAAAACCAAGGAACCAACAAGCCCACAAGCTCCCCTGCCACCCAGAATCCCAACCCCAGATGCACAGCAGCCACTGCACTAAAGACTTTGGTGCCTCCTACAGATCCCCGTGGTGCCCCCCCATAGTGCAGTGCCTGACATTCAGGTCACATCAACCTCACAAATTTGAAACAGAAATTTCTTTTATCTTTTCAATAGTCATGACTTCTCCCAAAGAACTCCAAGCATTGTCGCTTGTCATTGGCACTGACCTCACAGAGCTACAATTCCCAGCACTTTCCAGTTCCCAAGCTTCTCCATGGACTGTTAAAGTGGTGTAAGAATGCTTTAAATGTATGGCACAGATGTGATCACTGATCTTGTCTTATATCACTGATAGAAATTTTGAATTACTCATGTTCAGGGCTGCTAACTGGGAGATGCAAGAAGTGCACATGTACCAGGCCCCATGCTAGCATGGGCCCCATACTCTTTTTTCAAAAAAACAATGAAAGCTAAGTCAACTGGACATTTCTGAAGAAAGTTAGAGTACAAAAAGTGGAGGTAGCTGTAATGCCTTGGCACTCAGCAGGCAGCAATTTAGCATTTCCCACCCTGCCCAGCCCAAAACCTCTGCTGGGCACCAGGTTGGGGAAGGCTATCTGACAGGGTTTGCAAGAGCCTATAAGACAGTGCTGAATGCCTCTGCCTCTGCCCTAGCTTAAGATACAGCTTTAATTGCAGTGGGGTCAACAGCTGCTATTTGCTCCATAAAATGCATTTACACAACCAGGCTGCTAGAAGGCAGCTGTGGAAACTAAAGTTTACTTTTATGCCCCATCTACGATCTATTGGCTTCTCCCTCCATCACAGACTGACCTCAGTTCTTTGTATGAAGGAAATTCCTTTTCAGAGAGTGAAAGGTAGTTCATTCTCTGTGACTCATCCTCAAATACTGTGAAGAACACAAAGCACACCCCACCCTTAAGAATGTAGAAGCAAACGCTATGGCGGCTGTCCATTGAGGGAGGCAGTTAAATTCCTATCAAAATGTGAAATGAATAAAACCTTATAAACTCAGCCTTTGCAGATTTTGCCATATATTGCTGTATAATGGTGCTGTTATGTGTCTGAATGAAAACAGGTCTAAATAAGGTACAGGTGTTCTTTAGAAGTAATTCTTTATTTTTTTAATTTATGTATTCAAAGTTTTCAATCCTGTCCTATTTATTTAATAAACTCAGTTACTTGGAGTAGCTTACAGAAATTAAAATGTTCATTGAAACTACATCCTAACAGAACAACAATCTTGAGAAAAACAATATGAAAAGGAAAGAGGTTCGGAAGATTAAAAACTCTAAACAAAGTTCACCATATAAAGATATTCTATGGGAACGGCCATAGCAGAGTGATGGCCCATCTGCCCTGCATGCAGAAAATCTCAGATTCAATTCCTGGAAGCTCAAGTTAGGGCTGGGGGGCAGGGAATCCCCCCAAAAGGAACCCCCCATAAATATTCCCCCCATCTAAAGTCATTTCACTGCTTTCACTAGCATGTGTATTTACTTTACCCTTTTTGTACACACTGCTTGACTGGGGAAAACGCACTATACAATCTGGGAGAGGGTGGATTTTGAAGGATGGCTGTGTTTCAGTTCATACATTTTTTTCAGAAAGTGCGAATTTGGTAAGATCCCCTTCAGATGCGAACTGAACCGGATTTCTGCCCAATCCGTAGTTGAGAGGATGGAAGAGGGAGGGGAAAGCCATGCCTGTCACCCTGACCAAGAGGAACAGGAAAAAAATGTAGCGACATGATATAAATAGTTTTGATTTCCCAAGTGTCCAGTTGCCTCTCTTCCGGGGCATAGGTAAATACATCCATTAAAGAGTCCGCTTGCAAATGATTCAGAGGACAGTACACTGGCCATGATGATCTCTTACTTGAGCAAATGTGGAGGCACAAGCGTGTGTATTTACTGTGATCATCCGCTGAGGCCCTCCTCCAGTTCCCACCTCTCTTCAGAGGATGGGTGGATGGCCACCAGTGACAGGGACTTTTCTGTTGTGGCCCCTTTGAGCCTTCATTTGTTTTATGTGTTTCCGTGACTGTTATGCCACACCTTCCCTGCTGGATTGATAGGTATTCCCAGGGCACCTTGTTATCTCCATCAAGGAAACAGCTTCAAACAAAATACGTTTGTGTAGTAAACAAAAAGAAAACACTCTAATGATACGAAAACATAATGCAGAATACAAAACCTGGAAAGGATTATAGATTTTGATCACAGCTGTGCATCACAGCCCTAGGCATACTAAGTAGCAACTGCCAGTGAGCTCAGTGGTACACAGTGCTTTTTTCCTTTAAAAAAATGTTTAGGGGTACTCTCATTTTCCTACTCATATTGAAATACTGCCCCTCAATGAGGTCAAACTTAGATTCACAAAATGTTTAGGGGTATGCATACCCCTGTGTCCTCCCAGAAAAAAAGCACTGGTGGTACAAACACCCAAGTAAGGAAGGGTTTACTGTAAATGTAAACGCATTAAAAAGCTGGGGGCAATTAAACAAAACAAAGCACACAGCTTTTGTTCAGGAAAGACAACAAGGTGGGTGCTGGGTCACTTTAAAGATGTTGTTATCACTTGTTTGCTGCTCTGGGCTCCATTGGGAGGAAGGGCAGAATATAAAATTGATAAATAAATGCATTAATAAATGCACAAATAAATGAAAACTCCCTAAGCAAACATACCTGTCTCAATCCCGTCCCATCCTCCCTCTATCCCTTAAGTGCCTGGTGATTTATTTTTTTTAATTAATTACCCCCTCCCATAGATTGATGGTAATTACAGAATGCATTTGATTGATCTGCCATTTTGTACAGTGATTCTCACAATAATTGTGTATCTGTTCCTGTTTTTCAGCTTGTTTTGCTTATACAGGCTTATAATTATGCAAGCCAACTAAGAGATCAAGTGAAGGAAAGGCAGGATGCACACCTTTAAAATAAATAATGGGTCCAACCCAGCGAAAGGTGAAGCCCCCTCCTCAAAGCCCCATTGTATTCAATGTGAGACAGATTTCATCACGTTCCTAGCACTTCAACTTAAGAGCAGTGAACTGGGTGACATATGCCCTATGTGGGTTCCAGGATGCTGTCTGGCAAAAAAACCCCAATACCCTTCCCCTATGCTGCAGTCCTGACTTCAATCCCCCTCTCCACATACACACACAGTGGCTGCTACTTCCAAAAGTTTAGAGAGAGCTGAGAGAGATTCATACATTCTGTTGCCACATCTCATTTGGCCCTCAGAGTTCAGCATCCCATGAGAGAAAATGGGAATGACAGACTATTGGGAGGCTGAATGACAGGAGGATTAGAAAATGTTTTGCACATTAAAGCCGAGATTGACAAATTGCTTTGACTAGCCTACTCACTCTTAAGTCAGTCTTCCATGAGACTTGTTTTGATGAAGCCAAGTTGTTTTTAGGAAGAGTATTCCTTCTTAAGTTGTTTATGGTTTGCAAAGTACTATATAATGAATTAAAGGATTTTAAACTGACACAGAGAGAGAAAGAGAGGAGAAATGAATAGTTTGGTGTCTCTTTACACTGCAGATGGAATCGGCTCTCCTCTTAGGTTGATGTAATGATGCTCTGAGTGTCCACAGCTCGGGTCCCTAGTGAGATGGGCCAAACTCTGTCTGCTAAAAGGTGAATTTTACACCACTCCTAGGAATACAGTGATTGATCCACTGTCTGGAAAAGCAGCTTAGGCTGGAGGGTAGAGAGGTCATTTGACATCACTCAAGAGCAGGGAGAAGACATCATGGTTTTGTGTATATCTGTTTCTTTACAAAGGCCCCATTTGAGTTCTTATTCTGAAGAGGGTTGCAACTGCAAGCCTAAAGGGTGAACTTGATCTTCAAATGCTGGACATTCAGTTCCACAACTATGGAAAATCTAAGGAAACAAACAAAGCATACAAATCTGACCTTTCCTTATTTCCTGTCCCTTTGCTCACTTCAATTGTTCAAGGGAAGGGAAGTGGATTATTTGAACAATTTTAGTTTAGCTATGATTATCAGCCAAGAGTCTTGTTTCACAATCTAGTAATCTACACACACACACTGTCAGGGGTTCAGGAGCAGAGGCACAGGAAAGGGAGGAAATAGAGAGCGAGGGGGAGGAGTCCGAGGGAAATGTTAGCGATGACAGCGGTCCGAGGTCTCTGAGTCTTTCCAGCGAATCGGAAGATTCACAGAAAGGGGCCCCTTGGTCAGAGCAATGGGGGTGCCGAGGGGGACACCCCAGGAAGAAGGGGCCAGAGGGGACTCAGAGAGCAGCAGTTGGAAATCAGGACCAGCGTCCACACCAGAGTGCAGTAGGGGGGAGGAGTCCCAGGCATCGGGATCAGGCGGCGCACTGCCAGTGGGAGGACATGAGTCAGGATTGGCCACGCCTCCATCGGGGAGCGAGGAAACGGTCGAGAGGAAGGTTGAAGGCTGGGCGCGCGCGCCAAGTTCAAATGTACAGGAGGGCGGCGCAGTTGGCAGCCCGGATAGGGAGCCAGGTCCCAAAGCCCGCCGAAAAGAGGGGGAGGAGTCAGGGGGTCAGCGCCAGAAGAATCCAGGAAGGAAGGGACTCCGGGGGTAGCAGGACCCAGAGGAGAAAGGAGAGACGTAAGAGGTGGAGTAAGGCTAGAATCTTAAACTGGTGTACAGGGGGCGGAGACTCAGATGGAGCTTCGCCGATCTAACCCCTAGACGTAGAGCTGGGGCGCTCCGGCTTGAAAATGGAAACTGTACTTCAATAAAGACTTTTGTACATTACTGCCGGCTAGCGTTGGTCCTCTGTGAGCTGGGACCTGGAGCCAGCTCTGACAGTAAGCTCCATCTCAAAAATTTTGCACCAAAAACCTCGTAACGTGAGTGGACGCAGCGAGGGAAGAAGATTGGTGCTTCGCGAGCTCACAAAAGTCAGGCAAGATGACTACAGAACAGCAACTAGCAGCCCTGCAAAATGCAGTGACACAACTCAACGCGGAGGTACTCGCATCCAGGAAAAGGGAAGAGGAAGCGGCTGCCGCCTGCAGGGATCTCCAAGCCAGGTTGGAAGTGCTTGCTAAGCAGGGGCAACCGGGACCCAAATCAGAGGGGATTGGGCTGGGGAAAAGAGGAGGCAGCCTGGTATCTCATTTCGATGGGAATTTGCAGCAGTACCCTAACTTCCGAGCAGACGTGCTGTTTGCGCTGGAACTGCTGGATAAAGACTTTAGAGATGAGCAAGAGAAGGTGGGGTTTATCTTGTCCCATTTGCATGGGGAAGCTAAAGCGTGGCTGCGCAATCTGTGGAGAGATAAGGATCCGCCGCTCCAAAATGCGGATGCATTCATTAAAGCGATGGATTCGTGTTTTTATCAATTATAGACATTGATATCGCCAGAAAAGACATACATGGGCTCAAACAAGGCAGAGCCAGTGTAAGGCAGTACCATTCCCGCTTTTTGCATTAGTCCATGCGCTGGGATGGGAGAAGGATTCTGCCCCAGCCAGAGACCTTTTTGGGAAGGCTTGAATGCAAATGTGAAAGATGAGATTGCAAGGGGGGAGAGACCAAAGAGCACTCAGGAGGTTGTCCGGCGGGCGCTGCAAATTGGGGTGCGTCTGGAAGAACGTCCATGGAACAGAGAAGAAGGACGTTGGGGACGTACGCCAGTGAGAGCACCTTCCCTCTTTCCCAAGGATGCAGCGCGTGTGCAATCCCCACCTCCGCAAGGAGGGGGAGAGCAACCGATGGAGATTGGAGGCGCCAGGGCTCAGTCAGCAACCAGAGCCTTAACACCGGGAGCAGTCAAAGCGAAGCCTCCTAGAGGGAACAGGAAGTGCTACATCTGCGACAGTGCTCAGCACATGGCGAAAGAGTGTCCCCAGAGGCTCCACAAGCACACTGCAGCCTCAGCAACAGTAACAGAAGCAACTCAGCAGAGAGAACCACAGCAGGGAAACGACAGAGTCTGGTTGGAGGAAGAGGCACTGGGGCCCAACCAGACAAGTCAATGAAGCCGTCCCCAGAGATTTTGCAGCCCACAGACCCCCTCCCGCCCAAACCAGTGGTGCAGCTCACAGCATCGCTCCAACTACCCAATGGACTCACTATGGAAGTGCCGATTACCATTGACTCTGGTAGTAACGCAGACTTCATAGGACTGGATTTCCTTCAAGAGCACAACATAGCACTCCTGCCAGCCACGCTGCCTCTGAAAGTTGTCACGGTGGATGGCAGGGAATTGCTGGGGGCAGGTGGTGCAGCAAACGCCTCCGATGGTGATGCAAATTGGGAATCACCGAGAAGTCATCAGCTTCAATGTCACCCAACTGTCGGACACGCCTATAGTATTAGGCATGAGTTGGCTGCACAGGCACAGCCCAGCATTGGCGTGGTACCAGCGACAACTGACCTTCGGCTCCTCATACTGTGCGGAACATTGCATTCTGCCTAGCCCGGAAGGGGAAGAGGATGACCCGCAGCTACAATTAGGCACGCTGCAAGCAGTGCCACTCAAGTACGCAGCGTTTTTGGAGGTTTTCTGCGAGAAGGAAGCGGACAAGCTACCTCCCCACAGGTCTTATGACTGCAAGATTGACCTCCTGCCAGGGGCGACGCTGCCAACCGGGAAACTGTATTCCATGTCTGAAGACGAGCTGCAGGAACTCAGGAGTTCATAGACCTCAACTTGAAGCGCGGTTTCATCCAGGAGTCGAAGGCAGTGGGGGCAGTCCTGTATTCTTTGTGAAGAAGAAGGACACGCCCCAAAAAGGCTTGTGGTGGACTATAGAATTTTGAACTCGAAAACCAAGCCCACAGCCTTTCCCATGCCCAAGATTGATGACCTGCTCGCAACGGTGAGGAAAGGACGCGTTTTCACAAAGTTGGATCTGCGAGGGGCGTACAACCTGATTCGCATACGGGAGGGCGACGAATGGAAGACTGCCATGTTCCTGGGCACCTATGAATACAGAGTTATGCCCTTTGGATTACAAAATGGCTCCCACTGTTTTCAAGCCTTCATGCATCACGTATTGGCGGGTCTCCTCTACAAGAAATGCGTCTGCTTCCTGGACGACATCCTGATATTTTCAGAATCAGAGGAGACCCACGAGGGAGACGTCAAGGAAGTTCTGCAGAGACTGCAGGAGCACAGGCTGTACGCCAAGCTGGAGAAGTGCCAGTTCGACATGAAGGAGGTAGATTTCCTGGGCTACAAGTTGTCGGACAAGGGGCTCGCCATGGACAGCGCCAAGGTTCGCTCAGTGTTGGACTGGAAGAGCCCGCGCAATCGGAAGGAGGTCCAGCGGTTTGTCGGTTTCGCCAACTTTTACCGCAAGTTCATCAAGGGGTTCGCGATGCAGACGGCGGCCATTACCGACACGCTCAGCTCCAAGAAGAAGAAGTTCATCTGGACGGAGCAAGCGGAGCAGTCCTTTCAGAAACTCAAGCGTCTCTTCTCGTCCGAAGAGCAGCTACTGCATGTGAATCCCAGCAGACCGATGAGGGTTGAAACGGACGCCTCAGACAGAGCCGTGGGAGCAGTACTGTTGCAGCAAGACCCGCATGGGGACTGGAGACCGTGTGCCTTCTACTCCAGGAAGCTCAGCAAGTCAGAGCAGAACTACACCATCTGGGACAGGGAGTTGCTGGCCATTCATGCAGCATTCAAGGCGTGGCGGCACTTCCTCATTGGAGCCAAACACACAGTGCAGGTCCGCACGGACCATAAAAACCTGGAGTACTGGCGCACGGCAAGGTTCCTGAACCAGAGGCACATACGATGGGCGGAGTTCTTTGCGGATTTCGACTTCAGGATAGAGTACATCCCAGGCGACAACAACATCATGGCGGATGCACTGTCCAGAAAGCCGCAATACCTCGAGGAGGCGGCACCAGCAGCGGCCAAGCACATTTTCGCACCGAAAGCGTGGGCGTGCGCTTCAGCAACCGTGGACCTGGATGCTGTACGTCGAGCACTGCAGGACGACCCCTTCGCGCAAGCAAAGATGGCAGAGGTGCAAAGGGGCACGGCGGAGGACGACGAGTTCCAGATACGCGACGGATTGCTCATCCGCAGAGGGGCCCTCTACGTACCGGGAGACGACCTCCGCGCGAAAGTACTGCAGCAGTTGCACGACGCACCCACCGCCGGGCACTTTGGCAAAGAGAAGACGGTAGAATTAGTAGCCAGAGATTTTTGGTGGCCCAAGTTTGGCAGGAAGTCGCGGATTACGTCTCGAGGTGCGACACCTGCCAAAGGGCCAAGTCAGTGCACAAACCGCCGGCGGGACTGCTCGAACCGCTGCAGACACCGCTCGAACCGTGGGAGAGGGTGGCCCTGGACTTTGTCACGGATCTACCCAGCTCGAGGGGCAAGACGGCAGTGCTAGTGGTGGTGGACATGTTCACCAAAATGGCCCACTTCATTCCGTGCGCGAAGGTGGCCACGGCGGAACAGACCGCCAAACTGTTCATAGACCACGTGTTCAGGGTTCACGGTCTGCCACGGTCTATCCTGTCCGACCGGGGCGACAGTTCATCTCGAACTTCTGGCAGAAGCTGATGGGTTTCCTGAACGTCAAGATCAACCTAGCGTCGGCGAGACACCCGCAGACGAACGGACAAGCGGAGCGAGTCAACGCCATCATGCAGCAGTACCTGCGATGCTACGCAAATCAGCAGCCGGCAACATGGGTGGACTACCTGCCGCTCGCTGAGTTCGCCTACAACAACACGAAGCACGTGTCCACGGGGTTGACACCGTTCTTCGCCAACAACGGGAGGCATCCCAGAACCTTCCCGGGATTAGCGAGAGCGGGGGAGGGGGAGCCACAGGCAGCGGAGGCCTTAGCATCAGAGTTGCAGGAGGTTCACGAACAGCTTCGGAGGCAGTTAGAACTAGCAAAGCACGCATACAAACTGCAGGCTGACAAGCACAGGAGGGTTGGGGAAGACATACAGGTGGGAGACTGGGTTTGGTTAGCAGCCCAGGCAGTGCCGGCCAGATCGTTAGCGAAGAAGAAGCTAGGGCATAAGCAGCTAGGACCCTACCAAGTCGAGGCACAGGTCAATCCAGTGGCCTTCCGGTTGACACTGCCGGAGGGATCCAGAATGCACCCAGTTTTCCATAGATCAGTGCTCACGCCCTACAAAGCACCTCATAGATTTCAGGAGCCAGGAACGGCACCAGACCCGTTCAGGGAAACGCCCACAAGGGGGTCGCCAAGGCGGGAACCCGTCAACGAAGTCACAGAGATTTTAGACTCGAGATGGGGGAGGAGGGAGTGGAATACCTCCTCGCCAAGGAAGGTACCTCGGCTAGCGCCAACAGTTGGGTGCCAGATTATGCTCTGGAGGAATCTTGGCTCAAGGACGAGTTCCATGCACTTTTCCCACACAGGCCCATGCCAGCCGAGTATTTCGACGACTGGCTTTTCACACCCACATTTTCAGCTAGCACATTCCAGGGGTTCACCTCGGACGAGGAACCGGCACTAGAAGCACGTCCCCGGAGGGATCACCCTCGGGTCTGCCTCAGACCGTTCCTATTGGTGGGACAATCGCGCAGAGGAGCAGTGGCGCAGGCTGGGGCTGGGGGGTCCTTGGCAGGCAACGTCCCCGGCGGAGACCGGGGGCGAGACGGACAGGGACGTGTGGGGGGAGGACCTTGGGTTCGAGCACGGCGGCAAAGAGATGGAAGCAGAGGAAATTGAGGTCGGAGAGAGCACGGAGGACGAGCCGGACTTATCCGGCTGGATGCACGCCACGGGGGACGAACTGTATCCGGCACTCACCCCCACAACGACGGAACACCCAGTACCCACACCTGAAGGAGGGGAGGGGGGACGGGGGGGCTTCGAGGGGGGGATGGATGTCAGGGGTTCAGGAGCAGAGGCACAGGAAAGGGAGGAACTAGAGAGCGAGGGGGAGGAGTCCGAAGGAAATGTTAGCGATGACAGCGGTCCGAGGTCTCTGAGTCTTTCCAGCGAATCGGAAGATTCACAGAAAGGGGCTCCCTTGGTCAGAGCAAGGGGGGTGCCAAGGGGACACCCCAGGAAGAAGGGGCCAGAGGGGACTCAGAGAGCAGCAGTTGGAAATCAGGACCAGCGTCCACACCAGAGTGCAGTAGGGGGAGGAGTCCCAGGCATCGGGACTCAGGCGGCGCACTGCCAGTGGGAGGACATGAGTCAGGATTGGCCACGCCTCCATCGGGGAGCGAGGAAACGGTCGAGAGGAAGGTTGAAGGCTGGGCGCGCGCGCCAAGTTCAAATGTACAGGAGGGCGGCGCAGTTGGCAGCCCGGATAGGGAGCCAGGTCCCAAAGCCCGCCGAAAAGAGGGGAAGGAGTCAGGGGGGTCAGCGTCAGAAGAATCCAGGAAGGAAGGGACCCCGGGGGGTAGCAGGACCCAGAGGAGAAAGGAGAGACGTAAGAGGTGGAGTAAGGCTAGAATCTTAAACTGGTGTACAGGGGGCGGAGACTCAGATGGAGCTTCGCCGATCTAACCCCTAGACGTAGAGCTGGGGCGCTCCGGCTTGAAAATGGAAACTGTACTTCAATAAAGACTTTTGTACATTACTGCCGGCTAGCGTTGGTCCTCTGTGAGCTGGGACCTGGAGCCAGCTCTGACACACACACACACACACACACACACACACACACAATGCATGTGTGCACAGATGCATATATATTTTCATCACTGTTTGCATGTTAGATTCAACAAATCTATCCCTGTAAGGCAATGACTTCTGCTTGCACAATGCAACCTCCCCTCCTGCCCTTCACATTCTCAAATCTGCCCTGGGGCTCCTTCAATCCTTCAGAGTAGATTTGGGGGGCAGAAGGGTACATGGGGAGAGGAGAGGGAGTGGAAGTCCTTGCATGAACAGGAGAACTGTATTGGATTTGAAATAGTTTTTAAAATATGGAATTGTTTTTACTGTGGAATTGCATTGAGATATTCTATGGGAAACAATTTATAAATGTACTATATTGCAACGCATTTGTATCTGATTGAATCTGCCTCTTTCTTGCTTGGCAATAGAAGATATCTGTTTTCTGCACTGCCCTCTCTAGGCTCTTGTGAAATTTTGTACATTTCGCCAAACATCAGTGTAATATGAATTGGCAATTCCAAGTTTGCCAGGGTTCCAGGTTGTGCCTTTTAACACATTGCAATGGCTTACTATGGGATGTGTCTGGGTTCCTGTCTTGCGTCATAAACCACCTCACATCTGTGGGAACGACAGAAGGGCCTCTGATGAAGAGACCTGCACATAAGGGAGAAGGTAATTATTGAGGGACCCTGCTCCAAAGCCATTTAGGGCTTTTAAAGTTAAAACCAGCATTTGACATTATTATTTATTTATCTCAGGGTGGTTCACAGCATAACAATATAAGATAGAAACACAAAATACACTATAAAAGCAAGAACAAAACAAACCGATAACCAGGCAGGGGGTGAGGGGGTTGTCACTGAACCCGGAAATGGACTAGGACCAAGGGCACTCATTCAAGGCTGGGAACATGAGTGCCATATGCCAGGTACGTAACCTAGATGCTATGTTTTATACTAATTATATTGTCTGAACTATCTTCAAGGGCAGTCCCATAGACTGTGTTTTGTAATAGTCTAAATGGTATGTCACTGGAGCATGAAAAATTGTGGCTAAGTTATCTCTGCCTGGACGAGGTCACAGCTAGTGCACCAGTCTTAGCTGATGAAAGGGGTTTAATGCCACCAAGGCCACTTGAGCCCCTAAAGACAGGGACAGATCTGATTGAACCTACAGACCTTAAGGTGAAATGCTACCCCACTCCCAATAAACCAGGCACCAACTCTGTCTTACCAGTTTATTGACCCTCATCCAGTCCAATATCACTCTAGGCAATGGTTCAGCTCTTCCTATAGCATGATCTGAATTTGAAGCCAGATTATTCTGAAATGGTTTCTTTTTCAAAAGCAGCTGCTGAGGCCATCAAACTTATCAGCTGTTTGCAGACTCTCCTATTCTACAGCAGAGAAACACTTACTGGTTGATATGTGTGCTCCTGAAAAAAAAGATAAAAAGAAAGAAGAGGAAGAAAGTGGGAGGAATCTAGGCCTTAGAAACAGTGCAGCAGTCTAAACTGGAGCTAGTGAGCTGATTTCATACCCACTGTGGAGAGCTGGAGAAAATGCGTGTTACAAACAGAGTGCGTTGCCATGCTGTCCAACATCAAAGTGCTGCTACTGGAAGGACTTTTGTAACAAAGAAATGAAACCTCAGGACCAATCTGTGTCATTAGCCCCCAACCGCTCCAGCTTTGTTATTATGGAAATGTCCTCCTCAAATACAAATTGGAACTGTACAGTATAATTAGAAGAGCACATTCATTTATTTAGGAGTGAATCTCTTACCGTCCCCCAATATCTTATGTCTGTTAGGCTGCCATGTTTCTGGGGGACTCAGTCAAGGGACGTGGGTCATTATGTAACAAGATCCATTTCCTCAACACAGCTTTATTTTATAGCAGCGTTTCAGAGCCTTTTCAGGTGAAAATTGGAGCAGACCCCTTCTAAGGCATCACAATTGGTTTGGTAGGCACAACATTCTGCCAAGGGAAGCAAGTATTTAGCATGTTATTATTCCCATGTTGTAGGGAACAGTATTTACTGGTTTTATTTTTTTTCAGATTCTTGGTCAATTGCTAATTCACATAGTTTTCCAATTCATTTAAACACCTGTATTGTGTTTAGTTGCTATTGTTAATCACAGAAGACGAGCTAAAATAAAATCAAACCAGGTGGTCTTACCATTCTGTCAATGGGTGCTGATTATATGACACATACTTGCTTATGCAACAGAATTTGATTGTGCAGTGCATAATTAATTCTTGGAATTCATTGCTATGAGATGTGATGATAGCCATTAACATAGATGGTTTTGGTGATGGACTGAGGTGAGGGAGGGGGTTTCCTTTCTGACAGGTACTTCTTTATATAACCCCCCCTTCCCCATCCCAATAATTATGCTAGGCTACCATCACAATGCTATCCTTCTATTTGGATGGATTTATAAAGCAAACTATGGGATGCGGATGGTGCTGTGAGTTAAACCACAGAGCTTAGGGCTTGCCGATCAGAAGGTCGGTGGTTCGAAACCCCACGACGGGGTGAGCTCCCGTTGCTCGGACCCTGCTCCTACCAACCTAGCAGTTTGAAAGCACGTCAAAGTGCAAGTAGATAAATAGGTACCACTCCGGCGGGAAGGTAAAAGGTGTTTCCATGCACTGCTCTGGTTCGCCAGAAGTGGTTTAGTCATGCTGGCCACATGACCCAGAAGCTGTATGCTGGCTCCCTCGGCCAGTAAAGCGAGATGAGTGCCACAACCCCAGAGTCAGCCATGACTGGACCTAATGGTCAGGGGTCCCTTTACCTTTTCTATAAAGCAAACTGGCAGTGATCCCTCCCATTAAGCCCAGCTTTAGAAATATTAAATAGTAAGGAGCTTTAGGTTTACATTCAAGAAAGCACCATATCTTACAGAACTTTGTGAACTATCCTTTTAAGACAAAGGGGCAGCTTTAATAACTGTGCAGTCTAGCATGTGTGGAACATTCTATCGAGAAATTCCAGGGGCGGAGCCAAACACAGTGGCGACTCCTCCTCCTCTTCTTGGGACTACCAGGAGCAGGAGGCCACTTAGACTCTCCTTCCCCTCTGCAGCAGCAGCAGCAGGAGAAGGAGGAGGAGGAGGAGGAGGAGGAGTCAGCCTCTGGGGCCATGCCCTGCTCAGCACTTTGCCTTTGCACTTTGGGCACATGGGGGTGGCAAGAATAGCATCTACCCCCCAAATATAGAGGGGGCTCAAAAGGACTCTGCCTCCAGAAACTGGCGCCCTGCTCTAGTGTTGATCTGTTCAGAATACATGGTTTATCAAGATTAAAAACCAGCAACAATTAGATAAATTCATGGAATATAGGTCTATCAATAGCTGCAGGCCATGATGGCTCAGTGAAGACTAAGCCCCACTGAACCCAATGGGACTTTTGAGCAGACATGTGTAGGACTTCACTATGAGGGGCATTTGGCAGGCCACTGGATCCAATCAGATTATTATTATTATTATTATTAGTGGGTTTTTTTTTTTTAAAAAAAGTAAACAGGCCTAGTAAACAGGCAAAGTTTCACACAAAGCTAAAAAGCCAGTGTAAAAACCATTTCTGACAGCATAGTTGTAGCATGTTTACTCAGAAGTTAGTTCCAGTAATGGGGCTTACTCCCAGGCGAATGTGCATGGTATTGCAGTCTAGAAGACACAAAGACACACTGCATACAAATGGACCACAACTTCCTTAGCCCAAGCCCCAGTTTCATAAAAGCAACTAAGATGATACTTGAGTGTTGCTTGATTTCAGCAAGGCTCGAGGGTTTCCACCTGCGCCAGAGAAAAATGCAGGGCCTTGCTAATTTGCAGATGTGAGCTAATGTTAATGCATATAAACATATGCAACAACACTCAAACTTATTCTTTTAAAACTGGCCATGTAGGAATAGCAATTAGCCAGGCTACTGGCAATCAGGTCAACCAAGTTTAACCCTATTTTGGTGGCAATGGGTTGGTTTTTTGTTTTTGTTTTGTAATAGCAAGTTCAAACGTTTGTGGGTTTCCAGTTCTTTGCAGAATAGAGGTCTCTGTTCCTTGGCTGCCTCTAGGCGGGCAATTTTAGGGCAATCTTCCATAACAGCTGCTCTGCTACTGGCAACTGCAGATCTAGATGAGGCTCAGGTGCGTTTTTAACCACCTTATCATCTACCTATGCTCACAGCAAGTCTAAAGGGCAAAGTGTAAAAGATTCTGTCAGTGTGGCACTTGTCATCTGAGCAGCTCTACCGGTCATGGAGCCACAGGCTTCAGTCAGCAGGGAGGAAATGAAACCTTTGCTCAATTACAGGCTAGAGAAACGTGGCCACATTTTCAGCCAAGTGCTACTTTGTGAAATGATTTCTTAGCCCAGAAAAACCATTTTAAATTCAGACTCTTTCATGAGCCATTAGATGGGGAGGAGGTCTGGAGAAAGAAGGGAGGGAGAGTCACTGATTGTGTTTGCTTACCATTGTTCCATGTCTGAAGCATGCTCCCATTCGGTGTTAACTCTGCAGTCCTAGGCCCATTTACCTGGGAGTAAGCCCCTTTGAACTCAGAGGGACTTACTTCTGAGAAAGTAGCTATGGGATCTGCTGTAAGAAAACCCAGATGGTATTTATTCTCAATAAATAAATACGAATGTGCTAATCAAGTGAGTTTGCTGCTCAGTAGTTCATATAAATCAGGCCTGCACACAGTGCTGGATCCAGGTTTTGGAAGCCTTGGGAAAGAGATTCTCAATAGGCCCCTTTTGACTTATTGTTGTTATCCAGTTGTTAACCAGAGAAGGAATGACTGCTGGGAGGAGTGCAGAGAGAAGCAACACCATGGTGCACCAATAGCAGCAAAACCAGATGTGTCTCTCGCATATGGGCCAGGGATTGCCACTGGGGATGAGAGCTTCAGCTGGTGCTTGCATTAGTGGCAAGTTGGGCAAGGCTGCCCTCCGGATACTATGGTTGCTGCAGCTTACCTGGACCAGACTGTGGCAAGGCAGCAGCAAGGTCAGGGCTGTGTGGAATGCTGGTGGAGCAAATCCAGCACTCCATCCAGGGCATCCTCACAGCCCCAACCTCACCACTGTCTCACCCCAGCATTGTCCAGGTAAGTTGTAGCAATGCCAGTATGGGAAGCGGGGCTCAGCACCTTTGACCTACCACCCTGGCCCTTGCTGGGTGCTCAGTGATGCTGGCCATGCCTGAACAAGTTGAGATCCCACCCATCAAACCAGGCTTGGCCAAACTTGGCCCTCCAGCTGTTTTGGGACTACAACTCCCATCATTCCTATCTAACAGGACCAGTGGTCAGGGATGATGGGAACTGTAGTCCCCAACAGCTGGAGAGCCACGTTTGGCCATGCCTGCATCAAACCAAGTGCAGCACATTAGCCAAAGGATTGTGTTTGAGACTATCTACAAGCAAAGTGTGTGCTCTTGTTGCTGAGCTTTCCCACTAACTTTTAGTAGGATCAACAGGCAGCTCAGATGAGATTATATTAGACACCCTGATTATAGGTTCTGATCTCTTTTGTAGAACAGGTTGGTATTTTCTGGGCAAATTTTATATCTTTTGTTAACCTGCTATGCATGATGGCTCCTGTGAATGTCCGATCTTGCTTTTGAGCATGGGCAAGACATTAACAAGGGGCCATAATTCTATACCATCAGAAAACACATAATTATAACTTTGTGTCACATACATATTCATATTTTTACACACATACACTAGAGCAGATTATGCACAAACACATTTCAGTATACCAAGTATAACTTTTTAGTTATGGTTTTCAATGATACTCACTAAGAATGTGTCTCATATATATATGTGTGTGTGCGTGTGCGTGTGATATAGATATAAAAGTACATATGTAACTAGATATATATTTATATAGTTTATATATATATATATATATAAAATCTCACATCACTATATACATTGCCTAGCTTTATAAAACAGGTTAAAATTCCCTCTTTGTTTGGCATAATTACTCAAAAAGAGGAAATGGAATTATTTCCTGCACTGCATATACTTTTATAAGGCATATGCTTATGTTTAAAATGTATTAAATATTAATAAAGTCATCATGTGTGTGTAATATATTTTTATATATAACAAGCAATATGCATCTCAAATTCTGCTAGAATCTTAAAGCCTGTTGCGGTATGTGCTCTGAAATGCAATGCTGGAAAATACACAGATATTCTAAATTTTTCCTCCGCCACACGACTGTGTCTGATTGCACGCTATTAGAGCCCAACCTCAAGCACAACTTCTGGTGTGTGTGGAGGGGGTGGGCAATGGGGGTGGACATGGCAAAGAGTTGGGAAAGCCTGTTTAGGTTTCCCACTCCCCCGGCAGTTTATTTGATCAAAGAACACGAAAAGAGCTGTGTGTGTGTGTGTGTGTGTGTGTGTGTGTGTGTATACCATGTATCATAAAGACACCACAGTCTCTGCTGTGCCGCTTTGTCCAAAAGGAATACAGACCCTAGTAAGTGTGCCTGGTACCCCTGGAATCATTATACCATGGTATAATGGTTAGAATGCTGGATCAGGGCCTGGAGACCCAGAGTTTGGGCCTGTCACTTTTAAAACTTCTAACCTCACAGGATAAAATGAGGACCTTGCATGCTTCTTTGAATTCCTTGGAGGAATGGTGGGCTATACTTGAAATAAATAAATACATTGCCTCCTCTATTTAAAGGGCTGTCAGAGGATTGTCCTGCACTGGAAGGGTTGTTTGGCTTAAAGAACCAGAAGCAAGGAGCGAACATTGAAGTTGCCCATTCAGAGGTAGCACCAGAACACAAGAGGGAGGCGTGTGTCTAATGACTTGCACTCCTGTCCCATGATGGGGATTATATTATTTTCATGACGCTGAGACACGAGACTATTGATAATCTTGGCAACTTTCATGCCACCCCTTCCCATGTAGACTTGGGTTCTTCTGAGGTTTCAAACCTGGGCTGTGGTGCCTAAAATCTGCTGTTCCTGCACATGGCACCTAATGTTGAGTGCCTGTAGTTCCTTATAAACACACCCAAACTAACAACCTGCCATTATTATTATTTTTGGTACTCTAGTTTTTAAAAGGCATTGCTTTTTTTAGTCCATCGCTTTTCCTTTCATTTTAAAAGTGGTACCTAAGGTTTAGTCCAGGATGAAGCAGAATGGCAAGTGAATATAATTAGAGGTTCAAAGATCTGATTATACACTTGTGTACAATGTGTAAGTAATATTATGTTACCAAATAATGGAAGAGAAGGTAACATTTCAACCTGGCAATTATTTTCTTACGATACATCGGAGCCGTGGTGGAAGTGAGGCAAGGAGAAAGGGTCGCAAAAAATGTCTGGGCTGCAGGAATGTTCACTGAAGCAATTCAGATATTTAGGCACCATCTGCTGTGTTGGAGTTCCCCATTCACACATGTATGTATGTCGCTACCCAGAAATCAAACCTGAGAACTCAAGGCTAAATATCTGAACTGATTCCACTACAGTGGTACCTCGGGTTATATATGCTTCAGGTTACATACGCTTCAGGTTACAGACTCCGCTAACCCTGAAATAGTGCTTCAGGTTAAGAACTTTGCTTCAGGATGAGAACAGAAATCGTGCTCCAGCGGTGCGGCGGCAGCAGGAGGCCCCAATAGCTAAAGTGGTGCTTCAGATTAAGAACAGTTTCAGGTTAAGAACGGACCTCCAGAATGAATTAGGTACTTAACGCGAGGTACCACTGTATTAGCTCTTAGCTGATATGAATAACCTGAGGTGGCTGATTCATGAAGGCAGTTTAACATGGGCAACTTATCTCCTGTGGAACATGCAACTGTGAGCTAAATGTGGAATGGAGAATAAATATATTTTGTATTGCTTGGTGTGTTTTTAGTGTGTGTCGGTTTTCATCCATCCATCCATTTCATTTATTTCATAAAATGTATATATCACTTGATTGTAAAAGAAACCTCAAAGTGGAATACAAAAAGAATAAAACAACAAAATAATCAGCAAAAAAATAGAACAATTTAGAACCTTCCCAAAATAATTAAAATCAACGATAAGCTGAAAACCAGATTAAAACACATGTCAATGTTCTACAGGTCTGGAAAGGCTTGCCTAAGCAAAAAATGTTTTTAGCAGACGCGGCAAAGAGTACAGTGAAGGCACCTGCCTGATGTCAATAGGCAGGGAGTTCCAAAGTGCAGCTGCTGCCGCACTAAAATATCCATTTCTTACAAATGTAGAGTATTATGTGACAACTGTAACCACATAATTACATAATTTTATTGTTCCGTGGCTGTGCCATGCGGAAATTCGATCTTACCTGCTGAATTGAAGCTTGGTTAAGCAAAACCTCTCTTCAGATTCTCTGCGTTTCTGATAAGATCTGATTCAGCGGGTAAGATCAGAGTTTTGCAAGGCCTAGCCATGGAATAATGAGAAATGCTCTTGGGCCTGAGAAGAAGTAATTGGTATACAATATGATCAAAATACAGATCAAGCGAAGGTGTGGATGAGCCCTTACCCCTCCTCCCTAGGACTCTATGATTCAGTCCAATAAGTGAAAGTAGCTTAAAGCTGAGCTGAATTCTCCTCAGCTACCTTGTCCCCTGTTGTGGCAGTTGGCACAGAAAATTCTAGATCTTCTCCCTTTGGCTCCATTGTGTAGGGCATTAGCATGCATGCCGTGCAGAAAACTAGTCTGGGCAACTCCTTGGCATCATTTATTTATTGTGAGGAAAATGAAAAGGGGGATGTAAATGTAAGCAGCAGGGGCAAGGTGGGTGGGGGGAAGAGAAGGAAAACCTTTCAAAAAAAAGCCAATGGGGAATAATGCTCAAGGGAAGATAAAACAGATTCCTAACTCATCCAGAACAAACTCAGTTTCCCGTGACTAGTATGTTGCTGTTTTTTACCCTCGACCCTCTTAAATACACTTCTACCTGACGTACCACATGGTGAGTAAGGGAGCGATGCCCCTCTGCCTGGCTCAGTGACGCCCCATGTTGTGAGAGGCTTCAACCTCCCCCTCCCCACTTTTCTCCTCCCTGCCACACTGATTTTGTCTGTGAGTGTCTGGGCAGCCAGTCTGCACTTTGTGGCAAGGTTCAAGCAGACAGCTAGACACGCAGGCGAGCCGTTCTTTGAAAACGTGGCAGAATGCCATCTGCCGCTTCAGAGTATTTTTTCCCCTCCCTCGCCGTCCTTGCACTCCTTTCCAACTCTCACACACGCATGGCCCTGGCTTTTGGAGACATGCTTACCAACTGTCAATTAGCAGGCCTCAATACACTGGAAAAGAAAAGCAAGCTGCCTCATGACAATGATGGCATGTGGGGTGTGTGTGTGTGTGTGTGTGTGTGTGTGTGTGGACTCTGTCAACAACACATTTGCCATGAAACTCGAGCCTTAGAAGGTCCCTGACCTTAAAAAAGAATCCCAGCCTCTTGGTGCTTTCGATGACCTCCTCTCCCTCTCTGCTTCGTGCTTCGTGAAAAGCTCCATTGTGATCATTTTACGCAGCAAAGAGATGGCGATGATCTCATAGGTCTGGGTGAAAAGGGACCGTCGTTGCTCAGTGCTGTTGGAGTGATCTCATTGGTGTGCTGGGATTAGGCAAAGGGAGACCATCTGCAGAACTTTTAAAAATAATTATTATTGGTGACCGTAATGGGGGATGTTGTGTGTGGCATTGCCTGGCTTTTCCCTAGTTTCTTTGGGCACGGGAAAAGCGGGGTGCTGTTGCACTTGGGAAAAGGTTCAGGTGTACAGGTGGGAAGTAGGCCAGGCTCTGGCCAGAGATGGCCCAAGGTATTCTGCTGCCTGAGTTTCCCCTCTCCTCTTTGTCCTTCATTGTTTCTCTGCTGATATAAAAGAGCAGCACAGGAACAAGTATGGGAGAAACTAACAAATGACAACTGAGGGGCCCTGGGGTTCTTAGCAGAAAGAAATGAGAGAAAATAAGAGAAAATTTAAACATATGGAGAATTTGCATTGTGAAGGATTGATCTGAGAACAGACACCCGAAGGCATTATGGGATGAGGGTCGAGGAAGGTATCATACACCAGCACCAACTCTACAGTCCAATTTGTGGGATGACCAGCCTCATATAACCAACGTGTTTAAGTCTAATGAATGCATTAAGGAGTTAAGATCATGGAGTAAGCTGTCCTGCCAGGCTTAGATCACTTTGAGAGAGACTAGGTAATCAAGCCTTTGTTTACCCCAGCAGACTACCAGAGAAGCTCAGTGTTTGAGGAGGTGCTAGCCGGTTACTCCAAGCTCAGACTGCATGGCTCTCACAAGTCACTCTTGACTTCCCATACCAATAATTTAGGAACCTTCACCTCTTTGAAATTAAACTAAGTTTCACCGTCTGTGCAACCTTTCTGGAAAATGAGCCTGACCTTTGGAGATTTGGTAAGTAAACAGTTTTTAACTTACTAAATGTGTGGTCTTTTCCTATGTTGGGGGAAGAGGGTATTATTTTTGGAACTCACTTGGAAATACATATTGTAAAGGTCCATGCTTACTTTCATGCTTTACCGTACTTTGCTGTATATTTTGCGATTTAAAATCTCTGCTGTTGTTCTCTCACCAAAGAATATTTGCCCCAAACTTGGATCTTGTCATCCAAGGAATTATCCTTTTTATACCTACTTTTTACCTTGCCAACCAACACAATGTAGAATTGAGCTGATTTCAGTTGACTTAAGTATGTTTAACTTGCTTGGATTGCGTCTTAGAGTCCTGAAAGTGACCTGCTTCTTTGTTCCACCAGTAGCAGAAGTTGATGGAGAGTGCTTTTTGGCAGACAAATCTGCCGCCCATCCCTTGACCATTATCCCCTTTTTTCCAGGAACAATAGAAGTATGTTTGTCCAAGATGAAATCTACAAAATGGGCACTTATTAAGATCTTCACATCTGGCCAGTTATTTTCTTTTTCTAGTTCAAGGTAACAAAAATAAAGAGATGACCTTTTATATTATGTTATTATTTTTTTACTCCCAGGTTTTGCTACCTTGTTTCCTAATGGTTGTCCTGATTCCTTGTTTTAGGGCAAGAAAATGATCTAAATAAATAGACTTTGACAGGAGGCCAATTCTGCTGCCAGAATTACACTAATTAAATATGCATAATTCTCTTAATTAGAAAAAAAATAAAATAAAGACCAGATTAAGGTTTCTGCTTGTACAATTGGTTTTCCTTCATTTTGGAACTGGATTTCTTTTCAGGAAAAGATGTCTATCGGCTAAAGAAACATTTAAAAACCCAGCTGGAGTTGAGCAAAGTCCTTGCTCAGCAGAGTCCAAATATGTTTATGTGCCAAAACATACGTTACCACAGGAATTTTGAGATCTAGGTCAGAGATTCAAGCTTCAAAACATGTTTCCAGAGTAAGAGCCCATCGGCTGATGTCTGAAGAACACAGTAACACCAGGGTGGATGTGGTAGTAACTTTCCCAATTTCATTGCAACTAATTTATGATCAGTGAATAAAATGGAGGGCTGGGTTCCACCTGACATGCTCAGGCACTGTCTGAGACAGCCAAATCCATCCCCTTTAAACTCCAGACGATTTTAACAAACCTCTTCCAAAGGAGGATGGTGCGATAAAGATGAGCCAGCCTCAAGAAACGGACTTGAATGTTAGCCACAGAAACTGTTAGGCCAAGAAGCAATTTGACTGAAAAGCTTTTGTGGCTACGCCAGCAGCCAGTTCAACTACTAATTGCTTTTATTTTATTTTTTCCATAGTTGCTAGCCATTTTCACACATTTATAAGCAAGGATGGTCTTCCCCATCCTCATAGCCTTCCCCCCCTTTTAAAGTCTAAAGAGGGAGAAGGAAACCAATAATTAGTAATAATAGTGCTAAAGATGTATTCTTGGACAGAAGGCTTTTTGTGCAAGAAACTCTGCATAGGCATGCATAGATTTGGCTCACGTTTCCCCTGCTCTAAATTACAGCCATGTCCTCAGAGCTGGCACATGCTTCTTGGGAAGCAGAGAGGCATATAAACAGAGGGTTCCCTCGTATGGGACGTTGCCCTGGTTGACCTGCAATGCCCCATCCAAGGCAGTTAACGCTGCTTTCAAAGGGTGCCTAGTGTGGGCATGCAAAATTCATTGTCCCCCAAAGCACTTCAGAGCCACATAAAGTATGTTTTGTGTTCTCGAGCTAAGGTTCTTCTGAGCAAAATGGTATACAAGTGGATGCTTCAAGAAATTTAAATGGCCCCCTCTGGAGTGCCATTTGTGAGGCTGGCTTGGTACTTTGAGAGAGTAGTTATTGGGCACGGCGACAGATGGGGCAGCAGGACGAAAAAACATCTGAAAAGCTTCTGTGCCCTAGTTCCCAAGCCCACAGTAGAGCTTTCACATGCATCTTCTGCCATGTGTAGTGGGTAGAGCCAAACTGGTGCCCTCCAGATGCTGTGGACCCCAACTCCACTCAGCCCCAGCAAGCATGACCAGTGACCAGGGAGGATGGCAGCTGTAGCCCACAAGTTCTGGAAACCACCACATTAGCTGCCCTGTGCTACAGGACTCATCTTGGGCAAGCCATAATGGTGGTAATCTGGAACAGGGACCATGGGACCTTCTATGGAGGCCCCTTCTATCAGTTCCAAAGCCATGTTTGGTTGGCTCAAGTGGGAGACTTTAGAACTCCCTACCTAGAGAGGTTTCTTCTTGTCTTTCTCCTTGTTATTAAGTATTAAGATCTTGCTACAGTGGTACCTCGGTTTTCGAACGTCTCCGTTGACTAACGTTTCAGAACTCGAACGCCGAAAACCCAGAAGTAAATGCTTCCGTTTTTGAAAGCACCTTGGAAGTCGAACAGCTTCCGTTGAGTGTTGCTCAATTTTCTCAGTTACTGTATTTTTCCGTCTATAAGACATCCCCATGTATAAGACGCCCCCTATTTTTGGGGACTCTGATTTAAGAAAATGGGGGAGGGGAGATACTATCCGTGTATAAGACGAGCCCAGATTTTGTACATTATTTTAGAGTAAAAAAACATAGTCTTATACACGGAAAAGTACAGTAAATTTGCAGACTGCCCTTTGCGCCTCGGTTTTTGAACGTTTCGGAACTCGAACGGTCTTCCAGAATTGATTACATTCAAAAACCGAGGTACCACTGTATTCTGGAAGGCTTTTGGCCTTTATAGAGGCAGGATCCTATAGCTTCACAACATACATTAATTACAATCAATCAAATTTTACTCCAGTTTTCCATCAAAAGGTTTTATATTGGGAATAGTACCAGGAAGCCTAAAGGAAGAAGACAAGACCTTATATTTATACGCAACAGTAGCCGCAAGGCTATTGATTGCGAAAAATTGGAAAAGCGGTATTGTACCAACAAAAATAGAGTGGCTTGCCAAATTATTGGAGTACTACAATATATCCAAAACAATGGGAGAAATTGGAAGGATCTCAAAAGAGAAGATAGACAGGGACTGGAAGGTGTTTAAAAGATACTTGCAAAACCATATCGAAAAATCAGAACTCCTATTAGAATGAACAAGTTCCGTTTCAAATACTGAAATACTAAATAAGATGGATAACAATGTGTAACAGAAAAAGAAGTATGAAATTAGGTTAAAGGTGTGTGAAAGAAAGTAATAGAAGTGGAAAGAAATGGCAATTGAGTAGATTGGAAGTCAAACACAAAGGTGGGGTGAGGGGTGGTGGATGGGAAAATGAATTATTTGTGGGATTGAGTGTAGGTATGTTTGAACACTTTTAAGGATTGTATGAAATGTATGTTTGTATATTTGTAATATATGTGTATTAAAAATTCTTCTTAATAAATAATAAAAAAATTATTAAGAATTTTTTTTAAAAAAAAATTACTCCAGTTTTCCACTCTGGCTTCTTAAATTATCATGGTGGGATTTAATGGTTATTTAATTGCTGTTTCTGTCCATCACTGTTTTCAAAGGATTTTGTTATTTTTGTAAGGTGGCTTGTATCATGAAGAAAACCCAGGGTATGAGCATTTTGAATAAAAAATAAAGCTTCTGAACAGTAAAGAAAAGTGGATATATTTTCCCATGGCATTATCTAGCCAGGGCAGACTTCTTGTGCTTAAGGGGGACAGTCAAGCACCCAAGGTAAAGTGTCACCTTAAGACGGTGCCTCTGCCTGCTGATTTCAGCAACTGCGTGCTCGCCTCTGAGGGAGACACATTTGTGCAAGCCCTAACCACGACCTCTTTTTACTTAACTGTGTTATGCCATCAAAGTTCTGTGTTAAATGAAACTTGGCTTCCTGCCAGCATAATGCACAGAAAAGGAAGACTATAAAGTCAAAGCTGGGTTGGGACTCAAGAGCTTGAAGGGCTTCTGTGTCATGTAGAGGGGGAATCCCCCTCCCCATAAAATTATCTCCCTATGTTGCATCATGGTTCATCTTTTATAGAACTTAAGGCGATCCATGGTAAAAACTGAGTGGGATAAGGAAGAATTTCCACATGCAGATATCTATGTCAGCCTCTAAAAGCTACAGATGACAGAGAGGCTTGGCTTGCTACTACAGTGGTACCTCAGGTTACATACGCTTCAGGTTACAGACCCCGCTCACCCAGAAATAGTACCTCTGGTTAAGAACTTTGCTTCAGGATGAGAACAGAAATCATGCTCCTGCGGCGCAGCAGCAGCGGGAGGCCCCATTAGCTAAAGTGGTGCTTCAGGTTAAGAACAGTTTCAGGTTAAGAACGGAGCTCCGGAACGAATTAAGTACTTAACCTGAGGTACCACTGTACTACCTAGAGGCAGGCCCATGCAGAGCTTGCCTGAGGCCCGGGGCAGGCAACTTGTTAGACTAAAGTTATAAACTCAAACAAAAAAGCAGCCATTCCCTTGTGAGGGCCCCAGCTGGCTTAGCGTTGTGAGGTCAGGAGCAAGGAGGAGCGGAGCCTTCTGATGGCATCTTGTGCAACAGCCTCTAAATCTGGCACTGTATTTAGCATGCAAGCCATAGTCTAAGAAGCTGGCTGCTCTGATTGTATAGTCTACCCTGGACCAGCACTTCTGTTCTATCTAGCGCATCGTCTCTCCACACACCTGGAATTATTCTAAGAAGATAATCCTCCTCCCCACTGAGCAAATTGCAAGCTTCCATTGGTAGAAGACTCTGCATTTCTTTGTAGTGGTAGCTATTATCTATGGGTCCTGAACTGGCAGTACGACGGGGAGGAGGAAGAGGATCCTGGCGAGGGGTGTAGCTGGGACTGGGACACACCAGGGCAAGCTGGGGATGGGGAAGGAAGTACTCACAGAGTGACGGAGGGTGCCTAGAGGATGGATGTCAATGCACTGGATCCAGAGCAGCAGGACTCATCACCAGAGCCACAAACACAGTGGGCTCTGAGGCGTAGGGAGCAGCGGGAGGGGTGCTCTTGGAGCCTGAGGCAGGCAAAAGCCCACAGCCCAGCTCCCTGGCTGGCCAGGTGGGGCTTGCTAGCTCTGGAAAGAGGGCTGTGATTCCTCAGCTGGAGGAGGCTTGGAAGAGGTGAGGGTCACCTGCCTCATCAAGCTCAGATGCTGCAATTGGCATGCAAAGTACACAAGGGAAACAGAGCTGAGGTGCTGCTTCTGCTCAACTGCCCATGTTGATGGACCTTGGCTTGGTTGCTCCTGGACCTCTGTGGGACGGTACTTCAGGTATCTTGACTGCTAGAATTCAGACTTAGCTACTTTGTCAAAACAAAATAAAATAAGTAAAATAAAAAATAAAAAAATTCATTCCAGTAGCACTGAAACAGAAGTGTGCATGCACATGAAAGCTCATACCAATAACTAACTTAGCTGGTCTCTAAGGTGCTACTGGAAGGAATTTTTTATTTTATTTATTTTATTTTGTTTTGTTTCGACTACAGCAGACCAACATGGCTACCTGCCTGTAATTAGCTACTTTGATTGATCTTGGACTAAATTTCCTGACCTTTGTGTGGATTGACCCCTGGACTTTGAACTTGGCATACTGACTTGCTACCAGGTAGGCCAGGGGTTCAGGACACCCTGTAGCAGAAATCCACAAAGAGTTGTGAATCTTTAAACCTCCCCTCAACTTTTGGTGTTAAAAATGACTCTAAAAGTTAGGAGGGACTGCACCCACCATTTCTGCCTTTTTGGTGCAATGCTTTCAAAGGTCCCTTTGTCAGTGTTACATCAAG